TGCAATGGTGCGGCTCATGAGGTTGAGAGTAGAGTGCGCAACGTACTCCCCGCACATCGAAGGTGCTGGCGGATTTTTCCGCCATTTATACATCCGGGTGCAAATTTCCGTCATGATTCTTACATGCATCAGGTGCAAGAAGCGTCATCTCAAGGTGAGTTTTTCTTTGTTGAGTTATTTTTCTGAGTCTAACCTAGTGTGATGACCAATTGCCTTTTTGCGCAAATTGTAATGGAACAGGAAGTGAATGTGTTTATTACGACACAGCAGTAAAGGAATTTGTTTCCAGAAAGGAAATACACGATTTACAACAACGGTTGGAGCGACTGGAACGTACAAAAATCCAAACAGAAACCGCGTTTTCTCCCAGAGAATTTCTTAGCCTGACGGGAAAGTCTCATCTTGGAGTAACAACTCATTTGTATTTGGGTAAATTCACACCAGGAAACATCTTCATATGGGCTATGCAACAGTGTGGAAGACAGCTTGATCTTGATTTTTGCAAGTCAGAACCACGCTACGAATGTGCACTGACAGTCAAGTTTGACAAGGCCATGCTAACTCCAAGTGTAACTCGAATTCTCGTGGACAACTATTTTGAAAATTTGCCATCCAAATTTCGAATATTCGAAAAACTGTTTTACGATTTCGACGTCCAGGTCAGAAATCTTCCTTCACGGAAATGTCTTTTGGTGGTCTTAGCATTGGCTATATCTTCGGCTCAGTATATGAGAAAAGACCCGAATTTTGTTCCTATAACTCTCCTCCTAACCCAATGGGCTCAAGCGGGAATTCCTGAGTGTGTGGCAGAGTATAACCTGGACTCACTTACTGTGATGGTATTAAGCTGCTTACTTCAAATGATTCATCCTAGTGGTCAAGACTTGTGGTATACACTAGGTTTATGCTGTCGATTTTGTCTTGGTCAAGGTATACCTAAAGAAACAGAAGATTCTACCACGTTTGAAAGGGTTCTAAGTGTCTTGTATGATATAGAGGAGGAAGTAGCCCTTTCTCTAGGAAGAGTTCCTATGTTGCAAGCTTATAATATCCACCAAATGAAACTGAACTCGAGTGCTTTACATCTGGTGTCTCCAACGGTTCAGCTCTTCAAAAAGATATACGACCGGCAGGAACAAGAGTGCCCTTACGACAACGATTTGAATCTTTTTCTTCACACCCACATGGACACTTTGATTATTGATCCAAAAAGCTGTGTACTTCTCGCTTTCACAACCACCCATTCCTGTTCACTCTGTACACCTCTGATGGATCAGGTTGCGATTCCATTAGTGGTTATTGGTCTGATGAGTATTATCAACTCTGCCTACGAACTGATCAAAAATGAAAAACTAATTTCATGTTGGCTAGAAACTATAAAAGTGTTCAACGCCGCATGTACTTTGTTCACAATCTACCAAACAGATCGGTATGAAGCGATGGACTTTTTCAATGTAACTATTACAGAACAGAAAATATTGCAGCATCTACTGCTCGCTGAAATAGCCCTCGAGTACACAACTCGCTATTGGAGAGACGGTATACGGTACAAGCATGCATTTGAAAAACTTATTCAATCATCTTGAGATATATTGCCCTTGCACACCAAGAGCCTTCCTCCATCAATTCGAATAATGCGCCCGTCAACATACTTGTTACTAGCCAAGAAAATTGCGGCAGAAACTAGCTCCTGTTCCGTACCCGGTCTTCTCGCAGGCATCTCTCTAGCATATCTCATGTTGGATTCGGGTATGGAGATGTCCATCGGATTCATTTTGCTGGGGAAAAGTCCAGGTGATATGGCGTTAACTCGAATATACTTATCAGAAAACTCAGCTGCCATGATTCTTACAAGGTGATCAACAGAGGCTTTTGAGGTTTGATAAGACGGAACATACTGTCCATTATGGACGGAGGACACAGAAGAAAAGCATATTACATTTCCACGCCCAAACTCTTTTTGCGATGCCTTTCCAAGCAACTCAACTAATCCAGCCGTAAGAAAATGTGGAGAAAGTACATTTATCTTGAACGTGGACTCCCAATCGCTGTAGCTGCTTGAACCTGTAGCAGCAGCTAATTGACTCAACGACTCACCTGGCGTGTAACTGATAGCATTTACTCTTCTTATACCAGCGCAATTGACTAAAACGTCAAGTTGAGAAAACTTGGATTTGATGGAAGAGATGATGCCCTGAAGTCCAACCTCAGATGAAAGATCTCCGACGACACTGGTGACTTGCGAGCTTGTATTAGACTCTTCTGCAATAGCTTTGAGTTCGGATAAAGTTGCATCTACTCCTTCTTGGTCAATGTCCACAATACAGATGTTGCAGCCATTTGCAACAAATCCTCGAGCTAGAATTTTTCCCAAGCCGGAAGCACCTCCGGTAATAACAACTTGGTAGTTTTGAACGTTAAATATATCTGAAACCCTTAATGACATTGGAATTGAGGTTTAGCTCCATAAAAGGGTTTAACTATTTTTATAGCTTTGGTCATCGGAAAATTCCACCAGAAAGCGGAGGTCTCCGACCGAAATGAAATGTTGCGGAATTTTCCATTCGGCATTCCTTTTGTATATAAGTAGACTTCTATGAAGTTAAAGTTTCTTTAAGATGTTGCTCGATTTGCTCTTTGACTTTTTGAATCTGTACGGTTATCTTCTTCTTGTGGTTAGCATATTAATTGCTGCAAAATCTGTGTTTGGTGCGGCTTACTGTACAGGAATCAGAAAAATCAAAGGTATAGTGGAACCACCAGAGTGCGAAGCATTTTATGGACATTTAAATGTTCTTGGGGAAGACCATGCTACCAATTTGCAAACTATAGGAGATCGGTATAACTTGAAGGTGTTTCAAGTAAGATTTGGAGTCGAGCGAGCAGTAATATTACATACTTTTGCTGAGGGGTTTTCATGGTTTGTGAAGAACCACCAATCTGCCCTCATTGATCGTCCACTTTTTTACACGTTCCACAAGCTAGTTTCCAATACTCAAGGACTAACTGTCGGTACAAGTCCATGGGATGAAAATTGCAAGAGAAGAAGGTTAGCTATTACCAAGTATATGACCCGAACTGCATTGCAAAAGATACAAGATTTGATAGATCTTGAGTCTTGTTCATTTGTGAAAGATATATGGAGATTAACTTGTGAAGGATCCATTGGGGTTGATCCACACATTGCTGCCCAGAGAATGTCTTTCAATATTACTACAATGCTCTGTTATGCCATTCGGTTTGACACTATTGATTCTTCGTTGCTACTTGACATTTTGAAAATTGTGTCACAGGTCAGTAGTTTCAGATCTACAAATAACAATTTGCAAGATTACGTTCCAATTTACAGGTACTTGCCAGATAAACGGCGGGAAATGGCAAAGGAAGTGAGTAAAAAGAGAGATGTGTGGCTCAATGACTTTCTCAATAGAGCTTTCGAACGCAGCGAGGTTCGTGAGAGTTTTGCTGGGAGTATGGGCACAAAAAAGCTCAGTCTTGAGGATTTGAGGTCGATTTGTGTCTCGCTTGTGAGCGGAGGTTTTGAAACTTTAGCTTCAATCACGAGTTTATTGCTAGCTCAATTGAGCACTGAAAATGGAAAAGAATGGCAGGAGACAGCTTACGGAGAGCTCACTGATGCCTACGGTAATGACGGAGACAAACTTTGGAACCTGGTAACTTTCGAAGAAAAATGTCCCTTTGTGGTTGCATTGATCAGAGAAACTCTACGCCATTACCCGGTGATACCTTTGTGTCCACCTAGAAAAACAACCCGTGAGTTTGAATACGAAGGAGCAAAGATCCCCAAGGGAGTCACGGTGATCTTGAATTGTCAAGCAGCGAACCACGACAAAGAACATTTCGGAGCGGACGCAGATGAGTTCAATCCTGCCAGATGGTTTGACGAGAGCCTCGATATCAACAAGCCACCATTTCACTTCACTTTCGGAGCTGGTTCAAGAGCGTGTCCTGGAATATTACTCTCGCATAGGGCATTGTATGCAACTATTGGAAGGATGATATTCTTATTCAAGATTGGTCCACATGGTGAGAAACCTGACTTGAACTATAAAACCTATGCTGAAGACAAAACTGCTCAAACCTGGTCTCCTCTTCCTTTCAAGATTTCCTTGGAACCTCGGGGACCCGTTGACAAATTTTTAAATAGGGACCATTTGCAGCACTTGGTTGAACTTTCATATGAACACATTTAGTCCAAAATAATATTCGACAATGCCCAGTCCTCATTCCAGTTGATAACACTTTCGAATTCAATGTCCCATCCAAGTTCATTGGTATCAAAGAGCTGTACATCTTTGTTCTCAGGTTCTTTCACCACCTCATAGTGTGAGTCTGGAAAGAGGAGATTGAATATTTGATCGGAAATTTCTTGCTCAGGTCTCACCTCAACTTTCTGAGACAAAGCTGAAGGGTACTTGAATGCAGCCACTTCGTACTCCAAATCGCTCAATACAGTAACACAATATTGAGCAGCAGGCCATCTGCTGGACATCCTCGTTATAACTTCCAAGCAACTGCGGAAGACATTGTGAACTTCCTGGAAGCTGAACGTATTGAGTACCAACTCCAACTGGTTCCACATCATATCCAATAAGCATACTGCGCTTTCCACCATGAAATGTACTCCGTACAATAAGTAACTGAGGTGACCGCTGGAGAATAAATCTTGGTTGATGGAAATCAAACGCTTGATATCGTAGTATAGGTCAATTCTATGCTTCAAAATTGGATCTGTATAGTATGGGCTGCGTCGTTTTAGACGAAGACTGCCTTGAACTTTATTGATTTCCCGGAACTTGAGCTGGTGAATTTTAGTAAAAGGAGCAGCATCAAAGTACCATTGAGTCATTCGTTGATCCATGTCCTCCATCCAATCTTCAAGTTTGATTTTTGGATCAAGACGGCCTTTCCAGAGAACATCAAACATTTCAGATTGTAACAACCGATGCTTGTGGAAATGTAACGCAGCTCCTTTATAGTGTACACCGTTTTCGTCAAGTCCTTGAGCAGATATGAATTCGTCACCTAGTGGAGAAGGGTCCAATGACGAAATGTATTGGTCAGAGAGAAAAGTTGGTTTCATATGAAGGGAGCACAAGGCACGTTCCATGCTGGAAGTCATGAGAAATAAGCGCCTTCTAGTATCAATCTCGAGAGCATTGAGATCGTCTTTCGGCATGTCCCGATGCAATCCTAGACTGAAGGACATACGCAATGCCATCCCCATTAAAAACCATGTATCACAAGCAACAGGATTTGCGTAGGAATAGTGACTGAAGAGTAATATTATAGCAAGAGTTTCTGTGCTATCTTCCCAATCCAAATCAGAAAGATGTTGTGCTGCCGTGGTGAAAAGTGCATTTGAAGATGCAACGGCTGCTCGTTCGTTTTTCCACAAAAGTGTACTAGCACTTATAGCCATTGCCAATGAAACGGTGATGTAGTCATAGGCAGTGCATTCTTTCTTGGTGACAAATATTTTGTTAAACGACTCCACGAGCAGGATTTTGGACACGCACGGATACTGTGGCAAATGATAAGTTGTATAGTTGGTTAACAAGAAATTTGCAAATACTTCTGGAATCGACAGAAATGATACGGGAGCCGAGAGCGGCATCTGGGTGATAATATGTTCTGCCTGTTTTCGTGAAGTGTTGGAAAATGGTGAAGGTAGCAAGTTGGGACGAAACAAGAAGATTGAGTATATCAATTGTCGTTGATCATGAGTCCAACTGGATTTTTTTAGTGTTCCAGTATTGCTAACTGCTTGAAGTAGTGGCTCACTGAGAAAGTTTTGTAGTTGTTTTTCCGGGGTCAAGGAACTTTGCTGTTGTGCCACCGCATTTCTAAGATGTGTTATCAAGCTGCGTGGCACACTTGCTTTGGTATTTGTATTGTATCCAAGACATTCTGTTTTGCTCCTCTTACATAACGAGCATTTGGGATATTTCAAGTCGCACTAAGTTAGTAGACAGAAAAACAGTTGAGGCTCACAAAATTAACGAAGAGCCAAGATAATTAAAATTAAAATTAGAACTCCATTTCGTAGCTGCCTCTTGTACTTTAGATCACCTAATTTCAAGTTGAAAAGCCAAGATTAATATCGAGTTGGTTGGCCCAGCAAAATGTCTGGGAACCAGAAATGGTGGAATTTAAGTAATATGGCTACCAGACAAAATCATATGAAACTCACTTTTCGCCGAAGTGTTTTACACCGATGACAAGATTTGATCGTCTGCAATGACGAAAGACTCATAAAAGAAATTGGGGCTGAGAGCTGATTTTGGCTGAGGGCTGATTTGGGCATTATCGCGAAATTCCGCTCAAGCACTACACCAGCGGAATTTAGCGACCCCAAAATGGGAAATGATATAAACCCAGTTTACTCCGAAATATGGGGGAAATGAATAATATTCAACCAGACCGTTTCTACGACACAGATATACCCTATGCCACCTGTAAAGGTACAAACTATCAAATTGGGCTTCAACATGGAACGGTTGCAAAAAACCGCATCCATCAGATAATTCATGCATACGATAAGCTCTATCAGGAAACAGCAAAAATTGATTGGAACCAGGCTAAAACGAGAGCACTCAAGTACAAAAAATATCTTTTGGAAGTGTGGCCGGAAATTGTCGAGGAAATGCAAGGCATTGCAGATGGAAGTGGTGTTGAATTGATCGATATTGTTACTCTCAATGTTAGATCGGAAATTTGTTTGACCAACTACTCTGATGGATGTACCTCACTAACCCAATTGAACAACACCACCAATGACTTGTACATTTGTCAAAACTGGGACTGGATTGAAGGGGTCAAATCGTGCTTGGTTTATCTTGATATTCAACAGGAGAACAAACCACGAATCTTGACTCTTGCAGAAGCAGGAATTGTTTGCAAAATGGGTATGAATAGTGCTGGTGTGGGACTAATGCTAAATGCTATCAAGTGTGGAGTAACGAAAATGGGATTACCAACTCATCTTGCTGTAAGAAAATGCTTAGAGTGTACCAGTGTTGAAGGTGCTATTGAACAATTGGTGAAGTTTGGAGTTGCTTCGACTTCCAACATAATGCTCGCCGATAAGTCGGGCACATTTGTTACAGTTGAAGCTTCTCCCAAGGGTTTGTGTGTGATAAGTCCTGATGCTCTGCAGACGGTAATTCACACCAATCACTTGTATGGAACACCCAGATTTGTCAAGGATTTTCCCGCTGAAAACTCGTTTTGGAGATTCAAAAATTGTCAAGAACTCAGGGAAAATGCCCCAGCAACACCAGAAAGTATCCGGTCCACACTTTCTGATACTTTGGGTACACCGTATTCCATCTGTAGAGAGCCCAATTCCGAGGCAAGAGGAATCGAGGCTATGGTGACTCTAACAACTACAATTATCAATATTAGGGCCCTAGAAGGCGAGATTTCCATTGGAAACCCATCAAAGTCTCCCAAAAGATATCGTATATATTTCAATTGAATTATTTTAGGTTGCGCATCGCTCGTAATTATGCACCTAAACGTCCCCACAATATAAACAAAAAATCTACGTAATAATCTAAGTCAATATCTTAAATATTTTTAACACAAAACAGACTTTATCTTTTCACTTCCTAATTTCCCAGCCTTGTTCCTCTCTGACTCGATATCCCTGACTCGACGATCTGTAGTCGTCCTTATTCTCCCTGACTCGACCTAGCCAAGTCGCGAAATCCCGCCGCCTTGCACCTCCGCACGGAATTTTTCACCACATCTAACTCATCGCTGAACAATATAAAATGACATCGTGCAACCATTACGCTACTTAAAATGGAGAAAGAGACCAAGGAAATACCCATGATGGCGTCGGTAACGTCTCAAGTGCTGCTGGTGGTTGATGAACCCCACAAGCACCAACAAGTTGATGGTGCCGATAAGGCTTTGGAGCTTATCGACGGAGAAACACTCGACTTTTCTCCCGAGGAGGAAAAGAAAGTTTTGCGGAAAATCGACATGTTTGTGCTCCCATGGTTATTTTCCATGTATTTTTTCCAGTTTTTGGACAAACAAACCTTGACGTATACGGCAATCATGGGGTTGAAAGAAGATTGCAATTTGAAAGGATCTGAGTATTCTTGGGTTGGTTCGATCTACTATGGAACGTTTCTTATCTCGGCTTACCCGCACAGTCGTATGATGCAAATTTTTTCCGAAAGCAAGTATGTTTCTTTCTTTGGTATGTTGTGGGGTGCAACTTTGATGTGCATGGCTGCGTGCCATTCTTTTGGTGGTTTGATGACGGTACGAGCCCTTATGGGAGTACTTGAATCTCCCACTGTAACTGGGTTAGTGTTGATAACAGGAAAGTGGTACCGGAAATATGAACAGAGTACTCGCAGTGGTATGTGGTTCACATCTGTTGGATTTGCTTCTATGCTTGGTTCAATCCTAGCATTTTCTGCTTATCGGGGCCACCAAGAAACCAATGTAACGTATGCATCGTGGAGAATCTTGAGTCTTGGAATCGGAAGCTCTACTGTCGTGTGGGGAGGTTGCATGTTTCTTTTCATGGCAGAGTCACCAATCAAAGCGAAATACTTTTCCGATAGAGAAAGGAGAATAGCCATAGAGAGACTTCGTGATAACCAGCATGGGGTGGGGAGTCACGAATTCAAGTGGGATCAATTTCGGGAGTGTCTTTTGGACGTGAGAACGTGGATCTACTTTTTATTCATGGTTACCAGCCAAATTCCTGTGGGAGGAATCCAAGTTTTCGCTTCACAAATGCTTGTTTCCTATGGATTTGGAACCGATATCACTTTGCTCGTTCAAACGCTTCCATCTGGATTTTTGCAAATCATTTGCGCTTTTGGATTCGGCTGGATCGGTGACAAATACAGAAACAGAACCTTGGCATTTTTCTTGTGTATGCTCATGTCAATTTTCGGCATGGGCTTGATGGTAGGGTTGCAGAATGTTGGCTCGTTGTATAGGAAGGAGGTCCAGCTCGTGGCATATATCATCTTGATGGGTTCAAGTGCTACACCATTTGCACTTATATCAGCTATATCGGCCTCCAATGTGGTGGGACACACCAAGAAAACCACCACTAATGGAATAATCTTTACAGGATTGGCAGTGGCTTACTTCATTGGTCCCCAAGTTTTTGACGATGGACCCAAGTACTTGAGAGCCAAAGTAGTGGCTTTGATCTTATGGGTAATCACGGTGATTTTATTGGGTTCTTACTTTGTGCTCAACAAGTGGGAGAATAAAAGACGGGACAAGAAACAGCTTGAGTCACCAATGGAAAAACCAGATAACATTGAATTTATGGATTTGACCGATAAGCAGAATCCGTTCTTTAGGTACGTTTACTAGCTCTGGAAGCAGAAACAGAGAAATGAATAAGAATGAATATTATAAAACGAATGGTAGAAGAAAATATAGCAACGACTAATGAGTACACACCAAATTAACCACGAGCGACTACATCCATATTCCCTCATATTAAATATAACTAGAAATCAAATATGTAATCGGGATTAAGTTCCAACCTAAATGCATCTGGTATACGACGATTATAAAAGAGGTACAGCTAGATTAAATATAACTATAATCTCCAGAGATAAAGATAGCTTCAACTATAGTGTTAATATTTTACCTTCATAGATTTTATTGGTTGTGTTGCTGATAAAGAAAGTGTTAGTTTTAATCCTTTAGCATCCTTTTATTTTCAATGTACATCAACTTGGAACCACCATTATTGGTAATTCTACTTATTACTTTTCCATTAATATAAGAAATTCTAATTCAAGTATGATTTTGAATGAGCGATCATGAAAAGGAATATAAGTAGATTATCAACAATCTCCAACTTAAATAAAGAAACCTATTCATTTAATATTTCTAAAATCTCAATACTTTTATTCAGAGATTTTATTGATTCAATTTATTCGAGAAAGCCATATATCATGTAGTCTATTAAATCTGAGGTTATTTGTCCAATCCAAGTGCTTCCCTTTGAGACTTGGACTCTGGGTCAAATTTCAACGGAGTGCTCAAAGAAGTTACTCGGTTAGCATGACGAAGTTTTCCCTTGGAGTCGTTATAATCAGGAATGGCAATATGTTGACTAATTCTATTGTCCCAGAGTACCGATGTGCCCAATCCTGGCTCGGTGGGTTGCCAGGTGACCCGAGTCTGAACATCCAAATTCCGTTCGTATACCGAGAACAAGTACTCTAAAAGAACCGCTGACTCACTATCTTCCAAACCCACGATTTTGAACGTATGGGCACGATTAACAAAGAGAGATTTCCACCCGGTAGCAGGATGAGTTATCACCAATGGGTGCTCTCTAACAATTGGTTCTGGTGCTGCCAATACATTGTCTCGTTTCAAGTATGAGTGAGCCGACCGATGAAGAGCAGTTCTCTTTTCGAGAAATTCCTGAAGTGTCTTGGAGAGCTTATCGTACGCAGCGTAACCCGAAGCAAACCCCGTATCTCCACCAACTTCTGGAACAGAGTCCAAGTGCAAATGTGTGATTCCAGCTGGAGATCTTTCATGGTCCATGTCCTGGTGCCAACCGTTATGGATACCCTTTTGGTAGCTGATCAAAGGACCTCCACGGTTAAATTTCGACCATACAGTAGTAATACCAGGATATCCAGGAACATGGGCAACAAGTGGATGAACCTCAACCTCACCATAGTACTTGCCAATAGCCAATTGTTTCTGCGGAGACAAGTCTTGGTTGCGAATTACCACCACTACTCTTTCTGCGATAAGAAGAGCAAGTTCGTCCAATTGCTTTTCATTGAGCTTTTCAAGCTGGATCCCAACAAGCTCAGTTCCTACCTGGGGTGTCAATTGCCTAATTTCTTTAACTGCTGCAAATAATGCTTTCTTTTCCGGGTCCGCATTCTTTCCTCGTTCAACATAATTGGGGTTAGGAGTGTCCCGGATAGCATACCCTTCGTCCAAGAAATGAGGAATGTTTCCTGGTCTTTCAGGGTATCCTTTGGACAAATCAATGCCATACTTTGTCAATCTGTTTCTGGTATGAACAGGAACCTCATTTGCATCAAACGAGTCCTTGAACCCCGGGTTGAATCCATTGGCATTTTTAAGGTCCACCACAAGCTTGCTCAAGTCTTCATTGACAACTTGCACTTTTTGTTGAATATTTATAGTAGTCGTCATTGGAGATCTGTTCGGGATCTTCTCAATTTATAATCCAAAACTCCACAGTCTGAATCATCGCTAGTCACGATACCATATTAGTGTGGATAAGCCACAGTGGGTACATTTACGATGAGACAAAATAGGGATCGCAACTGGTGCCTAGATTGTCTTTCGGGATGTTCTGCTTTACGTGAGGTAACAACTTTTATTAATAGTAGGCTAGACATGACCATCGTAGTCGTAAGGGTACCTTTCGAATCAGTATAACGTAAGCTGACAGGTAGATTTATTCCCTAAAGTAATTTCCCAGCCTTATAGCTGTGGCAGGCTACTCCAGTCGTGGCAGATTATGCTCCGAGCCGTGGCGGAACCAATTGAGATCCGTATTTCAACTGATGTGATTTTGGTTATCCATTCGTATATATACCTTATCTTGCATCATGCAGCCGCACCATGCAGCCAAATTTGCAGCTATGTCAAGTGTTTTGAATCTGCGGTATTAACATAAGTCCAAAGTCGCTTGTACCATGGTAGGGACGTATAGTAGTCCATTATCACGACTTCTCTTTCACTGAGTGGTCTGTGACCTTCAAGCAAATCGATTTCTGACAATTTAGGAATCGAGGTGCGAAAATACACCTTATAACAAGCGTACGCAACCAAGATAAGAGGTACTCCAAGATAAGTTGTAAAGAAATCGTAAGCGTTCGGCTTTCCACCAACTGGAAACAAAGACCCGTAGAATAAACCAACGAGAATCAAAAAACTTGTAAGTGATAAGAAAACAGGACCCACAGGAAAAAGCTTGGCTCTCCAAGAATGTTTCTGTATCAAAATATCTGAGTTCTGTGCTCTGATTGCCAAGTGAAACCTTATGGAGACTATTCCCAACACAACCCATACCACCATGAAGATGGTAGTGGTTATAGATGAAAACCAAGTGAAAACGGTAGCTCCAGTTCCTGAACAGTTCATGTATGTGAACACTATCGTGAAAAGAAATGTTATCAAAAGAGACCAAGTGGGTCTTCCTTGCTTGTCCACTCTGGCAATGAACTTTGGAAGCATTCCTCTAACCGCCAAATGTCTTATACACCGTGCTGCAATATAAACTGGCTCCAATCCACCCAAAGCCAAGCACACTACCATCATACCATTTATGACATCCGGCAAATATTTTATCCCGGCATCGTTCATCGCTATGATAAAAGGAGAGCTAGTGATCGACCCAGCGGTTCCCCATAGTCTAGGATCTGATTCGGGAACCAAAAGCGTAATGAACATTACTAGAATCATGAAAAACCCAAACACACGAATACCGGCACTTTTAACGGTTCTGGGCATTGAAAATCGAGGACTCTCTGATTCTCCAGCTAGCATTCCAATGAACACTTGGTCACCGACTCCCCATAAGCAGTAAAGGCAGCTAAATGAAAACCCACGCACACCATTCTTGAATACTTCGTACTCGGAACTGTCCCAAAATTGACCATTGTGAACAGTTCCGGTTGGTCCTCCTCCAGCACACATCACAATACAAGAAATCAAAATCATGAGCAACATCACCACCTTGACAATGGAAGTTCCATATTGAAATTCAGCGAACCATATGATGGGTAACGCATGAATTGCAAACGTCACAACCAAAATTATTGTCATCCAAGCAGCTACCGGTACTGTGGTAGTCCAGTATGAAACCAACGTAAAAACAGCAGCACCTTCAGATGCCATAACTGTTGTCCAGGCTAACCATTCACCTAAACCCACTGCAAATGCAGCAGCAGGATCCAAAAATCGTTCAGTAAAATCAATGAAATTACCTGAGGAAGGATACACGATCGAAAGCTCGGTAATAATCTCCAAAACACAAATAACCATCGAACATACAATGGTATAGGAAATAATCATACTTCCTGGTCCCGCGAACCGCAAAGCTTTTCCCGTAGAAATGAAAATTCCTGAACCAATGTTGGAGCCCAAGGTGACAATCTGAATATGTCTAGTCTTGAAAGATCTTTTGAACTGGCCCTGGCCCTCTTTCTCGCCAATCACACCTTCTGGGACAGTTTTAGTTGAAGCCGCATTTTCGTGGTCAACCGGCACCTCGCTGACTTCTATCAAAGTTCCTTTATCTTTCGTCATGCTTTACATTTGGACCATTGGGCTTTTATAGAAAAACACAGGAGTGTGTTTAGTCCTCACTTCGGTTACTCCCTAGTTGGGACAAATGCTGATCCTCCTCCACCTTCCTCTGCCCCAGATAAGGCTCGTATATATTCTCCGAGACTCACGTAATCTCCGCACTTGCTTATGCAAGATGCGACAAAATAGGAAATAATTGTAATTTGCTAGATAGTTACTTTGGTCTCTAAGGGGGAACAGTAATAGCTCCTTTCGCCTCTTTGGTACGCATTTGGACCACACGAAGAAGGTTGTATATCAATGTCAAAATGGGACATACAACACCATTTCTCATAGCGGTTCTGACTGCATTTCCGAGTATAACCTCCACCTCAATGTAGTTACCCTTCCTGATATCAACTAACATATGGTGAGTAATAAACCCCATCTGACCAAGCATTTCTTCAATAGTACTTTCTGGAACTTCAACTCCATTGGACTTGGCAATCTCCAACACCTCTCTCATAGCTTTCCTGGTGATAGTATCGTTCGCACCCCAAAGCTCGAGTCGACCAACATCTACCCCAGTTAAAGTACATACCGAATTGAGCGTAGCATTGTATACCAACTTGCGCCATCTGGTGAGCTTGACATTGTCATCATACACGCATTCATTGTGCTTGTTAATGAGTCTTTTGCATCTTGTTTCTTGAATCTCAAGAGGTAAATTGGAGTTTTCAAAGTATCCTATTTTCACTGAATCAAGTGTCTCGTGCTCTATGATACCTCCGTGATTAGTGGACGATATCATACTCACACCGCTCAAAATGACATTCTGGGGAAACTTATCCATGACTGGTTTTCCAATGTCAATGCCATTTTGAAGCAAAAAAATTGTAGACTCCGACGAAACAAGTGGTGCTATTAAATCCTCAACTTTAAGAATGTCCGGAAGATTTTTTGTTGTGACGACAAGATACTCAAACGGTCCATGCTTCTAAGCCTCTTCCACACTTGCCACAACATTAGTTGGTCGAAAATTTTCGATGTGACCGTAGTCGCAAGAATGGATCTCGTAACCTCTGGCTGTGACAAATTCGTAATCTGAACGAACAACAGAAGTAACACAAGCTTTTCCACCTGCTTCAAGAACAAAAGCAGCTATAGTTCCAACTCCTCCGGATCCAATCAATACTATTCCAGTTTTCTGCAAGTGCATTGAAATGTCCAATTCGAAAACCGTGCTAAAACTTTATCTCTGTGCGCCGCACCTAATGTTATCTTAAACGGCAATTTAGCCGCTCTTTATATCTTGGTACCAGAATATCTCCTTCCCCGGGGTCGACCTTCCACAGCGATTGGGGGAAAGAGCTGCAGACCCCATCTGGTCAATATAATGAAGAAATAAATTGCAGGCTTATATCCACTAAAAAGGTCAAGTGTGTTCAAGGTTGGGTTATATGCCGGACCAACAGCTGCAAATCTCGAAATAATTTGAACTCGGAATTCAGCCTGAGCAGAAAGATAGCTCACCAGCTCTTTACTCGACAATTAAACCTATTCTTCTTTGAGTTTAATTCATCCTTTGATAAGGTGATAACAGAATATGGCCGTAATTATATACTGGCTGCACAAATTGAGCGGTTTGTTATCTTTGATTCTTCCTTGGCAATTTATTGAACCTATTCCGTCTTGATGGTGATATGTCTAAGAATTCAATAAATACACATTTATACTTAAACAAAATCTCAATCCAGATGAATTTTTTCAAATACTGAACTTATTAGTCGATAACGAAGTTCTTGATAACGACTCCGGAGACTTGGAGCTTTGGTTGGACTCTAGTTATCGCTGTCGGGCTTCAAATCTATGAACGGTTCTCATAGTCAAACTTCTGTATCACGATATCGCTTCACTTAATTATGCTCAAAATCATCTTCAAACTCACTAATTACGAGCAAATGTCGCATACAAGTATTCGAAAGAGACTCTGGCGGCAAACGAGAGAATAGATTGTCGTAAAATTTGCACTCAAGGCTTAAGATTTTAAACTTCTTACATAGTTTATGCTCTTCAGTCCTGTCATGAGTTTCTCTTTTTCATTGATTGTCGCTCCACCTCTCCACAGCTTGTGAATAATGGCCACTGCAAGATATCGCTTGCAATTTATTGTTTGCCAGAAAAGCTCTTTTTTATGCGGTTCTGGCTCTTGTTAAACGAAAGGCATAAGCACTTTAATGACAATTATATCGAGAATAGTCCCATTTTTATGAATAAGCTTGCAACCATTTCCGTGGATACAGAACTAAGCCTTCCGCTATAATTGGTATGATTCACATAATGGACAGAGCCTGTTTTCGGAGTAGGAACCTACTCCAATATATTATAGGCGGCGTATGCTTCCCATTCTGGTTCCAGTATCGCTACCAATTAACCGCTCAGCCAGCTCAAACTGATTTTGCTCTTGTATTTTGATCGAGGTTTTATGTTTTATTAAGTATAAACCATGTTGCTGATTTGCACCTCTTTGACAACATAGCACGCCATAGACTCATATATATTGGTAGTAGTGTTCTCTAAATTTGAGAATCCATCGAAGTTGACCATTGACTAAAATACTTCGGGCATCACAAGAAATCTTGTCATCAATCTTGCATGTTCATAACGAAATAAGTAGAGACGATAAGGAGGGTACCGACTACAGCACTAAAAGCAACACAATGACTCGTGCGCACTCTTTTGCCGTAGATCTCGTTGTACTCAGGAGGCTGTTTAGAATTGAAATCCATACTCATTCTCAGATTTGTCTTCTTACTTATACTCGCTCTCCACTAGGAAGAACACGCATCTGGAAATTTTCGGACTAAATTTAAATGCGCGCGCTCACAACCATCACACGACCATCTGCAGCTCTTGTTTTCGATATATCAACTATCTTCATCCGTACTTGACTTTTGTGTTTGTATGTATGATTTGTATCGTGATTCAACTTCAGTCATGTTTCGAACGGCTTCAATTTTGAATACAATGTGCTTCAAAAGCCAGGAATAACTGGCATAGTAAGCATGCACGTCCGGAAGTGGAATGAATTGTGCATTGACAACATGCATATGCAGCAGTCAAGAAATAAGTCCGACAAGAATATTATTCAATCCAAAAAGCAATAAGAATTGGATTTGAGCTTGGATAGGAACTGTCTCTTGCGCAACAGAATCTCCTTGTAGAGAGTATTTGGCAACGTTAGTATGCACCTCCTAATAGAAGTAGTGCATTGACAGCTTGCATTTGCAGCATTTTTTGACGTAACAACAATGATAAAGCATGCACGGTGTCAAAATTTTGTGATTATTAATTTCGAACATGCATGCATACGCATACTGTGATACGAACTTCCATCACGGAGAAATGCTACATTGATGTTCCGTAAAGTCAAAGCATTTGAATCTACAGAAATGTAGGGTTTCCCTACATCGACAAAAGCTAATCACATAAACTCGCACTTATGATTCACATATTGATTTTCTACGCATTTTTTCGAGAACGGTGTAGTTACAGAATAGGTGAACTTCGGAAACTGGACCCAATTAGTGTATTGAAACAATTATAAGCGAAAACTGTTTAGTCTTGGAAGTTTTATTTCGTATTATAGCGCAAGAAGCCCGCTCACAGACAGTGAAGTGCACTCATGATTAATCTAAGTGCGGTTAGAGATTATTTTTGTGTCAGCTTTGAGTAATCAATTTTTTTTGAATTCATAGTTCGCATTATGCTGCGTAGTCTATGGCTTTTAGTGCTTGTGACTGTGTGTCTTTTAAAGACCGGAATAATACCAGCTGTGACAGTATACCTGATGCCTACTAGCGGGGACCTGATATCAACAAACAATGATTGGAAAAAATGGCACTTGATTGTAGCTGGGGTAACAATAGGCATTAGTACATTCATGGAAGTTGTTGATGAATGTCAATATGTATTGGATGGGGGCATTATAAACATTAGCAGATCTATTTTTTCAATCTCATCAACTACATTTGCCATGTTTATGGCTTATCGTTGTAAAGAGCAGCGGACTTTTTATGTGTCATACTTGGTGAGCATTGGGATAATTTTGACTGTATTTATCGCCACTATGGGAATACTTGGAGCCAAAAAAGGAATACTGATCGAAAAATAAACTTTAGTCGGAAGTTACTGGACTTCTATTGTCTTCGAACTCTGACTCCTCGAAAAACATTCTGCCTGTTGGATAAAATGAGTAAGTCGAAATTGCATTCAGAGGTGGAGAATTGTTCCTTTATACACAATACAGGGGCTGAAAATACTTGATAGGGTAACAATTCTCGATTTAACAGCCAATTAAAGAGTTAAAGCGTTTCAGCAAATATAAATATAGGGTCGTTTAAAGCCAGAGTCCGCGAGAATAAAGTTTCACTACTCAAAAATTTTGTCAAAACTACATGTTGAAGTCTCAAAAAGTGACTTCGGCTCTTGTCGTGAGCTGCTTCCAAAGTATGGAGTACGAATGTGAGACCTATTTGAGCGTAGTTATTCTTTGCTACACGCATAACTATATATCATTGGAACGATTCTCAAAGAGGTTTGGCGAATTGATAAAGATCTACACTTCCGAGTGCGCAAATTACATTGCATGTGTATTTAAAAGCTCAGCGAGGTTTTTGGGGATTCGGGGTCAAACTGTTATCAATGTACACCAACATGGGACAGGAATATTTTTATAGTGCGTCAACGCACATATTTCGCGCCTCATAGAATGAGGCGCGGCGCATCCCAGCACCAGATTTCTTTTATGCATCCTAGCACCGTGCATGATAAACCCCAACATCAACTCTCAAACATCCTAACATCTGGTTATAGACATCCTAACACCTTGCCTTATCCCATCCTAACACCTTCCTGAATTGCACCCAACACCCATATATAGCGAACACCATAGAAAGGCATACTTTTATAATTCCCCGAACTATATTTGGACTGCATTAACGATGCGCATTGGTGCAGAGGTGATGAATTATACTAGTTTGCTTATGTTCGAGAAGCCGAATTGCAAATAACAAGTTGAGATGAATTTGGAGGCTTTAAGGGTTTTATTGAGCGGTAGCCAAACTATGAACTTATTTTAGATTTTCCTGCTCTCGATTTGAATAGATCATTAGCCAAGGTGGATTTAGGAAGGTGCATGGACTAATATGTATATGCAGGATTGCGGCTGCAAAAAGTCAGTTATACTTCTTAATTAAATTGGCTAATTCAAAGATACGGAATTTCCTCCTTTCCCAGTTACTCAATCTCTTCATTCTGCTTCAAGGTAAATTTTCAACCATATATTTTTCAAAGTTCTATTTCTTGCTCACCAACCGAAACTTTCAGTATGAAGGTAAACTTCCTCAATGCCTTGGTTATTGACATCTCCATTGAAAATTCTAGCTTGAAGACTCGAAGCCACCCTACTAACTGTTCTCTTCATTGAATCTGAGCCAGAACTAACAATCATTGTCCGTTTACCAAGCAGCAAAGTTGCTGCTTTTATCACCGATTTTATATCTGGACGCATATAAATCACATTTTGTTTGGTTTCTCTGACGACATCGCTTTCTTGTTTAGAAGATATTGATTTGGTATCTGGTTCCTTGTGACAAACATAGATATTGACCTCGATAATATCTTCAGCTTTTCTCAAACTATCGAAAATTTCCTGTTCAAACCAAGTAAGATCGTGCTCATACCTGATGATCCAAATAAAATGGACTTTTTGGGTTATAAACTTGACTCCATTGGCTCGACAAGAAGAAACGTGGTTAGCCAACTTGATAAGAAACGGAAGTACTGCACTGATACCACTTCCAGTAGAAACAAGTACTACTTTTTCAAACGATGTTTCGTCCCTAACACTTCCACCATATGGACCATCGATATACACCTTTTTTTTGTGTGGAAACATTGTCCACTAATTCCTTGTGCAACTTTCTCGTAAGACCCTTCTTTGGAATAACGAGAAATTTCATATCTGGAGTTTCCTCGTCTGGAATAGTTGCTACGGAAAACGGATGGTTATCCAAAAATCTTGATCCAAAGAACCGAAGGTAGCAATGCTGACCAGGTTTACAAGAAACCTTTGAATTTGGAATTTCTACAAGAAAAGCTTCGGGACCTGATCTTGTCAAATAAGCAATTCTGGGACGAAGAAAAAGGGCATTGGGTCTAAATGCCGTCTTCACAAGAGCCCTATAACCCAATTGTGACATCCAGAATGCTAAGGCTCCCCACATGTAATTTTGAGCATTGAGACCCCAATTGATATGCCACACAAGTGTTGCAAAATAAGCTATTCCAAGAAGCCAATGAAACGATACAAATCCTTCGTAACATTGACGTCGAATCCACTTATTCGACAAGAGACATAAAAGACCCAAAAAGATCAACGGTGGTATTCCACTCATATAGTAGAATGCCGTGGTCATTTGAACTCTCATACTAGCTGCTCCATATTCTGCCAATCCCTGATAGATATATGGAACCACATGGACAATGGAAAGAACCAAAGAAGCTAATCCTAAAAATTGATGAGCAGAATTCAATTTTTCGTACGAAATTCCGGTGATCAGGGTGATGGCATTGGACTTACCAGCCAAGACGTAAATGAATGGAGTCAATGCCGTAGCCATAAGTCCAGCACGAATAGCCAATGGAGGAGAACCAAACCCACCACAACCTCTATACCAAAAATGCGGCACAAAACAGTATAATCCCAAATATAAAGTTGAAGCCATCATGAACAAAAGTGAGCCAAAATTTGCTGGAAGCCCAAAAATGGTACATAGGATTGGTGGTACTTGTTTATACCCGAGAAACCTGCAATAGCTGGTTGTAACATCAACAAAAGCTGAAAAGTAGTTTGAACTATTTGAACTGATTTTAAGTCTATCATGAATGCGATACCAAAGATGTTTCAACATGGCCAAAAATATCAATGAAATTCCAAAATAGATGGTATATTTGGCATATTTGGGCTGATCATAGTAACTAACTTCGGCTTGCAGCTGAGCACCGTACTTTTCATAGAGTGGAGTACCCATATCATGGACACAGTCGACGTCTTTATACCTCCGACCCGAAGGTCCAGAGATATTGAACATGATCATACGTTTGAACATTATCGTTTTTGGTGATCCTCGAGAACTTATATACTCCTGTTCTGGAATAGGTTAAGACATGAGCTCATTTTCGAGATGCTAAATTTTCATTTTTTCAATATTTGCTCGTATTTCGCATTCACCGTCTAGATGCTCTGCTCACCGCAATGGGTAAAAAAAATGACTCAATGTTCCGAAAATTGACTTTTCTTGGCTGTTCAAGCTTGTCGAGATCACTCTTACCGTTTTTACGGTATTGTCTTTTGCATCAGGAATGGCTGCAAAAAGCCCAAAACGGTATATGCGAAACGGTCAAAACGCACGATCAAATTATGGCCTCGAAAGGTTTCTTAAGTCCTATAGTTATGTCATTTCGAGTTGGTTGCTTTAAAGTGAAGAAATGTTACAAGAACTATGGCTAGGTATTTCATTTGCTGAATTCTGATCCAAAACCCAGGGTTTTTTTCTTCAGGTACTCTATGCAAAATCTTCATTTTTTGCAATTGTGAGGCTCCCAGATATTTTTCCTTCAAAATGACTTGATATTTGTCTGGAACTCAAGTCGGCAGAGCAAGCACTTGAAATTGTGGTATGGAAGCCAAATCACCAAATCTGAGCACATTGACGAAATCACGATTTCATTCACTAAGGCAGGTTTTTTCTCAAAATAAAAAAGTTCAGCAATTAGACAATAGAATAGTATATAAATCGCTCTAGAAATGGGCTGTTCATGTGGGCGTACACTACTCGTTCAAATTTATCTTTGGTTACTGCAAAAGACTTTGATTAAGGCTCATATAATAACCAAGACAATTCTCGCAAGATAACTCAAATGAGTAGTCATCAAGTCTCGGCATCAAGGTAGTTAAGCAAAGGATAACGAAAGCACATAGAGACAATTCTGTCAGTTTAGAAAGATGAAAATGCATTTATTCAAACTTTTTCGATAATTTTTTTCGACTATTTTTTTTCGAGTTTATCAAAGTCAAAAGTCACAGCATGAGAAGCACCACTCACAAATGCACAATTGCCCATATCGAGCTTCTTAACCTCTGCTTCTGGCCGAATATCAAAGTCAAAAATGTCCATGGGGATTCCCAACGTGGTACAAGCATTAGGAACATCAACCACTCCAGCAATATGTCCCTCGATGGGAGCAGTGGATAAGAACAAGTAAATTTGATAATCGTTGTATCCAAAGCGACGCAAGTACTCAATTGCTCGGATACAACATTGGCGATAAGCCGTGGTTAAACACAAGAATTTTTGATCGCCATGTTCATCGACAGAAAATCCTTCAAATGTCAAGTACCGAGATGGTCCATAATGGTTGGCAACTTCACCAGGAACATACATTGGAGATTTCAATTTCAATTTTTCAACACCTCCTTTGATGATAGAAGCTGATAGGGTAACAACTCCAGCCATTTCAATTGCTCCACAAAAACTAATTTCTCCATCACCTTGCGAAAAGTGTAAATCTCCAATGGAGAATTTTGCACCCTTGACATGAACGGGAAAATAACATTTTGAGCCCCGAGAAAGGTTCTTGATGTCACAATTTCCTCCATGTTCAGGACGCCCAGGAACTGTACGAGCACCTTCTCTACCAATTTTAGCCAAAAGGTCGCCGGTTGCGGACCCAGCATGACAATTTTTTTCTTCCGGCAAAAGAGCCACCTCTGTTTCGTGTTGATGCTGGTGCTTTTCCTTGAGTTCTGACTCTCTGGAATTCCATTCCTTCAAAATTTCAGGAGAAGGTGCCGTTCCCATCAAGCCAGGATGAACAAGTCCTGCAAATTTGACATGAGGAATATGTCTAGAAGTGGCATAAATTCCTTCAAAATCAAATATAGCCTTGGCACATTCCGGATAAAACTTTTCAAGAAATCCCCCGCCATTTTCCTTGTGGAAAACTCCACAATAGCCCCATGGTCGTCTCTCCAATGGCTGGACATCTTTAAGCTCAATTACCAAGCAATCTCCAGGTTCTGCTCCTTCAATGTCAAAAGGACCCGATAAGTAGTGGATCCGAGTCAAATCGACGTTTCTTAAATCGTCGGCACAATCGTCATTTTTAATTTGGTTTCCGGTCCAATCTAAGCACTCAATTTTGACAGTTTCGCCAGGCTTAATTGTTGCAAAAGATGGGACATCTGGATGCCACCGGTTGTGAACACCAGGATGCTGGTCACCGGATTTTGTCAAGTCGACTTTGGAAACGTACTTAATTGGAGTCATAATTTTTGGTACAATTTTGCCAATTGATTGGTATATATGCGGGTTGCTGCATATCTTATCAGTGCGCGGCACTGTCCCAATCGGGTAACGGAAAAGTGTTGGGGTGCCAAGATGCTCGAAACGTGGAGCAAGAAAACACGCGGATTAGATCGGAAAGATATGTTGCTAGCTTACTCTCGGATTGTTTTGGATTTCTTCCGGATAGCTTTACGGAAACAGAAAGTGGAGAAAGAGTGTGGAGAAAGAAAGTGGAGATAGAAAAGTTTACAATTGAAACCAGAATCTTCAATTGAACTGAATGACTGTAGATTTTTTGAGTCTCTAGTTACCTCCAATTCTAGGCTACTGGTGCAATTCGAGTTCACTCGATAAAATATCAAAAATCGAATTTTTCTGTTTTTGAGATCAGAAATACCATTTGCCAAACATACTCATTTGTGCTTAGTACCATTCGGCTATTTGTGCTATTTGGTTTTGGTTTCATTCATCTCTTTCGCTTATATTGGCCTTACCTCATCTCCACCGACGCATCTTCATGCACCCCGTACAGATGTCAAACTGCAGGTTTCTGCACGACCACGTCATCTTGCAACGGCCGAGGTGATTGGCCGATGAGATCAAATAGTCTGAAACTACAATCATATTCGTCTGTATTTGTCTATAATGCTATGTACAGCCCTAGGTTAAGCAAGTGCAGCAATTACTTGTCTCAACGCAGGAATATTGGCACCAACTACCCTTCCTTCTTTATTTCCTTCCTTGAAAAATAAAATTGTAGGCATACTAGTGACTTCATATTCCAGTGTCAACTCGCTCAATGCATCAACATCAACTTTTAAAAATTTCACTTCATCATACTCGTCAGATAATTTTTCCAAAATAGGTGAGACGGTTTTACAAGGACCACACCATTGCGCATAGAAATCTACCACCACTAAGCCATGGTATTGTATAGCATCTATTAGCTGTTGCTTGGATTTAACCTCGACTATCATTGACTACACATTTGAAAAAACGGCTGCAAACCGTGCTTATATATGTCAAGTTTGGTCACCATTCCCGATCACTTTTAACTGCAATGCAACCGATTTGGAACCGATTGGAACCGATTGTGGTACCGACTAGACCATGTCGGGCCGGACCTTCTAGTATGACTAAAGAACGGCATCGAATATGTGAGATTAGTCTCGAATATCTAAATCTCACGTAAGCACCGTTCCTTTTGCGGCCGAAATCATGACCGGACTTCGCGTCGGAATTCGGTGCAGCCGGATGCGAATCGGAACCGGTGCGAGCCGGAACTCGGCCATAATGAGCTAAAAGGCAGACTATAGAGCTAGCGAAAGAGCTAGACCAATATTTTTGGCATATTTTTGAGCAATGTGAGTATTTCAGGTTCAATTAATAAGGATCTGTTCTAGTACTAGTTCTAATATTTTTCACATGTTACATTCCTTTCCGCGTTATTTGTCTCTATTCAAACTACTTCTCGGCATCGAAAATCTGCTTGACAGTGTCAACCACAGATTTCTCCAAGTCAATATACTTGATTCCCATCACCTTATCGGTCTTGGCAAAATTCAACTTTGCTGCATTAGCAAGGTCTTTCTTGCTAGATCCGGGGTTTCCTAATGGGATATTCTTTGCTTTTGCTTTTTCAGGAAAGTTCTTGTGAATAATATCAAGGAAATCTTGGAACGTGAACCGGCCATCGGCCAACACCAACCGCTGGTTCTTTGCATCTTCCTTTTCAAAAGCAACCAAGTGCGCCTCAGCAACGTCTCTGACATCAATGTAGGGTCCGGTATAAGTAGGAAGCTCTTCACCAGGCTTCAATTTGAGCGCAGCGTTGATAAGCTCAGACGAAGTGTTGAGACTATCTTTGATGTCGGAATCAAATGCTTGTGGTCCAAAGACGTAGGTTGGATTGACGGAAGTTAACACAAAGTTGGGTTTTGATTTCTCAACAAAGTCCCACGCAGCCTTTTCTGCCAATTTCTTGGACACCATGTATCCTGAGAATGCATTTTCCGTTCCTTCTTCTCTGGTCATAGGGTTCCAATTTTCTTCGGTGTAGGTCAAGGACGGGTCCTTTTCTCTCTTAGAGTCCAAAACAGCAGCAAATGACGACGTGATCACCACATGCTTCACCTGAGGACCATATTTCTCAATTGCCTTCAAAGCATTGTTGGTTCCCTCTTCGGCGGGTTGATACAAATCCTTCTCCACGTTGTCGGTGTTGAAATGGAATGGCGAAGCGGTATGAAGGAAAACCGTCACATCCTGATGTTTCTTCAAAGCCTCGTCAAAAGCGCCACTTTTACCAATATCACTAACGATTTCGTACTGGAAAGAATCACCAAATTTGGACACGAGTTGATCGCCCTTTTCCTTAGATCTAACAGATCCAACCACTTTATAATTCTTTTCAATTAACTGCTTAATCACATGTTGGGCAATGAACCCGGTAGCACCAGAAACGAAAACAGTGGTCGACATAATTGTTGAGAAAATTGATGGGAAATTGCCACGTTATTTATAGTGGAAATGTTGCCGTGAAGTATTGTTAAGTTGCTGCGCCCTGTGCGTCGGCCCGGCCGCATTAGGTAATGACGGTATTTCCCTGCATTAACCACCGTGCGTCCGATGCAACGGACTTTCCGTTTCCAGGTAAACCCTGAATAATCGGATAATAAATCGTCAATTTGCCACTGCTTTGGTGCATTGTGCGTCGGATAATAGAATCCGGTTTAAGGCAGTAAACATGTGACTGCGGCAATAATGATGATTTAAAGTGAGCACTTCGCACTTTTTACTTAGTCAATATTAATCGGCATAAACATGAGATAAAAAGGTGAATCACGATATCTTCGACTCGGACAAAAATTATTCTCGGAAACAACCGTAGAAGAGTAGTGGATGAAATCAAGTTAGTTTCACCTTCAGACCGTACTGTGAACTTGGTTTAAAATCTGTATTATCCACAATTGAGGTACTGAATGAACAGGCCATAGTTAATGCCTTTGGCTCATTTTATCTCGTTACTAGCACATGGCTCTTTCTCATTCCTGGTCTTTTTTTGTCCTCTTCCACTGAAGAATTCCACCGATGACTGAAAAAACAACCCCGAGTCCCGCGAGGCCCATTCCCATATAAAACGCAACTCTAATTCCAAGCAACTTCAGCTCAAAAGTCTGGGGCAAATGGTCGGTCTTGTACTTTTCGACCGTACCTGCAAATCCAAGCCCCAAAGATACAGAATAGTTCTGGACCGTTGCAACCAAGGAAGCAGCGATTCCTTGTTTCGAAGGAGGAAAGTGGTTGGAAAGAATGATAATGGCGGCTGGAAAACTCATATCCATTCCAAACGGCTGGATGAGACACGATACGAATTTTTGGCCCCAGTAGGTTTGCCCTACATGTCTTGTTCCAATGATTATTATGCCCGCAAAGAAGGCACACATCGCCATAATCATCACGAAAGACAGCCGTGTTCTGCGAAGAAGATAGGCGGTGGTGAATGATGCCATAAATCCTGTAACGCTACAGGGAATGAATTGAACCGACGCAACCACGGCATTGACGTTGTCGATGTAAAAAGCCCATTGAAAGGTGTAATAGAGCCAAATACCAAAGCAGGACCATCCAGTTGCGATACATCCCAAGACAAACGCCGGTTCGCCCTTCAACGATTTGATAGGCACAAGTGGATGCTTCAAGTAAACCTCAACTATGGCAAATGCAACCACTAAACCTACTGAAACAATGAGCAAGACGTAGTTATAAACTATCTTCCAGCCCACATTGGACCCTTGGTTCCAGGCAAAGTTGAAGAGGATCAAGCCGCTGATTGCCAAAATCGATCCTATCCAGTCGAAAGGCTCGTTTCTGGATGGAGTTCCTATCTTTTTGGGGATACACAAGTATGACAACAAGGCGAGACACACCGAGGCTATTCCACACACCCAAAACGTCCACGGCCACCAAACTTTCATGGCAAAAAAACTGGAAAAAAGAGCGCCTATATTGAAACCAGACGGTGCGGCTGCACCGAATAAGCACATCACAATAGTCTTCCTCATGGACCCTGGAGGATAATAGTGACCCAAAACAGCAACGGCATTGGGTAAAAGTAGCGCCAGACCAGCTCCTTGCAAAGCTCTGCAAACATCAAAAAAGACCGCCGATTTTGCATACGCACTGAACCCACAAATTAGCGACCACAAGGCAAAAAACAACAAGCCAGTGATGTACATAAGCTTGTACCCGAACATATCGCCAAGCTTCCCCGAAACCAAAATAAATGTACCCACCGTCAGCGAAAATGACGCTGAGAACCAAGCCTGCTCACCAGGCAGATTTTCGACTCCAAAACTTTTGGCAATTTCTTGGGTAGCTGCCATCGCCTGTGCTACGGCTGCCTGCGCATGGAGCTGTCCACAACACATGCAAAATACAAAGGCTATTTCATGAAAGAATCTAATTTCGACGCAGCTCGGCACGGCATTTGTGTGAGCGTTTTCTTCATTTTCTTCTTTCACGACCACGATCTGGGGTTCATCGCATATAGTTGCCTCACACGTTGTGGATGCACTTCTCATCGACATTACAGTTGACAAATGTGGACGGCTACTCTACATTTGTAGCTTACAAATTGTCGCTGACAAATTATGCACCTTGAAGCTTGACCATCGTCATACTGCGTTCCATGCATAATCTTCATTGCCCGATACGTACATTTGCACAATGTGCATTACCGCAGTTACGCTATGGCTCAGGCCATCCTTAACGGCTTCCAGGATAGCAGAAACCATAATTTTGAGTGTCCATCAACTATTGATTACCTTCTTAGCAGCACTCAAATGAAGTTTGAAGGTGCAATGAACCAACTCAAGCCGCTGACATCTGACTAGTGTCGAAACTAGTCGTAAAGCTGCAAAGCCGAGCTTACTAAGAGCCGTCAATGTTGTTCCTTTTCCTATCGAATACTGGTCAAATCTGCAATCACTCATACTGTATTCAAACTTTCAACAACATCGCTGATATAGTCGAACAGGCCAACGTGATTCCCCACAATGTTGAATAGAATCCTTCCCCACTAGTGCCCCCTAAAACGAGCTGGAATAAGATAATAATGATGTCCGAAGTATGGTCACAACCGAGTTGGAGTAAGACCAGAGATCTTCTATTCCGACACAAAGGTGCTTATTTGAGTACATAATGGAGCAACACACTTTTTGTCAGGGGTTTCGTGGAATCTCAAACTCTTGGGGCTGTTTCACAAATATCTTGATTGAAATCTCCATACAAAAAGGATGTCCCTCATTGTCGATGGTTTTCACCACCCACCTCAAACTTTAGCAATTACTGCTATCAATTTTCAAATATAAGGATAATAGGTACTCCCATTGCTCTTTTCAATTTCCAGTGATTGTTCCACTTTTAATAATCTACGTAGACTTCTGATAATTTTAATCATTCTGATATATAAATGATACGAAACTCTTCTCATTCTTCTATTGTTTTATACGCACGATAAGGCTGTCAAATTAGGTAATTCATGCACCCCACAAGCCAAGAGATCAAATGCGAAGAGCAATTTATTTTTTTCCCAAATAACTCACCAATGTCCGAGGTTGCTTCCGCTTGAGTATATGGTGGTTTAGGCTCATATTAGGCTCACTTGTTGCAATGAAACTTGTAACTCGTTGTCCATTTTTTGTTCACGACCGTCGCTACCTAAATGTTATCCTAATCGCAAGTCAATGATGCCACGAAAAAACCAAGAAAATCAGAGAAAGGACTCAATAATTTGAAGACATTATTTCGAGCCTTTGACGATAGATGTATTCAGTGAAACATACCCTCGGCGAATCCCGAAGAGAACTTGATGATGATTCACAAAAGGTTAAGATGGACCAACATTCAACAGCCATGAAGCAAGGAATTCTCGATCTAAAGAAATACAAGCCCACAGCTAATTGATGATATATTTTGATGTACAACGTGCTATTACGAAAACTCTTGTTACAAGTTTAGTTCCGGATGTACCACGACGGTGTTGAGCCTCTAAGAGATATTCGTCATCTTCAAGGACATTCTTGATCAAACCAGAGTCCTAAAGTATCCATAATACAAAAATCTGGCTGCTTATCAAGATTCAGATGGAAAGATTTGAACTCAGTTCAGTTCAACTAAGATCATTATGGAAGATTCCGAAACCAGTTCCCATTCGAATACGTTCACACAATTCACTGAGCTAGATTCTTCAAGAAGGCAATTTCTTGCCTTGAAAAGAGACTTACTCAATCTTCCTCGCTTGAAATGGGGAACTGGAATAACGTTTATTTGCACTTTTCTATTTACTCCTTGAGACACTTGGCGTACACATCAGACAAAAACGTTCCTCCGACACAGTAGTTGAGAGTGTAACACTCATCGGTGATGGAGGAGTCGTTTTTGCATTGTGGCACATATGGAGATTGACGGTATTGCAATTCCATATACTTTTGGTTAAAGTCAATGTTGGAAGTGTCGTTCAATTTCGACAAGATAAACTTATGCCAGAACGTGGCGTTCAAAGGAGCCGACTTGGGCCATTCACCGTTGGGATCATAGGTTTCCCGCGCACTATATTCAAAGTCCCATCTTGGCTCATCTCCACCATTGACAAATGTCTCGTTTAATGGAGTGTAATAGTTGAAGGTGTTCATGATGTTGAACGATTCGTCCTCCACCTCGTAGTATCTCCACGAAGGATTGTACTCGGTTAATGGGGTGATCGACTGTGAAACATACGCAACGTTAATGGCATCTTGGGCATCTTGTCCATTGGCAGAGTACAAGATTCTGAATTGATCTTGATGGGTATGGCCGAAAAAGATGTGAGCCACGGTATATGGCGAGAATCTCTCGATGATCTTGGAAAAGATGTGGGATTGAATAGGCAAGGTGTCTGTATCACCGGTTGGAATATGGGCCATAATCCATACTCTTTGGCCAATTTTTTCACTCTCCACCAACTCGTCAATGAGAAACTTCCATTGGCCAAACAAGTCTGGTTCTTGCGACAAGTTGATGTATGCCCACAAGTTCTTTTGGTAGTAGGCGTTGGAGTTGAGAGAAATCACCTTGAGTCCCCTTTTGGTCACAGTGGAAAATCCAGCGTAGTGGGTCTTCAAGCTGTTGGTCATATTCTTTGGCAACCACGAGTTGTCGACCCACAACTTGGCATTGTACTCGGCATTGTACTGGAGCGTGTGGTTGGAGTCCAAGGATATGGGAGCCATTTGTCCGTATGGGAAAGTATCGTGGTTTCCCAAAGTTGGGAAAACAGGAATTCCAGGCAAGTGTTTCTTCAACACATTTGCAACGTCTCTTTCTGCTCTCTGAGTGGTTTCCAAGTCACAATGGTACTCGTCGTGGTCCACCATATCTCCTGTGAAAATGGCAAACTCAAACTTTTTGTCCTTGAAAACCTGTCCAACATACTTCATACTATTGTTGATGAGAACTTGAGGTGGGTCGCAGAAGTAACCTCCAAAAGATGAAGCTGGCAAAGACACCGATTCGTAGCCGCGCAGGCTAGGAAGATCGTAGTACTTTCCCTTGACGTAATTGCCATCTTTGTCGTAGTGGGCATCAGGGTAAAACGAGTAGTTGAAGGTGGAAGCTGCAGCATCAATTTGGCTGTAAACCGAGGTGAAATTGTAATTTTTCGTTGGCAAAGTTTCGTTCAACGACTCGGGCAAACAACAAGGAGGATCCTCACACATACCCTCGGCACCAACAGTATACCGGTACTGGATGTGGAAGTCAGAGAGATGAAGCACGTTGAAAACTGACCTGTTTTCCGACTTGTACTGTGGAGCCTGGTTGTATGATTCTTTCTTTTCCGGCCACCACGAAGAAATATCGATGTCTGGAGTTTCTGGCAAGTCACAGTCCCCTTTGGCTTTGAAGTAGCAGTAGTACTCCATGTCGGTTTCGGAGCTCATGTTGAAATTTTTGATCATTTGAAGAAAATCATTGTCGTAGAAATCGACACTGGTTCCAGATTGCGATCCCGATTCCAAATCTCCAATTTGTTTAGTCAGGTCCTTGCTGGTGGTGGTCAAGAAGAAGTCCACCTGCGCACACTTGGCATCGCTCTTTTTCTCCACACAATATTTGTACAACAAGAGCGAGATGAGGTGCTGCTTATCTGGCTGCGAATCCACGAGATTGCGAGCAAACCGCAACCGTTGCTTACAGCTGTCACATTTCGAGCCATTGGTCTGTTTTTGCAACTTTTTCAAGTTGATATTGATGAAATCTTGCGACGGATAATCCAAATCGTCGAAAATAGTGTCGATCATACTCTCGCTTCGAACAGCCAACAGCCGTGCCAGCATCTGGTACCGAAGTGCCGGCAAACCAGGAACGGTGAAACCCGAGGCTAACACCACAAACAGGGCAAGCGATAACAATTGAGCCACAAGCATTGATGGGGAAACTGGAAAAACGGTGCTGTTTTATACCCCAACGTTTCCGATTCGTGCAGCAGTTCATGCGGTGCCTTGCATTTGGCATAATATCCCACGTGCGATGCGCTACCAAAATGTGCATAACACTTCCTTTTTGGGCCAGTGATCCGCCCAAGAGGCATTACGGGGAAACCGGAGAAAACGTTGCGAAGACAATCAGGAGAGGGAGATAATTAAAGGAGAATCAAGAACTGGAGTGCAATTGAATTGGTAAGGAATAGGCAAAGATGAAAGTCAGGATGAGTCAATTCAATGGTAATGAAAATTGGATTTATATTTTGCACAATCGAATTGAGCGTTTTTGACTTGCTCGGCAGATCCATCGTATTGGTGAGATTATTTTCTCGTTTAGCGATATTTTTCGTGAGAGTGAATTCCAGCGCGGAGCAATTTGCAGCCAGAGATTGCGCTAAAAAATTCGGAACAGACGACTGGATCCGACTAGATCCGACTGGATCTAATGCTCAGAAACTTGATCCGAAGCTATATATATCACTTCATTGTCAGTTGTTGCACAATTGAGCCCAGTACCGATTCGGACTTTAAGCGACAATTCTCATTGAAACGATACGACACTATACGGAGATAATTACCGCGTGCACATGATCCATAAGATTTGATTTTTCATCAAAGTACTGAAATGGGAGTGTGAAATTGTCATAATCGAATACCGACCACGGAAGGGTTATCGTTGGCCTGTATGCCGTACCAGCCACACAGACGCACGGTCGGGTGAGCATCGGCTTTTCCGATGCTCTTCCGATCAGCGATGGGTGCAAATTATAAAAAGGTAAAGCGATGGCTACCAGTCCAGGATAGTTACCGACATGTCGAGCACAGAATCAGATTTGGAAGTTCAAAAAAAAGAAGAGCCTAAGGTCCATGAAACCGTGGATGGAGGCTATGGATGGGTCATAGTGTTCTGTTCGTTCTTGTTCTTATTTTCCACTTGGGGAGTCAATTCTGCTTTTGCGATATACTTTGCCGAGTATCTTCGAAATGGAAAGTTTGAAGGTGCTTCGAAAATTGACTACTCGTATATTGGAGGTCTTTCATTTGGAGTAGGACTTTTCAGTGGTCCACTCATCAACTATGTTCATGGATTGATAGGTACCCATTGCACCATTCTCTTGGGAAACTGCTTTCAGTTCACTGCAATGATGTTGGCAAGCTACTCCACTAAACTCTGGCAGCTTTATTTAACTCAAGGGTTATTACAATCGTACGGGTTGGCATTTGTCAGTTTACCAGCAATCCCATTGGTGAGTCCATGGTTTGAAAAAAGACGAGTTTTGGCCAGTGGACTTGCGGTGATGGGCAGCGGGGCTGGAGGAGTGGTTTTCACAATGGGAATGTACAAAGTGATGGAAGTTCGGAGTGTTGGCTGGGCACTTAGAGCTCAAGCCATTATCAGTGCTTCGTTGATTTTGATAGGAGTTCTGCTTGTACGAACCCGTACCAAGAGTCATATCTTTACTCCGTTTGATCTTGCAACCCTCAAGTGTTTTGGGTTCTGGATAATGTGTTTTTATTATATAACCTGCATTTTTGGTTATGTGGTAGTGTTGTACAGTTTGGCCAGTTTGGCCGCTACCCTTGGTTATTCGCTGCACCAGGGTGCTGTGGTTGCAACCATGGTCCAGGTTGGGTTTTGTTACGGTAGACCGCTTGCTGGATATTTTTCCGATAAATTAGGGCCCATCACCGTCACCGCATTTTGCTACTATATGTCCAGCATTTTCACATTGGCAATGCTAATTCCAGCCAGAAACTATGCAACCCTCATTATGCTTGGTTTGCTCGAGGGAACTTTCATGGGAGCCATTTTCCCCACTACAGCACCAATAACCGTTCGCTTAGTGGGTCTTCGAAAACTAAATGTTTCATTCTGCATGCTGTGGATGTTTGTAGGTGCTGCCTCCATCTTTTCAGAGCCAATTGCAACCTCCATAACTACCTCTGTCGACGGAGTGGCCCTTGCTGATGCCTATACTCACCCAGGTATTTTTGCAGGATGTTCGTTCTTTGCTTGTGCTACCGCTGCCATGGTTCTTCGAGGCTATGTTATTGGCCGAGATGTTGTCATGGCTCGGTCCAGTTTGGATCCTGCCACAACCGATATTTTAAGCGTGAGAGTTCCGGCAGCCGATATTGTTCGGAACATGATTTCGTGGCCCTCGAGACGGGCATAGCTGAGATGAATTATCCAAGGCCTAATTTATATATATGTCCTAATTGCTAATCTAAAAAGAAACCCCTAAATTCCCTGAATAACATTCTCTGAAATCCCTAATCCCCCGAATCATTCCCAATACATTATAGCTTCTCAGTGCAGTCCATCGTGGCGATTGGCTAAATACCAATTCGTATCTCAATTCTCATCTTCTCATCAAACAGAAACCTCTCCTATTTATTTTTTCACAAAACAATGGCTAAGCGTTCCAGAGCCCCAATTGCTTGCGATAGGTGTCGAAGCATGAAGGTCAAGTGTACGGGAGAGATTCCTTGTGCTAGATGCAAAAAGTTCAACATTGCGTGCTCGTTTGCAGCCGATGAACCGAATTCTACAATGGCACTACCCAAAAGATTGGCAACTTCAAAACAGGATACTATCGTTCCTGAAGAGAAAAACACTTCTCTAAACGAATACTTTTACCACAACAGCCAATGGCGAATGTACGGCAGATGTCAGGCTGTTCTTCTACCTGAGCTTTGCAATACCAGTGCAAAAGAGCATTTTGAAGGACAAACTGTTCCTTTCAAGGCTCCAAGAATTCAGTGCTATGGATGGAATATGTCTGGAGTGCACTATCTCCAAAGGGAAGAATTCCCCAAACCACCAGATCACGACTTTACTGACACTCACGAACACTTGGTCAAGTATTTCTTCGAGGAGATAAACCCGCTATTCAATGTTCTTTCTCATGATTATCAGACGCTTTTTATATCGAGTTTTGATCGCTTTCTGCTGCCCAAAGGTCACACAGCGACGCAGAAGAATATTGCAAATTTACACTCGAGTCTCTTGTACTTGGTGCTTGCCATATCGTTGAGATTCACCGAATTTCAAAAATCAGACGGACCCCAATTGGAAGCTTTGCGCTTGGAAACCGAATGCTTCTCTTATGCTCATCAAGTCTTGCAGATGATAAGCTTTGAGTATTTTGCTCTTGAAGCACTTCAAAGTTGGCTACTTGTGGTGTTATACTTGCGGATCACTTACAGCCAAAGGTCGCTCTTGCATGCCCTAGACAGAGCTAATTGCATGGCACGAAACATGGAGCTTCATACGGTTCGTGCAACGAGAACTAAGGAACCACCCGTGAGGACAAAAGCACGAATGGTTTTCTGGAGTCTTTATTCCATGGACCAAATCTTTTCCATTCAAATTGGCCGACCTCCTTTTTGGAGAAACGACGATATCACGCTTCCATTTCTAGATCAAACTGAAGTTTCAAAGTTTGATTTGCAGCCGGGAAATGCATACTATGCTATCCACAAACTTGCAATTCTAGCTAATCAAGTCCAAACGGTGAGGTCTAGTTCACTGGAAGAAATCAGTATTTTTCTGGTCGGTAAAAGTATTGAAGAATTGCACACATGGCTACAAGAATCTTTAAGTGGCTTGCTGCCCATAATCAAGGCACAAGTGCTATTGCACTTTCATGATATTCTTTTCTGCTTTCATAGTCCGGTGCTATTCAACTATGTTGGAAAGTCTTATTATTGGGATGGATACAGCGTGGACAGAATTCTTGCGGGAATGGAGGAAGTGGTGGATATTTTCGTTAAGCTTCAGGTTAACAATCTTTTGGTTAGACCTTGGTACCATAACCTTGCCATGTTGTTTTGTGCTGGTAGTTTTGCCTTGGCCATAGTCAATGGAGGCAATCAAACAGTACGAGCAACAAAGATATTTAGGTCTTCTCTCGATCTACTTCGTTTTCTAGGGTCGCTAAGAGTTTCTCAAGCACCAGAAATTGTCCGCTTTCCTATGGCAAACGAATGTGTGTGGGCATTATCTCAAGGTATTAACTGCCTCAAAGCTCGCTTCGAAAAAGAATTAAATGTTTTTCTGTCTATTGATGTTGAAAAACATAGCGATGATGTCAATAGTCACCGCTTTGGAAACATAGGAGAATACTTACAGCCTCGAGAAACTTCAAATGGCGAGGTTAGTGATGACAAAAAAGATATTGACAATGGTAATTCAGCACCCATAAGTAGCCAAGAACGAGTCCAGGATATGTTTCTGAATATCACAGGAGCAAGCTGGATGAATGAGGAAATCGGAATGTTTTTTGATGATATATTTTCAGCTGACAACTTGGATATTATATGAAAATATGAAGCAAAGATGAAGGTAACTATTAAAAATGAAAAGAATTAGATCGTTAGTTATTCAACTATAATCATAATTCAATGAATCAAATGAGTCATTATTGTTAGTTATTCAACTATAATCACAATTCAGCTAATCATAGTTATTGATATCATTAGTTATTCAACTTAATGAATACTGCTTCATTTCATTTTTGGGTGCAAATTGGAACCACGAGCAATCTTACATAAGCCAACTACATCAGTCGAAACCATTCACATCCAAATTTCAATCCAAGTATGTCTGTAGTTCCTGAAAGTTTCAAGGCTCAAATCAACCAGGGCGTCCCGGGTAATGTGAAGGCTAGACCAGATCCACTTCCTGCTGGCAAAAAAATCACTCCAAATAAGAAAAACCCTTGTGAATTGGATTTTTCATATGATGATGCTATCACCAAAACCCCAGTTGCCGGCCGTACCGGTGACGCTACCGCCGGATTCGAGCAGGTGGAGTCGGCGTTGTCCTCTGGCGACTATTCGACTGCCATTAGAACCCTCTGGTATCTTAGATTATCGACATTTTACAACGAAGATTCCGCCAATTTGTATGCGTATTTAGCATTTGCTTTTGCAAAGCTTGGATTTCTGGAGCACGTTGGTTTTGCTCTCAAGAAGATGAGAGAGAGCAGTATGGACCAGACGGTGTTGAAACCAGAGGTGATGACGGCATTGAAGAAAATAGGTAATTAGTAAATGAATTTCGCATTCTTTTCTTATGGAACAGTCGTCGTTTGCAAGTATATTGGAGGGGGTGAAGCGGATGCGAGAGGAGTATGGGGATGGGGAATCAGAAGGAGGAGGGCAAGGTGACAAGAGTGAGGAAGCTCAACAGAATCAACAAAGTGAGCAAAATCATCAAAATCAGCAAAACCAGCAAAATCATCAAGATCATCAAAATCAACAAAACCACCAAAAAGAACAAAACCAGAACCACGTACAAAACCAACAACAATCCCGCGACCGGATCCAGCCTCATCGGCGCCGACCAGCTCCACAATCTTACTCGGCAGTTCAAGTCTCCAACTCACAAAAAGGCAATCCATTGCTCAACAATTCTTTGATGAAAACCACCCCGTGGTCATTCAACGGGTCTATTCTCTCCGACTACTACATCAATGCTTCCGTTCAGATACTCTTTCTTTCATTAAAGTACCATAAAGTGCATCCCGAGTACATATGGCAGCGACTCAAGAAACTACACAGGGGATCATCGGTGTCTTCCCGTTCCGATAATTCGCTTCGAGTGCTCTTGGTGGTGGTGGACATCGATGCCTACAACGAGGTTCTTCGAAAGTTGGCAGATTTGTGTATTAAACAAGACTTGTCTTTGGTACTTGCTTGGTCGTTTGAGGAAGCTGGAAACTATATAGCATACGCCAAACAATACGAGACTTCAGCTTCCAATGCAACGTCGGCTATTCGTGGGATCAAAAGCCAAGATTATCGAGCAGCAGTTGTGGAAACTCTTACTTCGGTGCCGGCGGTGAACAAGACTGATGTGGTCAACTTGTTGGCCAATTTTCACTCTTTTCACAATGTGGTGAAAGAAGGTTCCAACGGGACCAAATTGGGCGATATACTGGGGATGGGCAGCCGCAAGGTGGAGAATATGAAACGGGTGTTCACCGAGCCGTTTATATATAATAAGGAGTACGGTAGGACTGAACTGAACTGAGAACTGAGAATTGAAAAACTGAAGAATTAAAGAATTGAAAAAGTGAAGAATTAAAGAATTGAGAATTGAAGAATTGAAGAATTGAAGAGTTGAAGAAGAACTGAAGAAGAACTGAAGAAGAACTGAAGAAGAACTGAAGAAGAATTAAAGAAGAATTCAAGAAGGATTGCCTATGAATGCTACCAGTGTCATACCAACTTTCACGATTACAAAATACATTAATGACTTTTATTTCTGTTGTATGCTTCTCTCGTCACTTTCTCACTTCTCTCACCCCTGCTCGGCTACCTTGCTCCGCAATACCATGTTGATCGAGTTCATAATATCATTCTTCTGCACTATAATGTCCTTTAATTTGGCCGAATCTTCAGTCAATTTCTTGATCTTGTTCTCGTATACAACCTTTGCATCTTTAGCCAGTTTCCCCACAAAGTATCCCGTACCTATATCCACCAAGTATTCATCTTTGTCTATGGCTCTTCCTGGAACGTAAAGTGAGCTTGTAAGTGGTACTAAAAGCTCCGAGTTATTACCAGAACTCATGCGATCGACACTTTTTATACATTGCTTCAATTTAGTGTTGGCCGTCTGTAAAGCATGCAAGGATTGAGTAAAGTGGTCTATCTCCTGCTGGGTTGATTTTTGGAACTCCACAAGTTGCTCCGGTTGGAGTTGGGTCAAGTCTATTTTCCTTTGGCTCATTTATTGAAGAAGTAATTTCGGTCGCGAAACAAGTTGAAAATATGGGCAATGATGGAGGTACAATCGCCAAAAGGCAGGATCTTTTTTCGTTGCACAAACCAAAACAAAAGGAAGCTCTTGAGGATGAGCAAGTGAATGTATGTGCTATTTCGTATATGCCACTATCTGACCCGGTTGTAGGCGATTATAAAGGGTTTCTTTATCGTAAAGATAAACTTATAGAATACATTTTGGCTTCGAAAAAGCTGTCAGAAAACCAAAAAAAGGAGCTCAAGCACATCAGATCCCTAAAAGATGTCGTAGATATCAAAGTGACCTGGAAAAATCACCAAATAGTGTGTCCAGTGACAGAAACGGTTCGAACCAAAAAGATACAATTTGCATATTTGCGGCCATGTGGCTGTCTAATGGCTTATAAACTACTCGAGAAGATACGTGGCCAATTCCGGGACCTGGATCTTGAAAATAGACCAAACAGCAGTTGTCCTAATTGCGGTCGTAGCTTCCATTTCGATCACGACGTGGTGAAACTAGGAGAAAGCGACGAAGAAAATCATCAATATGTAACCAAAGTGCTCAAGGAGTATCATTCAGGAAAGAAGAGACTCAAAGAAAAAACCAAAACAAAATCCACAGAATCCACCGCAGAATCCACTTTAGAAACAACTTCAGTAGCACCAAAAAAGTCATCCACAGATCCTTCAAACCCATCGAAACGCTCGCTATCCGATACACCTACAGCAAAACGGACAAAAGTGTGAATTACTATATACATCGTTATCGTTTTCTATTTACTTTCCTTTCTGAGTTCATCATATTGTTCTTCCTTGAATGTCAATTTCAGCTTGTTCATTTTGGCATAGTCCGAGTTGGAATATACGTTGAAACCAATACTGCCAAGGCCCACAAACGTTATACCCATCAAGCTGAGCACAGTGGCTCTGTGGAGGACGTCAGTTGCCCGTACACGAAATGGTACTTTGGTCATAGTGATGATGATCCGGTTGGTGAAAATGAGAAATGGGCCAAATTATGTGTTCTGGTTACGTAATATACAGGTCTATAGAGAATGGGACTAAATTTAAAGGAGATATCCAAGCCATTTTCCGTCGATGTAGCCATGCTGCACAAGAGCAGGGTTGGCATACACCACGTCAGGGAGCCAGTAACTATTGAACACCCGGAAAACGTTGCCTAGTTCACCCGAATCGTCGGTTTGAATTACTTCGCTGAACACCCGCAGCATCAATTCAACGCTTACGGTATTGACTGGATTTCCCTTTGCAAGTGGCGGAATGGCATTGGAGTTTTGCGTGAGAGTCTGCTCAATTTTTTGTTTCAATGTGTGTTGAAATTTTTCTTGGTCAATATGCCCTATGGGAAGACTTCCATTTGAGGTGTTGGTCAAAGTTGACGCCGACTTTTGCTTCAAAGCTTCGTAGTTGGCAACATCGATATTCACCACAAATTGTCTGGGCTGGATGCCTTTAATAATAAACTTTTTCTTTGCAGGCTGATCTCCCTCTGCATCCAAAGTCACTACCATGGCCTCGGAGTTGGGGAATGCCGAATTGACGTTCTTGATAAAGTCAACTGCCGGCAAAAGTGGTGGCCAATCTGGATTTGGACGGGTTTTGGCGGTCTGCCATACCTGTTCAAACTGTTTTTCGTATGCCTTCCACAATGAGATTTGCGTAACTTCTCCCGGAATGACGTCGGTTTGGCCAGAAGCAGTGGTGGTGGTTTCGAAATACGGCTCGTAGCAGCATCTTAGCCATGTAGTTGCTCTCAACGGTTCAGGAAATTTTACAATAACGTCGTATAACTCACTGGGGAGATGGGGCAATTGCGAAGGGATGCTCGAGTGTTGCGACCGGCGTGACAAGCTGGCCACGGGGACAGCCGGAGCGCCACTAAGTGGGAGGTCTTGGACGATAAGCCGTGGGAGTTGTTTGACAAAAATCTCGAAAATCGTCTTTGTGGATTTGAGCTGTAATAATAGAGAGAGTCGCTCGCCCCTAGAAGACCTCACTGAGTGGGCGTGGGATGGGTGAAACGTATCAGACGATAAGTATTGGTTGAAGAAATTGAGGGCAGCTAACGCAAGTTCGTTATCAGCAATAAGGAGGTAGTTTGCGAAGGTTTCGAGGTGGTTGATCGTGATAGCATCGATGCAGTTATTAGGAGTTTTTTCCACGTCATCTTCGGGTTTATCGTCACGAGTGTAGAGTAAATGGGTCAAGATGGTCAAGGTGCTTACCACCACGTTTTTCTCTCTAGCCACCAAGGAAAGCGCCAAAATCTGTTGCACAAGCTGGTCGTTCTTCGTGTTATCAATGTAGTAGCAACTCAAGATCTCCAAAAGGTCCAACAAATGGTTAAAAGTTTCAATGAACTCATTTTCAAAAGGTTGAAGATGAGGTTCATGCACTGTGGAGCCATAAAGCCAGCCAGAACAAAACTTGACCACCTCGGTAGCGTGTTTCTTGAACGCTTTGGACTGTGAGAGCCACTGTTGGTTGATCAAATCTTGACAGAGGTTTCTCAATGATAATAACGCATCACAACTCTGGGAGATTTGAGCTCTCGTGACTGGGTTTCCCTCATTTATAAGAGCATAGGGACGGAAAAAATAGTTCATGAGTTCATGGCCTACAAATTCTGCACTTTCAAGGTTGAGAAGACTGGTATTGGTTGAGGAATATTCGGTTAAAGTTGAAAGTGCCCAAACGATTTCGGTGTCGATTCCTGATCTCAACGACATAAGCACCCTGCTCATCACCAGCACTCCAGGGTTTCCTGTGCCTATAAAGGAGTTTTGGAGGTGGCCACTGAGGGCGCCATCAAGGCTGGTGGTGTGCCGTGACGACGTAACAGAGATGGGGTTGGCCATTATTGGAGTGGTCGCGGTGCGAAGTTTTGTTTTGGGAGCGGGTGTGTGGATGTGAAATAGCGAGAGAAGGTAAGGTGAATGAGAAGAAGTGGATAGGTTTGAATGAGACGAAGTGGGGTTCTGTCTAAGTTTGTTGCTTTGTGCTATTTTGTGTTTCTTTGTAAGTCTTTGTGAATTTTTGTGAATTTTGTGCTTTTTTGGTTTCTTCATTTTTCATTTTCCAATGCATTTGCAGCCATAATTGGTAAGCTATAGACCACTTTTAGACCACTTGGATCAACTCTATTAACTTCAAGGACACTAACTACACCTCCATTCATTCAAATTGTCTAGTCCAGACCTCATAAAGTCACAAAGTCAATTCATTATTATTCTACAAGTCCACGATTTTCTTCTGATATTCATAGTGTATATCGACACTTGCTCGACTTTTCATATTCTCCTAGTTTTTCCACAACATAGAAGCTCCAGGCTACTTCGGGCTCGGAGCTTCGACACAAATTGAGCCACTTTACCCGTTATCTCTGATATAATACGGCTAAAACAGCGATATCGGAAAAGCTAGAACAAACACAATATCGTAAATACATTTTCAGTGCTTCTTTTCAGTGCTTCCAAACCGAGTCTCATCTACATCTTCTTTTTCATCCAGCTTTGTCAGCCATAATTCCTGCCAATTTCCGTCCTTTGTCTTTATCAGTATCACCTGCAGGGTATTGCAGCCGCACAAAAAACGGCCGTGCGATTATAAAAGGCTGGTAATTCGCAATTTCGCCTCCCCACAATGAAGTTTTCTGCCTCGTTGTTGACGCTTTTTGCCGTGACCCTGGCCTTTAAGGTGCCCGGATTTGGGTTCTTTGATGAAAATGTAGTGCAATTGGGCCATGACTCTTTCAATATGGATTCTTTGGCAGAAAAAAGTTCCGAGTTCTTGAGCTATCTTCGCAATTTGGAATCGGAAATGGCCAAGGCTCCGGAACAGGATCGCCATCTCCTTCGTTCGGCTTGGAAAGAATTGGCCAAGATGTCTCCATCAAAACAGCTTGAGTACCTCCGTCGGTACCAGAGCAAATTCCACGTGAACCAGGACCAAATGAACAATAAGGTGGTTGCAACACAAAACGATGACCAGTACGAAACCGTCACATCGCAGAAATTCGAAGGTTACAGCTTGTCAATTGCCAAGACTAAGCCGGAATCTTTGGGTTTGGACACCGTCAAGCAACACACCGGTTATCTTGACGTTGATGCTTTGGATAAGCACTTCTTTTACTGGTTTTTCGAGTCCAGAAACGACCCCGAAAACGACCCAATTATCTTGTGGTTGAACGGAGGTCCCGGATGCTCTTCTTCCACCGGTCTTCTCTTTGAGTTGGGACCTTCCTTTATTGACTCCAAGTTAAAACCAGTCTACAACCCTTACTCGTGGAACACAAATGCATCGGTCATCTTTTTGGACCAGCCCGTAGGCGTTGGTTATTCATACTCTAACGGAGAACAAATCACCAACACCGCTGCAGCTGCCAAGGATGTGTTTGTGTTCTTGGAATTGTTCTTCCAAAAGTTTCCTCAATTCTTGAACAACAAATTCCACATCTCGGGTGAGTCTTACGCCGGTCACTATATCCCCAGCTTTGCCAGCGAAATTGTCAACAGGGCCGACAGAACTTTCGAATTGTCTTCCGTCTTGATTGGAAATGGTATCACCGACGCATTGATTCAACATGCTTCTTACAAGCCAATGGGTTGTGGCGAAGGTGGCTACAAGCAAGTTCTCTCCGACGAAACTTGTGACCTGATGGATGGAATCTACAAGAGATGTGCTGCTTTGACAAAATTGTGCTACAATGCTCCTTCAGCTCTCACTTGTGTCCCTCCAACCGTGTACTGTAACAAGTTGATGGAGCCCTTCATGGACCTCGGCTTGAACCCTTACGATATTAGAAGACAATGCGACGACGACGGAGGGCTCTGTTACGTGGAAATGTCCTGGCTCGACGACTACTTGAACCTTGACGAAGTTAAGAAGGCGGTTGGATCCAAGGTTGATTTATTCACCAGTTGCGACGACACTGTGTTCAACAACTTCATTCTTTCTGGTGACGAAGCCAAGCCATTCCAGCAGTATGTCGCTGAGCTTCTCGAAAAGGGGGTTCCTGTGTTGCTTTACGCAGGTGACAAGGACATCATTTGCAACTGGTTAGGAAACCACTACTGGTCCGACGCTTTGGACTATTCTGAGCACGAGGCATTCAGCAGTGCTCCATTGGTTCCATGGGTCAACAACCAAGGAGAGCAAGCTGGTGAAGTCAAGAACCACGGAATTTTTACGTTTTTGAGAGTTTATGATGCCGGCCACATGGTTCCTCACGACCAACCATACAATGCGTTGGAAATGGTCAACAGATGGGTCAGTGGAAACTACAACTTTCAGTAATGAAATACATTATTATGCCTTATCACTAACATCCTCGTCGATTTCCTCATCTATACCATTGATAATCTCGATATCCACCGGCACATCGACGGTTTTTTGAGGTCCATGGTATATTTTATGAGCGTAAATCTTGTAGTAAAGAAGCGAAAGAAGCCAGACACTGGGAGTAATCACACAAGTATAGTTCATGGTATCCTTATCGGGACCACGGTTGGATGGGAACATCACCATGACAATTGTGTACATGATGAAAATTGTCGATGTCCAACCTACGATGGGCGAAAATATTGGACCCAAGTAAAAAGGTCCTGGCTTAAATTTGTGCTTTCCGCTGGTCAATCTCAACAAGGTAGGAGTTCCCCAGGCAAAATAGTTGCCTGCAATGTACAAAGTGAAAAGAGCATTTGCAGCCGTGGTTCCAATGAGACAAAGAAGGCCTATGACAATGGCTGCTAATCCGCCAAACCACACAGCATTGATGGGCACAAACAACTTTGTATTGACTTTCTTGATCCAGAAAGAAAACGGAAGTCCATTATCTCTTGCAAAAGCCCAGATCTGACGAGAAATTGCAGTCAAGATTGACGCTCCCATCATGAACTGAGCAAATGCAATAAGAGTCATGAATGCCATGGCCCACTTTTTGCCAAGAGCATCAAAGATAATTTGAGCCATGGGCTGACCAAACTTGGACCCGAGAATGTGGCCCTCAATGTCGTCTGTTTGAATACAAGCGAGTGTGATGATAATGATGAGAGTTCCCAAACTCCAGCAAGCACCAATTGAGCCAAGAATACCAATGGGAATTGATCTTTTTGCATTCTTGGCTTCTTCAGACATGTGCACGCAACTGTCAAATGCTCCAATTGTCCAAATAGCAGGAAGCCATGCGGTGCTCAACTGAGTCCAGCCTATGGGCCAGTTCAGAAAGTTGTTGAACTGGGTGAAAATAAATTTTCCCGATTTGAGATTGGAACGGGCTCCAATGGGCATAGCTATGACAAAGAGGACAATCAAGCCCAAATTGACAATGATGGAGGTGGTTTGAAGATTGGCACATTTTTTGGACGATGCACAAGTAATGAGAATATGGAGAAAGACGCAACCCACGAAAATTCCATATGTTTTTCCTGGAGTAATATCAAAGTCTCCATCCTTGGAGGTCACCACAATCGACAAGATTTCTTGAGCAAAACCATAGTCAACACTACAAAGTGCACCCACAAGTGCTATACTGTTGGTATTACCAACGACATATGAAATCACCGTTTTCAATTTGGGAGGTGCATAGTAGTTTGTCCAGTAGTAAAGCCCACCAGAAGTAGGTGCCGAGCTTCCGTTTTCAGCCATCGACACCCCGATCAAAAAAATGAAAAATGAAGACACAAACCAACCCCAGAGAGCACCGGCTGGCCCAGCCGTCAATGCTGACGATAAAACAGAAGATATAGAAGGAAGTAATCCCATAATGGAAAATGCCACTCCAAATACCTGTAAGGTCGAGAATTGTCTTTTCAATTCAGGCTTGTATCCGATCTCTGCTAAAAGTTGGTCGTCAGACTGTGCTAACGCAGCATTGATGGTTGGCTGCTCGACGTTCTGAGTATTGTTATAGTAGAGTTTATTGGAGGCTACCTCATGAAGAATCTGTTCTCCAGAGAGAACTGGCGATAAGCGACTCATCAGCAAGACAATTGCTCTTTCTGATACAGGGGTTAATTATAAGTGTCGACCACAGCCGCACCTCCCTGGAGCCGCACCTTATCGTGAAAAATGTCCCTGCATAATACCCTTCGGCACATCCTGAAACAGAAGGCTAGATTGCTTATCTTATGTTTGCTGGAAGTTTAGCTCAATTTCTATCATACACATGCATAGTGTACGCTCGGCTGGAGTTGCTGAAACTATATAGGCAGCTTAGCACATCTTTTAAATTTCTCATCTGTCAAATTTCTCATCTATCGAATTTCTGTGCGAAGATAAGCATCTCGGCAAGAGACTGCATGAAACACAACCAGTCAATAATTCAGTTTTAGACTTCTTAATTGGAAATGTCTTTCCACGATGAATATGTTGGTTCTGCTAAAGTGATTAGTGATCATACTGGCAAAAACGACCATCAGATAGTTAAAATAGACAAACCCAAAATTAGAGAATTGAACTCATCGAGCTTTACTCCCAGGGAGTTCAGATTACCTGATTCAGTCAACAACAACATGTTTTACCAGTATCAAATATTGGGAACTATTTACATCTTTGTTGATAATAATGGGTCTGACTTATTGGTGCTGCAAGTGGATATTCTAGACAGTACAGTCATGGATGATGACACCAAAATTAAGAATTTGATTCTAGATGCCGTGGACTTCTATGTGGATAAAGAGCTATCGCTTGGAGCTGGTGTGGAAATTGTGGGCAAGATAACCCCTATGGCACTTATAAGAGGTCTCAACCTTAAGGTCTGAAGATTATGAAGACAAGCTGGTGGCATAGTATAGGTAGTATCTTGACTAGTCCAAGATGAACTTTTCTGTTCATACTTGTGCCAAAACCTGTATTTGATCACTTATTAAAGGATGTCCTTTTTTCTGCTTTAAGTTTTCTTTTTTGCAGCCATTGATACTTGGTCAATACCGGGAACAATAATCATTGTGAGCGTTTACAGGGATGTTCAAGCAAATTAGTTAATCGATATCGACAAACCTTTCATAATTAGTCTAATAAATTGGAACTTTGGGACGCGAAGTTGAAAACTTAAGGAAGTAACATTCTGGGGAAAATACTGTATTGCGTCAGATAACGAAAGATCGGTGGTAACTCAGATTTGGAATGTTTCGTATAACCATATCAGGGCCGCGGCTGTATAAGGAGTGTTAGCTACTTTGCTACATGTTAGAATTTCCACCCCACGGTTCTGCAGGGTCGTACCTCAAGATAAGAACGTTGTGCGGGCTGCGCCCTCGTAACATCCACGTGACTAGCTCCGTTTTTTCTCATCGCTGTTTTTGTGTAACCCTTTTTTCACCCAGAAATTTTCACTGCGAACTTAGTTTTCATATACACATCATGGCTACGTATGTACCAACAAAAAACCGTTTTCCATGTGCATTATTGCCACAGGAACCGGTAATGGGAGCCCACGAATTCATTTGTTCTGTTTTTATTACGACCAAGGGAATTCTAGATTATCTTGCAGCCGAATGATATTCACAACCCTCCGTTGCCGATGCCTGATAGATCTGTTTTCCTCTGAGTTAAGAGATTCAAAGTGGATGTGACCTGGAATGAATTTGGCTGTTCAGTTCTAGTGTCAACACCGCCTTTCCGGCTGGTGTAGCATCGCTTTTTCTCGAGGAAATGGCAATTTTTCACATGGCTATTTTCCATGTATTCCTACTAACTCCAGTACTTTGAAACCAGAAACCCAAGTCAAGAAGTCCAAGGCTTACGAGAAGACCGCCGAGCAGCGTGCTACCAAAAAGGCTGCCCGTAAAGCTGTAAGTATTTTATTTTTCGGCTCCTTTTGAAGATGATACACAACCAACGATATGACTAGCCACGGCGATGTTGTCATTCAATTAACCATCTTTCGGGACTGAGAATCGAGAAGAAAACTAAATACTAACCAACAGGCCAACAAGGAGAAGAGACAAATCATCTTTGACAGAACCGCCAAGTACGTTAAGGAATACGCTGAAGCTGAGCGTGCTGTCATTGACGCTAAGCGTGAGGCCAAGGCTAACGGTTCTTACTACGTTGAGGCCCAACCCAAGTTGGTTTTCATCGTCAGAATCAAGGGTATCTCCAAGATTGCTCCTAAGCCAAGAAAGGTTTTGCAATTGTTGAGATTGACTCAAATTAACGCTGGTGTGTTTGTTAGAATCACCAAGGCTACTTCTGAATTGATCAAGTTGGTTGAGCCATACATTGCCTACGGTTACCCCAACTTGGCTACCATCAGAAAATTGATCTACAAGAGAGGTTACGGTAAGATTAACAAGCAAAGAATTCCTTTGTCTGAGAACTCCATCATCGAGGCCAACTTGGGTAAATACGGTATTTTGTCCATTGAGGACTTGATCCACGAGATTTACACTGTTGGTCCTAACTTCAAGCAAGCCAACAACTTCTTGTGGCCATTCCACTTGTCCAACCCTAACGGTGGTTTCAGAGCTAGAAAGTTCAACCACTTTATCCAAGGTGGTGATTACGGTAACAGAGAGGAGAACATCAACTCGTTGGTGAAGAAGATGAACTAAGTATTAATAAACCTTGTACTTTCTATTGAACTATTGAACTATTGTACTTCTTGTACCCTTGTACTATTGCATCCATTCTTCAAGCGTATACACCCAGTACTCCAACCACTCTACTTCCTTCCACCATACTGGTCGTAGTGGGACAGCATCGTAGGTGTCGTATATGTAAGTGGTGGGGTCAACGTTGGTGTGTAGCAATAGGACAGTTGCGTACACAATGATTTTGAAGACATTAACCACTAGGGTGGATATTACTATCAAAGTCACAATGCTGGTAACAGTGGCAGTACGACTGGTACCATATTTGAATGATGCTGCTAACGAATTTCGTATTGGAGCCACTATTCCACTTGGCAAGTACAGAATGACTTGAGAGATTCTTGATGGAGATAGTCTAGGATTGGATCCTCGTTTGTATAGCTCTTGTTGATACTCTTCGCAGAGATGTTCGAGTGCCTTGTATGATTTTTGGTACTGTTCACATTGGGCCTCTAATTTTCGAATTGTGGAGCCATAAACCGGATCAAACCCACTGCTCAGAGGAGCTGAGCCCTTGTCGTTGTACTTGTATTTTTCGCCAAACTTGTCATTTTTTGCGTAGGTGTCGTTTTTGTTGTAGCTGTCGTATTCGTATCCAAACTGGTTGGAGATAGTTCCATTCTTGTTAGGTGATGAATTTGGAGGTGATATATATGTGTCTTGGTGATAGTCCCTGGTATTGGTATCATTTAATGAATTTCTCTCCAATTTTGTCGAACGATTTCGACCTCCAAACAAGTTCGGGAGGTCTCCAAGAACGTTAGGAAGTTCCCATTTCTCTGAAATAGTGTTGGAATTAAAACGAGTCTTCCTGTCTACTTTTGATTCAAAAAGTTCCTTCAAGCTTCCTTTGCGAGTCAACCGCGATAGAAACTGGGGCAATTCTCTTTTATATAGCTTCAAGCTGGGATTGTCTCGTATCATTGTCGTCAATAAGTTGGTCTCTTCTTTCGTGATTAATGGTTGGTTGATTCCAGCCATAGATTTGATTGTATCCAAAAGCTGGGGTAACTGAGAAACAAACATGTACTCGACGTCTCTGCCATTTGTCCTGGACCACGCCAGCAGCATGATATCGTCTATGGTGCGTTCATCGTAGCTGGCTATCATGTTTGTACGCGACGCGATAGAAGCGGAAAGCTGCGAATAAGGCTGCGAAAAATGCGAAAGCTGCGAAAAAGAAGCTGCGAATAAGGCTGCGAATAAGGCTGCGAATAAGGCTGCGAATTTTGCGAAACTCGACAATACTAGTATGAGATAATTGGTTTACTAGTTAAAGATTTACTCTAATCTGGCCTCCTTGCCCAAGACGGGTGCCAATGCATCTACCATTTTCTGCTCAATGGAATTTTCCGTTGTGATTGGAATTGTGTCTTGGGTATTATTTGTGTCAAGAGACTTGTTCAGTGTATTTTGGCTTTCTTGGTTTCTTTCAAGATTATCCGAATCATGAGCGTTTATCCCGTTCAACTTTACACACTTTTGTGCTTCCTGGACATTCTCCGTGCTCAGGTGAGATTCTTTAATGAGTAACTTCTCATCGATATTCATCTCTTTGTTGGCGGTAATGTTACCAAGATCAACATCTTGACTAGTCGGATCCTGGTTCTGGCTCTCAACATTTGCGACCTTAAGACTAGACAGCTCTGAAGTTGGTGGCTCAAATTCATTCGAGTCGGACCAATTACCATTCGAGTACCCTTCGGTATTCTTCTCAAAAACTCCACTTGAATGTCCCATACTGGACGTCTCGGTCCCCATTACCTGAGAAGATACAACCGACTCAGAACCTGAATTAGGGACCAGAGCAGCCAAATAAGGTGTGTTCAAAGATGAAAAATTCTGGGTATCGGAAACATCTAGTTCGATACTTTTTTGCAGTGGTATTTGAGCTGGAAGTGCATCTGTCAAAGAAACCAGATTATTCTTATCTTCGCTATCCAATGACTTCAGCTCGTAGTGGACTTTTTCCAGATGTTGCTTTGTATTAGACTCTGTTGCAATGGTTACTTGAGGGCTGATCTCACTCTGTAACTTCCTCACTTCGTCCACCACTTTCACATAAACATCCTCAGCAAATACTGGAGCACCATATACCTTGCGCAAGATAAATCGAAGACGACCCAATCTTTCGTTTTTTCCGTACTTTTCAGAGGTTTTCAAGAAATGTTCAAATGTTTCTCTCAGGTTCTTGGTAAGGTCAACGAGAGCTTGAAGTGAACGAAGCTCGTTGGGAGGAACGGCTTTTAGTCCATTTGCTGTATTCAAAAAATCTTCAAGTTCCAGCATTCTAGCCAGCTTGATGGTAATGCTTTGCAGAATTCCTTCGACCGCTGCACACATCGGACACAAATATTTGGAATCGTCGTCCATCTCATCGGTTTCGTTGACACAGCCTGTGTGGTACCATTCCTTACAAGCGTCACATTCGATCATATCGCCAAACTCAGCCTCTCGACACAAGCAATATATGGCAGGTTTGGAGGGTTCATTTGGTTCTAGAAGTGAAGTCTCAGGAAGAGAAGTATCAAGTTCAGCAGTTTCCCCTGTTTTATCTTCGTCGTCACCACGGAAGAATTGGTACGACGAACTCTTCAAGTAGTTGTCAGATTCCATATCAAAGCTCATTTTGCACTTGGCGTGAATTTTGCAACATGTCTTAATGAGTCCCGAATGGAGTGTCAATTTAACGTTAACATCGTTGGGTGTTTCCGGATGAAAGGCACTAGGGTATTCCACCTTCTCGAGGTATTGATATAGAGACGAAATCCACTCGTCGCACCGACTCAAGCTGTCTGCGATAATGGTGCACTTGAACTTCAAGCCAGAACCTTCAATCTGCTTTTGAATATGTTTCGCTTGCTGATACTGATAAGCAATGCCATCTTTCATGCCATTCAGCACCTCTTTGAATTTTTCAAGCATGCTACTGTGATTTCGAAGTTCAATCAATTGCTTGTAAACTTCAGCACTAGCAATAAGTCTTTCTTCATTCTTAGTTCGTGATCTTGCTTCCACATCATTGATGATCGAGTCAAGTTTCTGCAAGTCAACCTCGTCGGCATATTCAACTGAGATAATTTTAGCCACACCATTTGAGTACTCCTTGCTGGAGTTTATGATCTGGTGTACCATTGCTAGCATTGGACGATCGTTGCTTCCGAGAACTTTAAGTCCCAAAGCAGCAAACTCCACTAGATGCTCAAGAGTGTAATGGTCAACTTTCGAAGCAAATGGGTCACCACCACTGACAATAGTTTCGTATGTCTCGATCCAACCAATTCGCTCTTTCAAACGTTTCAATAAGGAAAGTGAAGGTAACACCAACCCGAAAGACATTCCTAAATCAATTAAATCTTCAAAGTCTCGAACAGTGGCCCTAGGCTTGGAAATTAGCAGACGAGCAGCTCGGTCAAAGTTTTCAATTTCAACCTTGAGCTCCATTATCTGTTCAGTTTCCGGACTCAGAAACCCCAAAGTCGGTAGCAACTTCAACACCAGGTACAACCGAGATAAGTAGTCCTCGCAGTCCTGGTCTTCATTGGAGCCACCTCTTATTCTCTGCTGGTGCTTAACATTGAGAATTATTTGGCATTCTTCCACGATATCATTGGCACGATTGACAAAGTTTCTGAGGTTCTCTAAAGCTTGAAAATACTTCTTGGCATCACCATCTTGGCTCAACGTGGAATTGGACGAGCTCATTGCAGCCTTTATCTTGTCACCTTCTGCGAGCAATGCCTTGATATTTCTGAGATTCGGCTCTGAACTCGAGGCGAAAAATTCTCGATAAGAATTCATCCACTCATTGTAATCGATGGAATATGAGCTCAATGATCTGCAGAATGCTTTTAAGCGATCATCCGTGTAGTATAAGTGTAATTCGGCCTTGAGTTCGGGGTTGTTCATGATCTGTTCACCGAGATCAAGAAAATTTTGCAATGACATTGTCAATGCTAACGACAGATCAACGGCGGTAACGACTACCTTTGAAGGAAACGCAGAAGACATATCGATGTCTGAGATCCAGTTGTTGATATTTGACGTCCTTTCGTCCGCTACAATCTCCTTTGGATGGTTCAACATTTTCCTCACGAGCTCACGATTTTCAAGCTCAGTATCGACTCTGTTGCTTAGATGGTTTTCGGCGACGGGGAAAAAGTGGGAGTCGAAATTCACCTTTCCATTTCCATTGTCGTACAAATTTGCAAAGTTGGTGAGCATTTTGAACAGCAGAAAAGCAGGTATTATGTGCTGGGATGAGAGCCATTTTTCAGCTACCAAAGCATAGTCCAACCAAGAAACAGTAGCCAAATTTACCTCTGCTCCCACATTAAGACCAGACGAAAGATTGCATGAGTATACTTTGGGGTACTTGATAATGAACTCCCCAGGACCTTGTAAAGCAGTATAATACTTGATATTATGCTTCTTAAGTTGCTCGGGACTAACTAAGTAATCCTGGTTCCTCTGGCTTTTCTTTCTTGGCAGCTTCTTGATTAAGTTTTCAAGCGGTGGTGATCTATGCTCGTAACGAGTAGAATCAGCGATACTAGCAATTGGGTCCAAGATAGCCTCCAAAGCATCAGCTGTCAACTTTGGTTCTTTCAGACTGATTTCCACATTTTCATTGTGGTTCAATGTATCCAAAAGATCTTCAAATTTGTCCATTTCAGATTCTGGTATAAAGTGCCATAACTTGCTGGCGCCGTAATGAAGGTAGTCGCAAAGCTGTAGGAAATGGTCCTCGCATCTCCAGTTTTCAAAACCAAACGTCATATTGACATTAGTGGTCGGGTGGTAGATATCCTGAGTGGTAATGTCGAGATCTGTCAAAATGCCCAAAAGAGAATTTGGTGCACATGCTATGTTGTACAAGTTCCAAGGATTTGTGGCTGCTTCCATGGACTTTTCAGTTGACTTTTCAGTAAAGTCATTGTTGGTGTGAGTAGTTAATCTGTGAAATCTTGGGCTGTGAACAAAACTCGATAGTTGCCTTGCAACCTCTATTTCAAGAGGCTCCAACGAGTTCTGGGATATGGTAGACCAGAAAAGCGCTTCAAAGTCTTGCGAGGAGATCTCGAGAGACTCCAGAAATGTCTGCTGGTTGTTCTTTATAATGTTTTGCTGAACCTTGGAGTCTTTAACCATCAACTGTTGAAGATTGCGAGGCTGTCCCTTAATGAAGGAACGAGCTAGAACAACCTCGTCGTCAACGCAGTCTCCAGTGATGCTACCAAATGCTTGTTTTACCTGAGAAGAGGCACTTAGTTGATTTTTGAGTATCTTTTTCTGCTCATCATCAGTTGTAGGCGAGACTTTTATGTATGAAGGAAGGTTCAAGGGTATACCTTTGGCAATTTTTGAGCGGGTGAACCGCTTGAAAGTCTTACTAGAACCAGCTAGATAAGAATGCGTTTCTTCAAAAGATCTTTTATGCAGATTGGAGGAGCTGAAATGGGACTTTTCAAAGGGTAATAAATATTTCTCATAAATGGAAGACAATTCATTTTTCCATTTGGTGATTTCTTCGGGTTTGTATCCCATATCAAAGCCAATAGAGGACCACAGGTCCACTTTTTGGAACCCACCTCTCTTTATAACGCAGTGGTATAACAGATACAAGTCAATTGGTCTGTTGACTAAGGTTGGAAGTTTTGTAAAAAGATCAGAAACTGCAAAATTTGTGGATGCAGGGGTTGCGGACGAAAATTCCGGTTTTACTTCCTGTGCTGAAGCCAACTGACTTGAATCTGGAGCAGAAAAATCCAGTTTTGGTTCTTGGGATGAACCCATTTGCTCCGACAATGGATCCAGAATTTTCACGGGTTCCAATGGTTCCAATTGATCCAGTGGCTTCTTAGCTTGTTCAGGTGGCTCCGATGTTGTTTCCTTTGCTGGCTCAGCTGGCATTTCTGGCACTTTTAATGGTTCTGGTATTTGGTCTGGCTTTGGTTTCTCTGTTGATGGCTCTGACTTTTCAGCTTCTTTTCCACGGTAAAACGTAAACAAATCGTTTACAAACTGAACCCGCTTATGGATTTCCTGTTTCATTGTGGTACAACGTAATTGAGTGGTGTTGAACTCGATTGTGTCTGGACTCAAGGTTGTTGGTGCTCCAATTTTCGAGCGTAACTCATTAGGAACGACAACTTTTATTGCTCCAAACTGCTTTCCAGCCTCCTTGTGAGTCTCTACAAAGTTCATGGGGTCCCCAAGGTCTTCTTCGTGCAATATAAATGTTGGAATAGCATTTGCAAAGGATGACGATAATGCAATTTGTGGCGTAGATTTTGCAACTTGACCGTCCAGAAGCTGGGAATCTACAGAACCATACAGCAGGCCATCCGGATCTCGTGGAGCAAGCTGCGGTGGGATACTGATGTATTTGTGTGGATGGGGCTCTGCCTCTGTCATTGCAAAGAAAGAGAAAGTCGTGAGAAAGTGGAAAATGCGAAATGTACAGGTTTTGAAAAATGAAATAATATATTACATTTGAGCCATATGCAAGGATAATAACTAAAGAACGGGAATCAAATCGTAGTGGAAAGCACCACGAAAATCGTTAGAAGAAATTGAATAGGATCCAAATTCACGGAAATTTCAGAACAGCCAGAAATACATTGGTCTTTTTTTCAATGAAAGCATAGCTCGAAATTATATTAAAAGCATTTACAAACTTTCATTTTTTAAAAAAAAACCAAGAATTCCCTAGAGTATACTTTGAGCTTCTTAGATCAAAGCAACGGCGACGGCGGCAACACCAGCCAAAGCACCGGCAACGTTCTTGACGGCACCAGCCTCGAAAGAGGAGACAGCGGCAACGGTGGATTGAGCAGCGGAGGTGGTCTCTGGGGCAGCAGTGGAAACTGGAGCAACAGTAGACTTCTCCTCACACTCGTGGCACTCAACGGTGGAGGTGGTGGTAGCCCACTCGGTGGTGTAGGTGGTTGGGATGACACACTCACCAGTAACGGTCAAAGTTTGAGCCTCAGACACGGTGATGGTGACTGGAGCACACTTCTCCAAGGTACAGGTCTTGATGACAACCTCGGTGGAGTATGGGCAGTAAGTGGTGTAGTCGGTAACGGTGACGTCAGTGGTGATGACGGTATCGTTGGAGTAGGCAGCAACGGCAGAACCGGCCAAGAGAGCAGCAGCAGCGACAGCGGAGTACATTATTATGAGCGAGTGAATAAAAGTTCGACAGGTGACGATAGAAAAAAAAACATTTCTGGGGATCAGGAGCCCCTTTTATATTACGACGGAACCTAAAAGAAAAAGAGGCCATTCCCGAAATAGAACGAAAACAATGCACCTCTTATGCACGGGGAATCCGGGCTACGCAACCGCATTTGGAGGTGGGCGATAGGAGGAAAAATTTTTTGTGTAGTGATCAGGATTAGTGGCGGAATCAGGTTTTTTTTTGGTGGGTGTCAAAACCTTAACCAATGATGGAGGCTGATTTCCGTACAAAAAAGGGTGCAAATACGGCCAATTTGGTTTACTGTAGATGGTGTTATCTTGACCGCGCTCATGATTATGCAGATCCTTGTTGCGCCAGCGCCGCATGCACGCTCGATTGGGTTGTTGCATCGGCCGGAAACAGACGGGCGATGTGAGCTGATTGGACCGAGAGGAAAATGCGAGAAAAGAGGAGAGAAAAGGAAAGGAAAGGGAAAAGGGGAAAAGGAAACAAAGAGTAAACAAAAGAGAAATTCAAGACAAAGTACTATGTTCTCTTACTATTTTCCGTAAATGATGCCATATTAGTCTAGTTCGTTTTCCGAGGGGTTTGAATTACGAAAATGAACCGAACCGAGTCGCGAGCCGTGCGGGTGTAGTGCGGGTGAGTGCGTTGCGAGCGGGTGAAACAGCACTACGAGAAATGACTCGATGCGCACTAAAATTAATGCGAATAGAGTACGAAATGCGAATTGCCTATTACGAATTAGGTATCGGTTCGCGATAAAGCGCGGTCACCCCGCCCAATCGGTATGTTTACTACACCAGATAGTCTATTTCTCGACTCAAGTGGTAAGCAACCTAAGCTTTAAACTTTGCAAACTGTCATCCGCTTCGCATGTCCGCATCGCATGTCAAACTCGCTAACGGCGAGGGGTTACGTGCGCGAGCAATGTCTTGGCATTTCCAAAAGAAATACAGTTTATTTTTGGATTCGCACCTCCTGTTTCACCTTGTTGGGACATGCACTTTCCCAATGCGTCGATGCTGTAGTCTATTATCGAGCAAGTTTAGGCCATTTGTTCGTTGCATACGGGGTGCGTACCGCGGTGTTGACAATACGGCTAATACAAGGGTGCTGGTGATGGGCAGCAGTTTCAGGATCTGCTTGCGATTCCGTTTTGGGATGACCAGCGAAAAAAGAAGTGGAGAGGATCGAAATGGAAACAAATGGAGAGGAATGAAATGAACATGAAATGATTGAAATGAAATTAGATGAGATAAGAGCAAATGTGAAATGAATGTGAAAATCACAAAAAATGAAAAAAATCAAAAATCAAAAATCAAAAAAAGAAAAAATGGTTCCTTTCTATTGCCTCACCTTCTCCCTTCTCTAGCTTTTTCCTTCTATATTCTACAATTCCCTGTCCCTTCCTTTCTCTCTTCCTCCTACTCTTCTTCTCGTACTTAATCTTTTTCTCGCTCGCTCGCGCGCTCACTCGTTTCCACCCATCCACCACACGCGCTCTTTCTTCATGAAGCCGTTTGATGGCCTTACCTTCTGTTGCACTTCGATCCCGCTCAAACTTCGAGAAGAGCTCTCGGCCAAGATCTCCACCCTCGGCGGAATCCACTATAATGACTTAATGAGCGATGTCAATTACTTAATTGTGGGAAATCGTCGCACCGACAAGTACAAGTTTTGCATCAAGAACCGTTATGATGTCAAGTTTATTCCTCCGGAGGCGATAAAAACGATATACGACAAATGGCTAGAGGGAGATGAAGCGGAGGGAATGATAGATAATTGCATTTTACCCGTTTTTGACGGGTTTACAGTGTGCCTTTCAAGGCTCGCAAATCACGAAAATCGGCTTCTGAATGAGTCGTTTCGAAACCATAGTCGCCATGCTATAAACGACGTGTTTGACGTGACAAAGATAAGTGCTTGGATTCAGGACCATGGAGGTACCGTAACCGACTCTCTTACAGTTTCCAATAGCTGCGTAGTGACTACAGAAACTCGAGGAAAACGCTACTTGAAAGCAATTGAGTGGGAGATCCCGGTGGTTCATCCTATTTGGGTGTTTGACTCACTTCTCCGCGAGGCTGCGCTTGACTGTGGTGACTATACGCTTCGGGAACCCGACTATACTTATGGCACCGGCTGCAAAGTGTGGAATAAATGGTTCCAGTACCGGGGTTCAAACCCACAAAAAGAAGAACCTGCAACAGATGTGGTGGCCGTCAAACCCACCAAAAAGAACCGTGCTGTTTGGCAGTCCATTATGCTGAACCAGACACTGAAGCATCCCACTTCGCACCGAAAAAATGCTTGGGACGAGGAAGAAGAAGAAGCTGACGAGGATGTGTTCGAGGATTCTACATCACTTCCAAGAAAATCAGATCCACTACAAAAGAGAGACCTATTTATCAACTTTGTGTTCACGATTTTAGGGTTCCTGTCTCACCAGTCCGACGTTATTACCAATGTAATCAAGACCAACGGCGGCAGAGTGGTGGATCCTTCTACGAAAAACATTACACACATCCTCGTGCCTTCTAAAACCAGCAACCAAGTTTCCTTACTTCTTGAAAAACTTCCCGACTCCACGAGACACAAAACTGTTCAGGGAACTGTGACAATTGTTACCGAATGGTTTGTGGAAAGATGCTTATTTTACGGCAAAATCGTTCTAGATAGTTGGGGTATACCACTCAAGTCACTAATGACTAGCACCATACCATTTAAAGTTTGTATTACTGGGTTTACAGGTATCGAATTGTTACACCTTGAGAAGCTCATAAACTATTTGAATTTGGAGTATTGTGATACATTGACTAGTGATAGAGATTTGCTTGTGTTCAACATCAACGTTTTCAAAACATCTCTAGCGAAAAATTCACCAAAACTATTTGAATATCCTTCCAATGATGTCGTTGATTGTCCCGTATATCAACCAGGATCAAGTTCGGTGTCGGTGACTTCTTCCAAAAATAAGATAAAAGCAGCAAAACAATGGCATATACCCATCGTTTCCATCTCCTACATCTGGGAGATTGTTCTCCAAGCAAAGTTGCCTAATATTCAAGACTTAACTTGGTGTCTTTATGCTCCTGGTACTTGCAAACCAAATAGCATGCTTGACTATGTCAAGTCCAACATTGAAACAACGCCGAAAAAACGGCGAGATCAAAGCATAAAGTTCCCGTCGCCTCGCAGGAACTCAAAACGTCAAAAATTTGGTCGAATTGTAGGCAGAGGTTCTCCTACTGTGACAGATCGATTGCTTGAAGAGAGTCGCGACGAACAAGATGATGAAGAACATGACATAACCAACATTGATGAACTACAAGAGGACTTTGTGGGGTACCAAGATGCAAAATCCTTACAGGAAAGTGAAAAGTTACTACGGAAACTAGGAGGGTAACAGACAAGTACAAATGTATATATCTATAGTATATGGCGGGGCGCCAGCCCTAGACACGTGACGTGCATCCCGGGTGAATTTTTTCTTGCCACGCATTTGATATAAAGAGAAAAAAAATTTCCTCACCTTTTACTTTTCAACTTTTAAGTAACTTTTAAAATGGGTAAAGAAAAGACTCACGTCAACGTTGTTGTCATTGGACACGTCGATTCCGGTAAGTCGACCACCACCGGTCACTTGATCTACAAGTGTGGTGGTATTGACAAGAGAACTATTGAAAAGTTCGAGAAGGAAGCCGCCGAATTGGGTAAGGGTTCTTTCAAGTACGCTTGGGTTTTGGACAAAGCTTAAGGCTGAGAGAGAAAGAGGTATCACCATTGACATTGCTTTGTGGAAATTCGAGACTCCAAAGTACCACGTTACCGGTCATTGATGCCCCAGGTCACAGAGATTTCATCAAGAACATGATCACTGGTACTTCTCAAGCTGACTGTGCTATTTTGATTATTGCTGGTGGTACCGGTGAGTTCGAAGCTGGTATCTCTAAGGATGGTCAAACCAGAGAGCACGCTTTGTTGGCTTACACCTTGGGTGTTAGACAATTGATTGTTGCTGTCAACAAGATGGACTCCGTCAAGTGGGACAAGAACAGATTCGAGGAAATCATCAAGGAAACCTCTAACTTCGTCAAGAAGGTTGGTTACAACCCTAAGACTGTGCCATTCGTTCCTATCTCTGGATGGAACGGTGACAACATGATTGAGGCTTCTACCAACTGTCCTTGGTACAAGGGATGGGAGAAGGAGACCAAGGCTGGTAAGTCCACCGGTAAGACTTTGTTGGAGGCCATTGACGCCATTGAGCCACCTCAAAGACCAACCGACAAGCCATTGAGATTGCCATTGCAAGATGTCTACAAGATTGGTGGTATTGGAACGGTGCCAGTCGGTAGAGTTGAAACCGGTATCATTAAGGCCGGTATGGTTGTTACCTTTGCCCCAGCTGGTGTTACCACCGAAGTCAAGTCCGTGGAAATGCACCACGAACAATTGGTTGAAGGTGTTCCAGGTGACAATGTTGGTTTCAACGTTAAGAACGTTTCCGTTAAGGAAATTAGAAGAGGTAACGTTTGTGGTGACTCCAAGAACGACCCACCAAAGGGTTGTGACTCTTTCACCGCTCAAGTTATTGTGTTGAACCACCCTGGTCAAATCTCTGCTGGTTACTCTCCAGTTTTGGACTGTCACACCGCCCACATTGCTTGTAAATTCGACACCTTGTTGGAGAAGATTGACAGAAGAACCGGTAAGAAGATGGAGGACAACCCCAAGTTTGTCAAGTCCGGTGACGCTTCTATCGTCAAGATGGTGCCATCCAAGCCAATGTGTGTTGAGGCTTTCACCGACTACCCACCATTGGGAAGATTCGCCGTCAGAGACATGAGACAAACCGTTGCTGTCGGTGTCATCAAGTCTGTTGAGAAGTCTGACAAGGCCGGTAAGGTCACCAAGGCTGCTCAAAAGGCTGCTAAGAAATAAGCTATATAGTTCTTTTCTGAATACACCTGAGTTTTACTTTTTCAGTAGATCGCGCAGCCGCACCAACCCCGCGATGCGGCTACTTAAAGACATTCATGACGATTACAAAAGCAATGGTTTCTGATAAAAGTCAGTTTGGTTTCCATGTTTTTGCCGATTCGGATACCAAAAAGCACTTTCCAACCAGGGATGAAGTTGAAGCTCACTTAAAACTACTTAAAAGCTTTCAACTTCTTCGAAGATCAATTGCCCTGTCAGACGACCCTGTTTGTGCAGCCAAAACTTGGCAAGTTTTTGTGACCAATTCAGGGCGGAGGTTTGTAATCTATGTGAGTGCACTCAAAAAGTATATGTTTCAGAACTCTGGACCTGAATATTATCCCTTGGATGAAACGCTGATGTATGTCAAAGAAGCAACGAGAAACAAGCGACTAATTGATATCATGGCAAGTCACCTACCACCCTTAGACGTTCTTATGGTATGGCATGCCTTTGCTTTGAACCCAAAATCATTTTATGATGCGTTTCTCCGCAACAATTTCTTGACGTTTGTGTTTATTCCATTTCCATTGCATTTGATCAATGAAGCAATTGACAACAATTCCTTACTATACAAGCCAGAAATGACATACGTGGACCAATTCAACTATATCTTAAGCTGTTACGGAGTAAAAATGGCCTACTACTTTGACGAACCGTTTCAAGCAAATGCCCATGTTGTACCGGTGATGTGCCCCATTTGCAGAAAAATAATAAGTGGATCTTTGGCTTTATCAAATGATAGCGATACTGGCTTTGCAGACTCAAACTTCAAGATTGACGATGTCAAGCCATGTTGCGGATTTCAAGACACTATCAACCATGAGCAGTTGCGAAGACGTCAATTTTATGCTGATTTATCCGACAAAAGAACCTTGCCTTACATTTACAAGTTCTTTTCTCTCGTTTTGAACTACGGCAACCAGAACCCGTTGGATTTAGATGCTTGCATAAAGAGAGAAAACCTACCGATTCGATCTCAACTCAAGACAGAACTGGTGGAGACGTTTATCAACAGAAACGAGAGATTCACGTTCAGAAGAAGATTGCAGATAATAGGTCGAAACTACCCACAATTCAACCTCATCTACCTCACAATTCCACGAGAAGATACAATCCAAATCCACGAAGATCTAGTGGGCTGTGTCGTGAGACAAGGTCGTTTTGTGGAGGCTATCAACGACCAAGACTGGTACGGGTCCCCCACCAAGGGAGAAGCTATTGCTGAGTCCATCTTGCGGTATCTGAGATTTATGAGTCTTTTGGTTCGATTTGGAACAACTTCGACTTTGGTACCAACCTTGGACATCGATCTTGTTTGGCACACTCACCAGTTGAGTCCGTACTTTTATTTCCTGTGGTGCCTCGACAACAGTAAAGACAACATGGTGGTTGACCACGACGATAAGGTGGAGGAGGGCAATTTGAACGACTGGTTTGAAAGAACCGCAAAGTTGTATCGGGCTGAATTCAAGTACGACTACTGTGCCTGTTTCTGCTGGTATTGCGTTTGTATACGAAACCATGCCAATTCCAAGCTCCAAACTATTTTTAATTCTGGGAAACATAAAGATGAAACAAAAGCACATACAAATCTTTCACACATAAGTACCCACAATGCCATTGCATTGCCTTTTTCCAAGGCTGAAGAAAGACGCCGTCAAGTGCAACAAAAGTTCAAAGATCGATATTTGCCGTGGACTCTTGATAACCACCAAAAAATGTTCTTTGAATCGAATCTTTTTGTGGTTCCACCATTGAACCCAATCGCATTAACCACCAAATATGTGTGCACATTTTATGGAACTGCTTTGTGTCAAGCCGTTGCCCAGGGTTTTGCAGGTTGCAGAGGAGCTAATTGCATTTCGGGGCGATACAATGGTCCGGTAAAATGAAGAATTGCTTTCAATTACGAAATTCTGTAATTTTGCAGTTTTATTCGCACCCAATGAAAAGCTGAAAGGTATGATTATTGTGTAGTTTTGAATACTTTGTAACAATTTTGACAATTGTTCTGGTTTATCATGCTGGTTCTCGTTCGAGAATTGTGAACCATTGACCTTGACCATACAAGTCTGATGACTCGCCGAGTTGACCATCTCGTTCTTCACCATAATACTAATTGACCAAGTCGGAAAGAGTTCCCGATATCAGAACCATCCCTATCACATAGAGAACCATCTCTATCTATGCTTATCGTATAGAGTCGTCTCTCCCACATAGAGTCATCCCCACATAAAGTCATCTCGCTTTCCATTGCCTTTAGAGTACTTTCAACACATCCCTCGGCTCGTAATTTGCAGCCGAGATACTATCTACGTCCAATCAGCTACAACTCCAAATGTGCATGATCTACAACCCCCCCCCTAAGAAGAAACGTGGCTGATCTCATGCCGCCGATAAGCAAATAAATGACCTTTTTCAGCCGATGAAACAGCCGATCTCGCGTCACACTTGCCGAAGTTCGTAAATCTCACGGTGCGGCTGAGATTCGAGGGTGACGTCAGAGAACGTATAAAATGTAGGCTTGACAGCCACTTTTCTCTTCACAAAACATGGAAGAAAAGCGTTCAAAAAATCAGTTTGCGTTCAATGTGTTTGCTGAAACAGACTCTAAGGAACACTTTCCTACCACGATGGAAGTGGAAACCCATCTAAAACTATTGAAAAGTTTTGAAGTTCTTCGAAAAACCGCCGTTCCAAATTATACCGATCCTGAGTCTTCGGGTCCTAAAGACTGGCAGGTTTTTGTCACCAACTCGGTGCGTCGCTTCATCACATATGTGAGCGCGTTAAAGGTATACATGTACAAAGGGGATGGTCCAGAAGTGTTTCCCTTAGACGAGGCGTCCATGTGGGTCAAAGAGTCTACCAAAAATCAACGCCATATTAACATCATGGCAAGTCATTTGCCACCGTTGGACGTTCTTATGGTGTGGCACGCCTTTGCGCTTAATCCAAAGGCTTTTTATGATACGTTTGTCAGGAACAATTTCTTGTCGTTCGTCTTCATTCCTTTCCCATTGGACCGTATAAGTCAAGCAATCGATGCTAATTTTACTTATAAGCCCAACGAGCCACTCGTGGATGAATACCATAAGATTTTGAAGGCATATGGCGTGACTATGGACTACTACTTTAAAGGTCAATTCAATCCTGCCGTCCATAAAGTGCCGGTGATGTGCCCCGTGTGTCATAAAGTGATTTCACAAAATGTTGACCTCACCAACTTTGCCAATACAGGGTTTGCAGACGAGAACTTTGAGATTTTGGGGGTTCCTCTGTGCTGCTCTTTCACTTCTCGCATTGACCATCAGCAGTTACGGCGACGTCAATTGTACGCTGATTTGAAAGATCACAGACCTTTGCCTTATTTGACAAAACACTTTTCTTCCGTTTTGAGTCCCCTGAGTAAGACAGATCCCGCTGCAATGGATGAACGGATCAAGTTGGAAGCCGAGCCTATGTTATTAGGGCTTCAATTTTCAGACTTAGATCTGTTTCTCACCAATTACGAACGTCGACCCCGAGAAAAGAGACGTCTCCAAATCATTGGCAGAAACTATTTCCAGTCGAACCTTATACACCTCACCATTCCTCGTTCAGATGTCATCCAGGTTCATGAAGATTTGGTTGGTTGTGTTATGCGCCAGGGTCGGTTTGTGGACAAGATGAATGCTTTTGACTGGATAAACTCACCAGTGAAACAAGAAGGCATTGCTGAATCAGTTCTCAGATACTCGCGGTTTCTCAGTCTTCTTTTAAAGTATGGACCTGCTTATATGCTTGTGCCCACTCTCGATATTGATCTTATATGGCACACCCATCAATTGTCCATCTACTTTTATTTCCAGTGGTGCTTGATAAAGGGCAAATGGGGTATGGTGTTTGATCACGACGATAAAGTGGACGAGAACCGGTTGGATCTGTCTTTTGAAAGAACTGCCAAATTGTACCGTTCCGCTTTCAAACAAGAATACTCGATTTGTTATTGTTGGTATTGCATTTGTGTTCGAAACAATTCCCAATCCAAACTCAAAGCCATATTCAAATCGAAAAAGAAGCTCGAAGAAAACGAAGATGTCATGAAAAAAAGTCCTCTTTATGGACCCGAGTCCAACTTGACCCATATAAGTACCCATAATGCTGTTACTGTGCCGCTGAAACGTGCCGAACTACAACGTCTCAGCGTTGAGAGAAAGTATAAAGACCGTTACATGCCATGGTCTGTTGACCCAGGGTACGGCTACTATTATAGTCCTGGCTTATTTGCGGTAGCACCATTAGCACCATTTGCACTTGCTGCTGGCGGAGCTGCGTACTTTGGATCTGGAACATGTTGCAGTGGAGTCGGTGGTTGTGGAGCCACAGCCTGTGGTAGTGGTTCTGGCTGTGGAAGTGGAGGCTGTGGGAGTGGAGGAAGTGGTGGTTGTGGAGGAGGTGGTGGTTGTGGTGGAGGAGGTGGTTGCGGAGGAGGAGGAGGCGGAGGATGTGGGGGTGGTGGAAGTTAACCGTGATATATTTATGATACGATAATGAACTACATGAAATCTGAAAATTGTAGCTAAGGGAAAGTTAAGAAATAGGAAACGAGAGATTCTAACTTTAAACAGATGAAAGGTATCTAGCATTTGTGAAGAGTAGTCAGTTCTTTACCTGAATGCGATTTTCAAATTTGCAGTCTTTTGCGATAATTGTGAAGTCTGGGATCGAAATCATAATATTTTAGATTCAAGCTGAGATACTCTGAGATGATCTATACCAATGGTACTTCGAGAACATTCCAAGGCTCCTTCTCAACTTCGAATACCTGACCCTCTAAGAATGAACGAAGTTATGTAAATACGTTTTGTGACAAACCAGACTCAACTGTAATAAAGTAGCCTTCAATGAGTAGTACTTTTTTCCCAATCTGCTTACTAAATTACTAAAATTGCGATTATTCATGGTCCAAAGTACGACATCAAAAGCCTAGCTTCAATGATCGATATTTTCCTGTTTTGCTCAATTTTGCAGCTATAATGTTGCAACAAGTGGGGGGTTTGGCGGGGCGCGGCATAAATGTGGGGGAAGAGATATGGCAGTGAAAAAAATGGTGGAAGACATCGATAGGTTCTTGGATGAACTTCTATGGTGTCTGATGATATACAAATGGTTCGAAGATGTTTTTAGTCTATTAATCCATTTTTGTTTTCTTTTGGCTTGGATCTCGGAGTGTCCCCGGAGTTTCCCCGGACATATTCCCCACTATTGGTGTTAAGATGTGAGTCCATTTGATCTTCTGGTATTTACCAGACGAATTGCAATCGGAATTTATTTCTGAATAGGCGCTTTTCGAACACTTGGCGCTGTTGAGGCTCCAACATGGAATCTTACGTAGAAGCCAATGAGAATAATGGTATCGTGAGAAAGAGAAAAAGGACAAAATCGACATTAGCATGCAACCGATGTATTGCAAAAAAGAGAAAATGCGATGGCGATTTTGCTAGAGAGGAACACTGTAGAAATTGCAAAAATGCTGGCGAAGTATGTGAATACAGCACGACTAGGGGCCCGAATTATATCAAGATTTTGGAAGAAGAAGTGAATCAATTGAAAGAGAAATTAGCGTTCTACGAGAAGAGTACATCACAATCGTCTGATGATTTGAAACAAAAAGTTGATTCTGATCACTCTCATGGCTTAGTTCAGAGTCCCTTGTTCATTCCAGTTTTGAATAACTTACCTTTGGCAGGTCCGTTTAGTTTTAATTTTGCAACTGTTGTCCATGGGCATTTAATTTATGGACTCACAAAAGGTGATGGTGAAGAAGCTGCTTGTTCCATCTACGCAAGTTCCAGTGAGGAAAGGCAAAAGGTTCTTTCAGACCTTGGTTCTTTGCTTCGTAATCATACCTTGATGGGCGATTATTTGGACAACTATTGTTCGGGTATTCATATACGATACCCATTCTTGCTGAAGGGACACTTGAAAAAGCTTCATGAAACCAGACTAGAGCTTTTCGCAAACGACACAGAGACTAACCTCGAATCAATGTCCTTAAAGGATGCAATGGATAGGTTTATCTTGTTGATGGTTTATGCTTTGGGATCACGAGTTGCAAACGAAGATGATGGAATGGGTCACGATTTAGTGTTCTACAAAAGTGCACTATGGCTCAATTTGTATCATGATATTCTGACTGGGGACACACACACCATCCACGCAATGATATTGTTGGTGATCTTTCAATTGCGGTTTACATCAGGAGTTGCCATATGGCATCTCATAGGCTCTACTTTACGACTCTGTGTCAACTTGGGCCTTCACACCACAAACCTCAAACTTTTCCGAGAAGATCCTTACGAGTACAACTCACGCTGCAAAACTTTTTGGTCGGCTTACTGCTTGGAAAGAGTAATCTGTCTCAGTTTTGGCAAGCCCCATTCCCTCAGTGATAGAGACATTAATGTGCACTTTCCCATTAACATCGATGAAAGTATTACCGATCCGACCGCCCTCAAAGCTAAGTTCTATCAAACTTACCCTCATTATAACCATGAACAATTTAAGGTACCACCAGACGCCGATACTGAGGGAAGATCCTCGGTGTCTCCAGCTATCATCCAGTTCAAATACAGGCAAATCGAAAGTAAGATACAGTCCACTATCTACAGAGCTGATATAGGATTTGACTCTATTCCCAGGTTTCGAATAGAGGAGTTGAGGAGACAGGTTTTTCACTGGAAAAACAATCTACCCAATTATTTGAGCCCTAAAGAATACAACTACTGGTTGTACATGTTCAACAAACAGATAAGGTTCTTAATCCAGCCATTCTTGAGTTCATTGGATGGTAAAGACCCTCTCTTTCTAGAGTGCATTCAGGCGTGTGTTTCCGTGTGCAATCTAATCAAAAAGATAAACATAAAAGAAGAAAAAATTACTTTTGTGAGTCTTCAAACAGTCTTCTTGAGTGGACTCAATCTCATTTACGGTCTTATTTCCAAAAAGTGTACCTGGGACGTGGATATTAGCGAGGGCCTACGCAATTGTACGGCTTTTTTGGTTCGATTAGCAGAGAGATCGGCCGGTTGCGAGAGGTATCGTGAGATATTTGAGAGACTCTTGGATCAAGCCGTAGAGGACCAAAACACCTCTGAACTTGCAAGCAAAGCTATTCTTGATAAATTTCCAGCCCAGTTTTCAGGGTATAGTTCACTGGAGATCAAAGCACCACTCAATTCGATTCCACCGGTGGATATTTTGTTTGGCCAAAATGAGAAAAAAATGACAGCAAAAACAGTTTCAACGCCATTCCATGAGAGGGAAAATGATACACACCCGAATTCCAATGACATAACTGATTTCAATCAGCTTTTTGATTTGGATGATCTTTTGCAAAACTTTACGAATTTGGATCAATTTCCCACAGAATGGGGGATTGATTTGTAGCACAGGAGGCTGCTAAGCGAGTATATTCAGTAGCTTTGAAAGAAAAACCTAAATTTGATAAAAAAATGAATCATATTTTTCGCTGCCTCTTCATTTGAATGAATTTTTTCGCAGCCATTTCGCAATTTTTCGCAGCCATTTCAGCTTATGCGACCTTGGACAACAGAGCCAGCTGAACAGCATTGTGGATCTCAACATCCGCACCTTCAGGCAAGGGAAGCAATGGAGTTCTCACGGTAGCATGGCTCAAGATACCTCTGCTAACAAGGGCATGTTTCAATGCCACAGTACCCTCCATATGGGAGCCTCTGTGATAAACTGCCTTTGTAACTGGCAATAATTGATTGTGAATAGCCTTGGCTTTCTTGTAATCCTGAGCCTTACCGGCCTTGATTAACTCAATCAATGGTTCGGGGGCAATGCTTCCGTAGCCGACCAAGAAGCCATCAACATCAAAAGCAGTGTGAAGCAAGTACTCATCATGACAAGACAAAACTTGCAAATCTGGGTTCTTTTTCTTGATGACAGGAATCTCTGTATCCCATCTTCTCATATTCCTAACACCATTCTTCATGGCAAAGACTCCTGGCTGAGCAGCAATGTCCAATAAAGTTTGCAAATTGTAGGTGGCCTTGGTGTTGTCAGGGTACTGGAACAAGATCAATGGAAGACCAGAATACTCATAAACACTCTTGTATCTATCTTGAGGTGCTCCTGGCTGGTAACCAAATCTCAACCAGCCATGCGATGGGTAAAGCAACCCAGCAGAAGCTCCGGCCTCTTTGGCTCTCTTGGCTTCAAACGCTGCAACCTCCGTACCTTCACCAGTGATGCCGGCGATGATTGGAATCTTGTTATCCACGGATTTAACAAATGCCTTAATAACCAGCACCTGTTCGTCAGGAGTCAAAAAGGTGCCTTCACCAGCGTGTCCAAGAACAACTAATCCCTTTACTCCATCAATTGAGCCCAACCAAGAGCCCAATCTTTGAATGGCTTCGTAGTCAACGGAACCATCCTTACTGAATGGCGTAACTGGTGCTGGTGTCAATCCTCTCAAGTCTAAAGTCATATTGCTTGTCGATACAAACCGAAGGACGAAGGGCATCTTTTATATCCCATATTTAGCACCAGGAATGATGAACCGGAGCTAACTATGCGGAACAGTTCCGCACTGTTAAGCCCAGTACAGTCAATTTTCGTCTGAGCCGCAAAAGTACCCTTGTGAGCAGATGACTGCCAGATACACAGATGCACCCCGCAAATCAGATTCTAGCCTATTTTTCTTTGAATGGTCGGCTATGCCTTGTTGTGCGGAACCGTTCCGCACTTTTCTGTCACGATGAGATGTGGGGTAACTAATTTACCATTTTGGAACTCGAGGTGGGGGAGCGGAATCGTTCCGCACAATAGAGTATGGTGAAGAAAAATGCGGGTTTCTTCCGAACCACCTTTGTAATCCTTAATTTGAACTATATTGTGGGGAAATGTGGGGCAAGTTTTCGAAGCAGTGGTAATCTTTGTGAATTTTGTATGGTACATGATGCAAATTGGGAAAAACTTGCCGCATCCTATTGCTGAAAAAAACACCATTTCTCCAACTGGGCCTTGGCACAACGGTATTTGCACTCAATTGGTGGAAGATATAAGAGCCAACACTTGTCTGAATGAAGGTAACGGAATCATGGTGACTCAAGTAGAGACTCACAAAAAATATTTCCTTGGGCTTACTGGAGATAGCCTCAACTTGGCTGCGATAATCCTTATCGTAATGCCTGCTATTATCTCATTTGGATACAACCAGTCCTTACTAGGAGGATTACTTGACTTTCCTGCTTTTGAGAAGCGGTTTCCTGAAATTGCTGCTGATTTAGCCACCGGTTCTGAGAAGAAACACAAGACGACCCTTCGAGGCACCGTCGTGGCCCTATATGCTGCTGGTGGTATAATTGGCTCCGTTTCGTGCGTGTGGCTCGGTGATATCAGAGGGCGTCGGTTCACGTTGTTTGTGGCAGCAATTGTGCAGCTTATAGGTGCGATCATAATGACCACTTCATACTCTTTCGCTCAACTCATCGTCAGCAGAATAATCTTGGGTTTGGGAACTGGTGGTCTACTCGCTACGGTGACAGTGTGGCAGTCGGAAATAAGTAACGCAAAGAGAAGAGGATCTCATGTGTCGTTCGTGGGGGTGTTTTTGGGAATGGGGTTGTGTCTTTCGTTGTGGTTGGACTTTGGCTTCTTTTATACTTCTGGCGAGGTTTCATTTCGAGTTCCGTTTGTTTTTCAAGTCATCTTCAGTTTCATGGTTGCTGGGCTCATTTATATGTTTCCTGAATCTCCACGGTACTTGATGAAAAAGGGGAGAGTAGATGAAGCAGAACAAGTCATGTTGGTGATCGAAGACGGAATGACAGAACCTGACGAAATCCGCAAAGCCATTCGAGACCAACAGACATCTATGGACTTGGCAGGCCAAGTAAAGTTCTGGGACTTTTGCAGAATGGGGCCCCAGAGAACTCTCAATAGAACTATTCTCGCAGTGACTTGTTTGGCAGGTTTGCAACTCACCGGGGTCAATGCCATCACCTTCTACACAAGCACAATCTTTGGTCGTTACCTTGGTTTGCAGCCACTGGTGGCCAAGCCATTGGCAGCAGTCTACCAAATGACAAGTATAGTTGGTGGTTCTTTAGCAGCTTTCACCGTGGAGCGGTTTGGTAGAAAGACGTTGATGATAACAAGTGCAGCAGGAAACGCTATTTGTATGGCTTGCTTGGCGGCATTACTTTCTTATCCAGACAACAAATCAGCGACGAAAGCAGCCACTTTTTTCGTCTACATGTACCACTTTGTCTATGTTATCGGATGGGGAGGGGTTCCCTTTTTATACGCTTCGGAAATTGCACCTTTAGCTCACAGGGCTGCTATCAATGGTTTGGCAGTGGGCGCATTTTGGGCTTTCAACTTTATGATTGGAGAAGTTTCTCCCGACGCCTACGAAGGAATTGGCGTCAAGTATATGATTGTGTGGGCATGTACCAACTTTGTGCTTGCTATCGTTGTGTACTTCTTCTTTCCTGAGACTTCAGGTCGAAGTTTGGAGGAGATTGACGAGATCTTTGCAATGGCTGACGGATGGTTGGACGCTGTAAGAATTGCAAAAAGAGTGCCCCATAGGCACTCATTTGAGGAGGCAGAAGATTCCGAAAAGGTCAGTGGATACTCACTTGGATATGAAAACATGAAGGATAGGTTTGACAAACCAATAATTGCCCACGAGGAGAATGCAAAGTAGCAGACAGAGATTTTTAAGGAATCAACTCAAACTCTATAGCCTTACTGAATCAATACTTCTCGATCCATAGAAGAGCATATCATGTGTTTTACGAAAACATTTTTGCCATTTGGATCTGGTATCTTTTTGGGTGCAAAACGTTCTCATTGTTCTCATCTTCTTACATAATTCTATAGAACTTAGCCGCTCACCTGAAACGACACACAAGCCAATGAACGTAATTGACAGAGGAATCCGATTGGGCTTCGACGACCACCAGGGTGACTACAACCATGCCACTGATTCCGAGTATAAGCGTTTAAGAGCCCAAGCTGATGAACTTTACCAAAAAAGAAACAAGTTGAGCCAGCAGTCTCAACAAGCCTACAAAGCTGGAGATGGAAGTAAGGCCCACGAGCTCTCTGAGCAGTCACACCGGGCATTGGAAGAGGCCGAAAAGTGCAACAGGAAAGCCGCAGAGTATGTTTTTCGTGAAAACAACGAAGACAGTGCCGAGGATGAAATCGACCTTCATGGTTTATACGTCAAAGAAGCCGAGTTGTTTTTGCAGACACGTATAGCCGCTGCTATTCGGACCAACCAGTCCCATTTGCGAGTTATTGTAGGAAAGGGAAAACATTCTGCAAACGGAATTGCAAAAATCAAACCGGCAGTTGCACAAATGTGCGATGAGTGCAGGTTAAACCATAGAATGGACCCTCATAATGCTGGTGTAATGATAATTGACTTGTCCAACACCCAGAGTCTGCAAATCCCCAACAACTGGGGTGGACTTAGTCAGCCCACAGCTACTTATCATGGTACTTCGCAGCCTCATTACCAGCAACAATCACAGCACCATTCCCAACAATATAACCAACACAATAACTTTGGAAAGATCAAGACCGGCAACCAGCTTGCGGACATATTGATCAAGATGTTTTGTATGTGTATTAATAAGAAGTAGAAAGGGAAGAGCGACCAAGATTGAGAAGAAAGACAAAGATTGAGATGAACGAAGAAGACAGACATTGAAAACGTTGAAGAAAGTAAGCGATGAAGTTGAAGTAGGAAAGGACGATTGGGTTGAGGACACTGAACCTGAGGAACCTGAGGAACCAGGCGACCATAACATTATTTGTCAATATTACTACATTACTCTAACAAGCACATCCACTGTTATCGGTTTCCAAGTGAATGTTGATGGCATCATTGTAGTCGTCGTTGACGTCGTTTCCATTCGCCTCATTGAGCTCTTCTTGCTGGAGCGCCATCTTGGCAATGACTTCAAATGCACTTTCAACGTTGATCGATTCCTTGGCACTGGTCTCGAATACTGGGTAGCTCAATCCACCAAGCTGGTTGTTGGTGACATTGTTCAATTTTTTCTGCAACGACGGAATCTTTTTCGAGTCGTCCGCATCGATCTTGTTGCCTATTATGATGAAGGGAAAGTCTTGAGGGTTCAGGACATTGGATTGAATGAGAAATTCATCTTTCCAAGATGCCAAATTGTTAAGAGATTTCTCATTGGTGACATCATAGCACAAAACACAGCAGTCTGCACCCCTGTAGAAAGCCACCCCCAAGCTCTGAAACCGTTCTTGGCCGGCGGTGTCCCATATTTGAAGCGTAACTTGCTTGTTGTTGTCGACGGTAATTTCCTTGGTGAGAAAATCGGCACCAATGGTGGCCTTATATTGATGGGAAAATTTGTTATTGACAAACTGCTGCATCAACGAGGTCTTTCCCACTCCGGAATCTCCTAGAATGATGACTTTGAGCAATGTCTTTTTCCGGGAAGACATGTTGACGATAAAGAATGATAAGAGTGAGAAGACACACAAACCCTGCAGTCCGCGCAGCCCCTCGCTTCCTGCAGAAACCCCCCACGCACCTCACCGGCTGTGGTCCTGCACCTTCTGCCGCAATTATCCGTTAGTTGCCACAGTTCTAAGCCATTCTCCTTAAAAACTAGAACTTTCTCCGAACCCATTTAAAACTTTAACTAGTTAATTTCTTTAAGTCAATTCTAGCAACTTTAGTCAATTCTCAATTCTTTCAGATGTCAAACTTAACCTCCGCTATACAATTGACCAAGGATTCTCGCTACAAGCTCAACAACGGACAATCGATTCCCGTGGCTGGTTTTGGGGTTTACGAAATTCCTAAGGAGGATACTGCTGATTTGGTGTACTATGCGTTGTCTGTGGGCTACAGGCACATAGACTCGGCCATTTACTACAAAAACCAAAGGGAATCAAGTGAGGGTATTGCTCGTTTCTTGAAGGACCACCCCGAGGTGGAACGTAAGGATATTTGGTTTACCACCAAGATCAGATTCGAGGATCATGGCTACGAGAACACCAAGAAGGCAATTGAACTCATTGCTAAAGAAGTGAAGGAATACATTGGGTATGTCGACTTGGTGTTGATCCATAGTCCTCACAGTAATCCTCAAAAGAGAATCGAGTCCTGGAAGGCATTGCAAGAGTATGTGTTGGAGCCAAACAACCCTACTTTGGATATCAAGTCCATTGGTGTGTCCAACTACGGAAAGCGTCATTTGCAAGAGCTTTTCGACTGGGATGGATTTGTGATCAAGCCGGTAGTTGACCAAATCGAATTGCACCCATGGCTTCCAAGATTGGAATTGAGAGAGTTTTTGGTCGAGCACGATATCTGGGCCGAGGCGTACTCGCCTTTGACTCAAGGCGTCAAATTGGACGACCCAGAGTTGTTAGAATGGGAAAAGAAGTACAAGTTGCCCAAGGGTAACATCTTGCTCACGTGGTCGTACTTGCAAGGATTCATTGTGATCGCCAAGAGCGCTAAGAAGGAGAGAATCAAGCTGAACCTCGATGTTTTGCCTGATGGAAACAGTGACGAGCTTGGGGAACAACATTCTTTCGGTAAGATTGAGTTGGACCCAGAATTGCTTCTGGCGCTCGACAAGCCCAAGTCCCACGATGTGTGCACGTGGAACGGAGTAGACCCTACATTGTACGAGCCTTAGATAGAATTAGTAAATGTCACTACGGCACATAACGACCCTCGTACTCTTTATGACAAATTCTTACTAAGGTGCGATTTATAAAGATTTCGCAGCCGAATCTTTTCGCAACTTAACTTTTTTCGCAACTGAATCTTTTCGCAACCATGGCACCAAGAACAGCAATCATCACATATTCGTTGTACCACCACATAGCCGCCCTTGCTGAGCTGGCCAAGGCGGGAATTGAGTCTGCTGGAGGCTCGGCAAAGCTTTTTCAAGTTGAAGAAACTCTTCCAGAATCTCTTTTGAAAAAGTTGAATGCTCCTCCAAGACCCAACTTTGAAACAGCAACTGTAGATACATTAAAGGAGTACGATGCATTTTTGTTTGGAATTCCCACCAGATATGGTAACTTTCCTTCGCAATTCAAGAACTTTTGGGACCAAACAGGAGCATTGTGGGCCAACGGTGAGTTGATTGGTAAACCGGCTGGTGTGTTCGTTTCCACTGGAACTTTGGGAGGAGGTCAAGAAACGACGGTCATTAGTACTTTGTCGACTTTGGTGCACCACGGAATGGTCTACGTGCCATTGGGTTATAGATCTCCATTGATGGCATCAATGGACGAAATCCATGGTGGTTCCCCATGGGGAGCAGGAACGTTTGCGGGCTCTGATGGTTCTAGAAAAGTGACTGATCTTGAGCTTGAAGTCGCAAAGATCCAGGGTCTGTCGTTCTTCGAGACCATCAAAAAGATGAAGGGCTAGTTAGATATAGACCTGTTTAATTTTGAGGTATTGAACTCATTAGATATTTTAATGTTATAGTGTCTAAATGATAGTATTTAATAACTGTAGTAGTAATCAAGAAAGAAGCAGTTGTTTGCAATTCCACAGAAATCCATCCTAGATTTTGAGTTTCTGTCCACCATATTTCTCATGATATCAAGAGGATAACCAAGATTTGCAACTCTTGATATGGTACACACACGACCCAACCGATATTGAAATTTCTCAACTATACTCAAACGTATTCAACTTTATCATGTCGAAACCAGTGCGGCAAGATTACATCGCCAAGGTGCGATACATCAACAACCTTCCCCCGCCTCCCTTGAATCCAAAGATGATCGAGTATAATGTGACAAATCCAATACCGTTCCTGACCGAGGCCAATCAACTCATGTCATCGTTGTTTCGAAAAGAGAACTTCAAGACGTTTATATCGGCCGTAGACGAGGAAAGCGGCATGAATCTCAATCTCTTGAACAACACAGATGTTTTGGAATCCGGAGATAACCGCGCCATCCACTCTTTGGTGAAAGATGATGTCGAAGCCAAGCTCCACGAAAAAGACAGAGCTCTTCTTCGAGACGCCGGAATCACTTATCTCGCCAAGTCGGAGCCCGGTGTGTCGTTCTTAAGGAGAACAGAGTATATATCTGAGAAACAAGCACCCAAATCGACCCAGACCAACGGAACCAGCACGACGAAAGAGGAAAAGCTTGACCCCGAAGCACAATTGAAGGCAGTTGAAGACACATTTGAGCAAGCCCAGGCCACGCTCGATGACTTTGCTAAGTTGAAACACCCCAGAAAGAAAAACGCCAAGGCGGTGGCAGCATGGCCGTTATTACCCGATGCCTCTATGATGGACTCAAAGTACTTGACAGTCAAGTTTTCTGGCTCGGCATCGTTGTCGCGTGAACATGAGACGTTGAAAAGACAAGGAAAGTACGACGAGAAGCTCGAACACAAATCCTTGCTTTCTACGGTGTACAGACCAATCACTTCGGCCGATGGTGAATGGATATCTTTATACCAAGTGCGCGATGCAACCCAAGCTAATGCGCTCGTAGAAAAACTCCAATCCACCGAAAAGGAGCGCCCAGTCAATCTTCTTGATGAGGAGGAACAACGAGAGACCTATACTCTCAAGCACATGAAAAATTACGACATGAACTTCCAGCGGTTTTCGAAGCCTTTTGAAGAATTGTCCATCAAATTCGCAGGCGATAGTGGGCTGAAGAAGAGAAAGGCCGCATATTATTATCCTGTCACCGGAAGGATTGACCTCAAGAAACATCGTGCTTCTGGAAACCCAGAACTCAACAAATTTTTGGCTCAAAGTACCTTTGACACCATCCAGTTGCACATTAGAGAACCAACCACCAATGAAATACGGAAGATGGATGTTGCCAGATCTGAGTTCGATCCCATGGAATATGAAGGAGAGGACGACGAGGTGCCACAGGAAAACGAATCTGAACCCGAACAGCCAACCGAAGCATAAAAAATGTTCATTCCATTATAATATCATAATATCAAGTCTTAAATCCACTCCTACTGTCTACACAGTAAATCAACTTTAGTTATGCTACATCCATCCTACTGTCTACTCAGTAAATCAACTTTTAGGTATACTGGTCATAATTCATATTCTAATCACCTTTTTACTGGTCATAATCTATAGTTACATGACTACACAGTCGGTCTTTTTCTTCTTCTTCTTTTCCTGGCTCTTTTCTTGAGGCTTGGAAGTCTTCGCTTCTTTTCCCTCCTTCTCAGGCTTCACCGCAGGTTTGTTGTACAGTTTTTGGATGTTGCGAGCCATGCGCATATCGTCTTCTTCTTGAAGCTGTTTCATCAAAAGATAGTCGTCCGACATGTCGGTGGCACCATGATCAGTAGAATCATCGAGGAACACTGGCACAAAATCTCCAGTGAAAAACAACTCATCTTTCCCGGAAACAGAGTTTAATGACTGCCACACTATACGTCGATGAGAGTTGAAGGCCTCATCTGTCACCAACAAGTAAAATTCCCCAGGACCCTTTTTGTAGAGCGTACTGAAATGGTTATTGCGGAAGAACACAGCAAGCTCGTCGTCTTCCATAACAGAATCGATTTTGCGTAAACCAAAAGATGTCAATTGCGACCGATTTGCAGCCAACCATTCCTGGGCCTGTGAATACGCCTGAGGGTTTTGTATGAAGCAGTCTTGGGCCCTATCGAACGTTGGGTACTGGCTGAAGAAAGAAAAGGCTTCAGGATCTTCGTTGGGGTCTAAACACCATCCATGTTTGAACGACAAAGAGAAAATTCCAAAAAGAACAGAAGCCAAATCTGACTTGGGAAAAGTAATATCTGTGAGTATGGGATCTACCGTAAGCCCTGTGTGTAGTAATGGGAGGCTCGACACGAGACGATCAACGTCGTATTCAGGATATTGTTCATTTTCAAACAACTCGAGGATCAATTCTCCCAAAGATTCGAGAAGAGAATTCAATGAAATTGACTTTTTTTCCGCCTCCAACCGACCCAATCGTGACTGCAAGTTCTCTATTGCTCTGGCTCTCCTATCCTGGTGTTCATTCCGGTGCAATTCACCAAAGGCGACTTTTCTAGATTCTATTTGGTGTTTCAAGATAACAGTATTTACAAGGGCAATCAACGCACACGGCCCATTTTCGTCCTGGAGTAGGATCAGGGCATGGTGGTCATACTCGGACCACAGAATTGGCTTTATTTTGAAACTGGTGGTCGTCATGAAGAATAGGGGCCAGGTATACTCGTCAAGAATTAAATCCGCAGGCGGCTGCGGCTACTTGGCGCAGCCTGACTAAGCACAGAATGATACTATTGATTAATTAAAGAATGTAAAGGCTAGATACGACAACAACGCTAGCAGAAGACCCAAGGACACAAGCAGCAATTGTGTCTTGAATTCTTCTTCTTTTATCATGGCCTCGATTTTTTCATCGATTTCTTGGCGATTTGCAACCGTTTCATTGATCTCCAGTTTGTGGGGATTGGCGCCCGCTGGAATTGCTCCAGGAGTAGGGTACAACGACTCGCACAACTGCTCCAACTCGCCACATTTGAGGCCGATTTGAAGGTAATTGGGGTCATTGACCCGAGATTTATGGTTTATAATACGGATGTAGTGTCTGAAAATTCGAACCACTCCAGGGTAAGTTCTGGATTCGAGGATTAATTTGACGGTGGTTCCCTTTCTGATCTTCACCACCTTGTGGGTGACATCGGGATTGTTGTAAACGGTTGCAAGTGTAGCCACTGCCATAACCTGGGGGATGGCACAGAAGCTGAAACACGAAGGATCGTTCACGTTGGCCAAGTAGACCAAAACGTCGTTGATATGGTTCATGGCGTTCAAAACCAATTCACTGATACAGTACAATGCCTGTTCTTGGCTCTTTTCCGACTGGTCCTTATGGAAACTGGCTAACGAATTGGTATATTTCAGCCAGATTTCCTGAGGCCAAAACGACCTGCCATCTTGCATGTCTTCTTGGTAGTCACGAATGATGTTTGTTTTCTGCAAGAACAATCCCATGGATTCTGATTTCTGGTAATTGTCTTGGTTGAGACTTTCGTTGATAAAGTTGGCATGCGCCATGATTTTGGTCAATCCTTCACCCACAAGTCCAGCAACATAATGGCAGTACAAGTCGTAGTCCTTGACGGTGGCCACTCCGTTCGTATTGAAGTTATCGTCTAAAATATAGTCGGCCATTCCATTGCCCATCTTGTCGGTAATCTCCTTGATGACGTCTTGGAACTCGGAATCGAGGCGATGATACTCTGCCAAGATTTCCGGGAACTGTACCAACACTTCACGGTCCTTTTCGTTGGGTCCACTACCGTTAAATGAGTAATCGGTGGTGTTCAATTTGGTGTGAAACTGTCTCAAAAGCGGGATTTTGACGTCATGCTGAAGCGTCATATCGTCTTCTACAGTATCCAATGCTCTCAATACAAGATAGAACACCATAACTGCCACCCTTGTCTTGGGATGGAGCTCTTTAATAACCGCGGCGAACGACCTTGACGTCAAATTCAACAAATCATCGCATCTTTTTAAACTTGAACGGGCCTCGGTTGGTTCAAAGGGATGGAGCGATTTCCGAAAGCATTTAAACTGGACAAATGCCTTGAGCTCGTCGGGGTGTTGTAGCAATTGAAGGACTTTTCCCATGTTTGGGCAGATACGAGTAAAGAATTAAATTTCAAGTCGCGAAATGAGTCGCAACGAGTATACGGCATGCAGGAACACGGCTATGACAGGTTTGACAGCTGCAAATGGCAGATATATATTATTCCGATTATGGTTAGAAAGTTTATGTCCGTCTATGGTTGGCTCGTATTATTACTGAATGACGCTCCGCGTCGATTCATCGCAGATTTTCAATCTTTTCAAAGTCCTTTCTGGCAGCACGAATATTTTCCAAAATCATGGACTCTTCGTGGTTGGAAACGTAGTTTGTGTTTGCGTCTGTGTCCTTCAATATTATCATGATAAACATATTGTTGGTGAGCACGTCCACATAAAAATGGGTTCCGTTGGAGCCCCGGATAATGAGGTTTGTGAAGCCAGTTCTAAGCTTCGAAATGGACTGTTTGTAAGTCTTGATAATGTTGGAGATTTTCTCAAATCGCTTTGGGTCGAGGGTAGCTTCCGGTTGTTGTTGTTGTTGTTGTTGTTGTTGCATAGTTGACGTCGACAGAATAACAAGAAATGTCGTCTTTTCAAAAAGAATTATTTCCTCAGCTTCTAAAACCTCATTGAATTTCAAAAGATTCGAGTTGAACAAGTTCATATTGGGAATCAACGAACACACAATTTGAGACCACGCTTTATAAAGACTCTCGTCCCAAATGGAGGTGGGGAATCCTACTAGCTTGAACAGATAAGGATTGGAGATTTTTTGAAGTTTCTCCATCATGATCAGAAACAACTCATCCCGCTTGTCTATTTGTACCAAATCCATCTTGTGCAAGAGAACAAACACCTTGGCGTCCGGACTGTACTTGCGAAGGTTTGTGAGTGATTTTACAAACGTCTCCATGTCCTTGTTTATCAGCTTTGACTCCACATCGAACACATGAATAAGTACCTGGACCATCTTGAAGATATGGTCTTTTTGCGACGTAAAGTAGTTGTCCATAAACACATCCTGGCCTCCACAATCCCACAAATTAAGCGTCATATTGCCGAGAAACCGCAAGTGAGAATGCTCCACATCTATGGTGGCACCCAATCTACGAGTGTCAAAAGCTGAGTAGTTGGAGAATATGATGGAGCGCATCGACAGTTTCCCGGAACCCGAACGGCCCATCAAAAGGAGCTTTTTTCGGGACGATTGTGACATGGTTGGATTTGTAAACTGGTTGGAAATGCGATGCTTATCGCGACCGCAGGTGCAGGAGATGGAGCAAGCGCGGGAGGCAGCGCGCAGCGACACAGCGAGACACAGCAAAAGGCAGCAGGGAGAGTAAGGACAGAAAAAAAGGAAAAGTCAATGGTCTCGAATCGATCGCTGTTGTAAAATAAAATACACGAATAATTATAAAAGTTTTCTATACTTTTATCTCTTTTAATGATACACTTCTTCATCCTACCACCCATCATCTCCCTGGTACCCCTGGCTACCGCCCTGGAAACCTCCGCGGTTAAACCCACCTCTAGAGAAACCTCTACCGCGCCCTCTGCCTCTAAATCCACGGCCGCGAAATCCTCCGCGAAATCCCCGTCTTGGCGGTCCATCGTGTGCACCTCTGTCGCCCGCCAATGCTATATCCTGCTTCATCTGGCCACCAAAACGACCTCTTCCAAACTGTCTTCCCTCAGTAAAACCTGGATCCAAGTCGATTTCCAAGTTTTGGCTATCTAAACTGGTTCCCTTCAAGTATTTCATCGCATTGAGCGACCCACTTTCCTCCTTGTAGATCACGAAACAAAACCCACAGGGGGTGAGTCGATGTCGATCGAGTCCCATGATGATTCTGTCTATACGTCCGCACTTCAGAAAGAGTTCGTGAACTTGTTCTTCGGTGGTGAAATGCGAGAGGTTTCCAACATACACAGTTTTGGAATGCATTGATCTTTTTAAATCGTCGAAAAAGTTGGAACGGAGCGCCTTCTTGATAAGGTATTGCGATGGGCGGTCCAATCGGTCCGCGGAGTGCTGGTGGTTTTCTTTTATGAGCTCCATATTTGGCAGGTGGTACACTGAGAAAACAATTTCGTCCCGCGAAAGTTACTACAAAATCAGCGCGAAACCAGTGCGAACTCACTACAAAATCAGGACTGGAAATCAGTGCGACTGAAATCAGTGCGACTGAAATCAGTGCGACAGAACACTGCGAAATTTGGTCCGCCAACTGATAGTCTGATAGGCCATATCAACGTTCCTTTGACTTGAGGCTATTCTGAGTTCATTCTCTTAGTGTACTGAAGACAAAAGAAGACTACAAGCAATGGTCTTTGGCTTTTCTACCGGGATTCGTGCCGTCTACTCGGTGCTGGACAATCCTTCTTTCGTCGCTGAACCGTGGTACGTGTATCCTGCCAAGCACAAATCCAACGGAAAACATGTTTCCGTGTACATCTTCGACAAGTCCAAGTTTGAGCAGCGGGTGACGAAACTATGCTCGTCAAGGCTGAATACAAAAAATCCAAAACTCATTGCCAGTGAAAGTATCGAACTACTCAAGTACGAGGTGAGCCAAATGTCCAAGTTACGACACCCACAGATCTTGACCATCTACGAGGTTTTGGAGGAAACAAAACTGAAACTTATATTTGCTTCTGAGCAAGTGGTGGACTCGCTTCTCACTATCCAAGTATCCAAACTAGATGACATCACTATCCAGAAAGGTTTGCTTCAGGTATCCAAGGGGCTCCAATTTTTGCACAACCAGTGCCATGTAGTACATTTCAACCTTCAACCTTCGTCTGTGTTCATTAATACCCAAGGAGACTGGAAAATAGCCGGGTTCAGGTTCTCGCAGAACTTGAACGACCTCTCTCCAGAAGACCGTGAAAACTTCTTTATCATGAACAATGCGTCCATCGTGCCGTTTGCAAACCTAAACCTCAATTACACGGCTCCAGAGCTCTTGATAAGCCTGACTCTGAAACTCGACACAGCCAACGATTTGTGGTCGCTTGGATGCCTATGCTACTATTTATACAACGGCGGCGACCAGCTCATCAGCTGCTTTGACCCCAACAGCATCTCGGACTACAAAACAGAGTTCAAAAAGTTTGAGCAAAAGTTCTACAATCACAGACCATCTGAATTAAAGTACTTGTTGAAGCAAATTCCCGAACAATTTTATACCATTCTCACTGGTCTTTTAGCACGATATCCCCATGACCGGCCATCCATAGACCAGTTCATCGACTCGGACTTCTTCAATGGAAGCTTGATCAAGGCCATGTGGATAATTGACGAGTTTTCGACCAAACTGGCTGATGAGAAAAGGGTGTTCTTGGCCGGTCTTCTTGAAGGCTCTTCAAACCAAAACCTTCTTTCTCAGTTTCCAGCGATGTTCAGGACATCAAAGCTTTTACCCATTGTCATAGACTTGATAGCAACAGAGGTCAACATTCCAAACGATAAGACGGAAACCGATGAGCTTGTTGCAAATGCATTGAAGATTGTCTTTAAAATCGGAGAGTCGTTATCGTCTCTTTCTTTCCACGACAAGATATACGAATCGCTTCTCAAAGGTGGTCTGAAATCGAAGAAGCAGGACAAAACTACCTTTGCAAAATTGTTAAACTACACCGTCAAGGCGCGGCTCACCATAGTGGAAAATATACCCATTATTCAGTCCAAACTCAACGACCGCCAATTGACAGATACGTTGAGCATGAGTGCTGAGCTCTTTTTAACATCGTCATCAACAGAGGCTGTTCACAAAGAACAACAGATTTTATTGCAGGATACTTTTTTGGCACAGCTGCCTTTGTTTGTCAAAAAGTTTGATTTCCCATACCTCAAAAACACATTTTTCCCGCTACTTTGTCAGGTTTTCAAAACAACCACAGTTCTTTCAACCAAGCTTGCAACCATCGACGTTTTTCTCAAGTATCTTCAGGATAAAGTCATAGACAAAACCATAGTTACCGAGCAGTTATTGCCCATTTTGAAGAAATTAAAGAGCAGAGATAAACGGATCATTAAGGATGTGCTTGCATTATTTGGCGAGATCTGTGCGAGCGAGCATATTGGCCTCGATACTACACCGGTTATCGAGACGATTCTTCCACAATGTTGGAAGTTGGCATTCGACTGTAACGACTGTTCCAAGGTGGAATTTAACCATTTTATGCGTGTGATCAATACCATACAAAAGAGCGCCATTGACAAGAAAATGAGCACTCTTCCTGACACCGTTTCCAAGACCTACCATACTGAGTCTGCAACCCCAGATTTTGAGTCGATGATCAACACCGAGAACATCAATAGAAATAACCAAGAAGCAATGACAAAGGCGCCTCTGTCTGGCGTTATGCTCCCAACGAAGCGGACAGAAACTAGTGCCAAGCAGACTCGAAAACCGAACAAAGAAGATGACTATGCATTGAAACCTCGTCCCAAGCCAAAGCCCAAGGTGGTGTCCAAGCCATTGGTTCCCAAGCCATTGGCCAACGATGCCGCGATTCCATTACGATTTGGAGCTACAAGTGCACACAGCAACTTGGTGAACAAGGTAGAGGAGAAATGGAACAACCACAAACAGTTTGAAGATGATGAATTTGACAGTTTTCAGCAGGCCGGTGTTCGCACAGAAATGGCTGCGAATCAGCCGCAAATTCAACTGCAAGTCCAATCGCAACCACCGCAAATACCGCAAATTAACGGCTGGAGCACTCAGGTTCCGCTCGCGCCCACGCCCAGAAACCCACCGCCCGGTTTCACGGGACTGGTCTTGACACCCAACTCGACGGGAAAACAAAAGATGGACGATAGTCTTATATAATATACTATGAACGTGTGGGTGCACCGTAGTGGGTCCTAAGCCTAGCACTGCCTACCGTGCCTGCGACACGATAATAAATCATGTGAGGTTCTTATTATTTGCACTGTACAGTAAGTCAGTAGTAGTTTGCAGCAGTTTGTAGTCGTTTGCAGAGGCTTGCAGACGTTTGCGGCAGATGAAATCGTATCACGATCCCCGCAAGCGGCTCTGCGTCGGACGGCGCACTGTCAATAGTGACATCGGCCTCTCGTGCGAGAGGCTTCCATAAAGGGAAATCATTGGCCTACATCCAGACCGTAGGCGCCGCACGCACGACGCGTGGGAAACAGAAGGGATAGACCGATAAATTTCCGGGGTGGATCGGAAATTAGTGCCTACCGGTCAAACCGGATCACTGTTCCGCACCAGTTTAGCATCTGTTTTGCATTTGTTCCGCATTTGTTCCGCTTCTGTTTCGTGTTCCAACCCCTTCGTCTCACGTCGTCTCACCTTTGTCCCATCGCCCATGCCGCAGGCGCCGCACATGTCCTGCCGGTGGTGGGGCGCACAGCCGAACAATCCTGGGGAAATCCGCGACTTCTTAGGCGTCTGGACCGCGCAAACGCCCGCAGGCACAAATGGGTAGCGAAATATAAAAACCTTAAACCCCGTCACTTCAGTGACGCATTTTTTTTTTGATTTTTGAATTGTAATGATGTTAGGCAAGTCTCACCAACGGAGGGCATCCAGCATCAGTGCTATATCCTCTCCCAGTCCACAAAAATCATTTCTGACAGATATCGAAAAATACGCCGATGTTGATGAAGCCGACGCAAAACGTATGAAACCCAAGAAAGACGTGTTGGGATCGGTTATCATGGTGTTGGTGTACGTCCTTTGCGTAGCAACCTTTATTAATTTTTTGTTGCTGAGGGATAACCTCGGGGAAAATGGGGTATTTGCGGCCATCATGAAACCATTTGTAAACCACCATGAAACTCAACCCAGCAGTGAAGTCCAGCTCATAAATATGGCTGCTATAGGTGCGTCTGGCTCCAATGCAGACGACGAATTGTGGAAATTGGATGACCACAACAAAAAAAATAGCCCGGATATCGCAGTGGCTCCCGGCCAACAACCTCCAGTTAGTGCGTTGGGTGCACCTGTCTCTAGCTTGGATCGTGCTGCCCAGGAGGCATTAACGACCATGCCGGAAACTCCCGACACAATCAACCCACAAGGGGACTTGTTGGAGATCCTTTCTGTGTCCCCTATTGTTATTCTCAGCTCCAGTTCTGCTCCCGCTTCGCTGGAAGTTGATGACTCGGACTCACCACAAGACCAAGAATCGCTCCACGACAACAAACTCGAGAGCCAGGTGATGGAGATCATGCTTGGATTTCTCCACATTACTCCAGAACCTCGGGTAGTGGATCTTGCTAAACATCCCCATCATAACGAAATTGTACATTATTTGCAGAGCTACTCGATGCATACTTCCGAAAATGAAGACGACGAAGTGGTAGACATCCCTCGGGTGTTCATTGGCGGACAGCCTATTGCTAACCACAAGCAGGTTGTGGAAAAATACTATAACAAGGACCTCATTGAATTTCTCAAGCACCACGGCAAAGGAATTATCAATGTTGAGTAGGGTCTATGATTTAATGAATCATGTAATTAGATGATAAACGACTTTTATATGCCTTTTCTCCGCTGCCTTCTCTCCAGCTGCCTTCTCTTAAGCTGCCTTCTCTCAAGCTTCTCACTTTTGCACCCGCATCGCATTTTTGACAGATTTAAAGGTAGAGTGGTTTACCTAAAAGCGGTTTCCTCCAAAATCCACCAAAAATGTGTGGCATTCTCCTACGGGTGTCACACAACCCTCCTGCTCCCCATATATTCACCAGTACCTCAAACACCTCATGGACATGTCTGGACGAAGAATTTATATTCTCCAACTTTATTCAGCCGTCTTTGAATGTACAGCTTTCTATGGCCGATGAAAGCAAATTGAACAATATTGCGAGGTTGAAAGAGCTTCAGCTCCAGTTGAACAGTGCCAAGAACCAGATAAAACAAACGGAAGAGTTTAATCAAAAAATAATTTCAATACAGAACGAAATTGCAAAACTTCACGGCGATTTTGAGGTTGTAGTAAGTGAAACAAAAAGCAAACAAGACGACGTTTTTGAGTCACTTGTGCCTTTGGTAGCCAGGAGAGGACCCAACTATGTGGCTTACGAGCAGCATGAAAAGGAAAATTTGACAATTCAGACCTTTTCTTCAGTCTTGTCACTAAGAAGCCCATTTACTCCACAACCAGCTCACGTCCTGAATTTGCTGGTCCAGTTCAATGGAGAGCTCTACAACGCTGAGTGTATGCTGTGTAACGATACAGAGTTTTTGCGTGAGTTATTAAAGAAGAACATGGAGAAAATTGGAAGAGAGAAGGGAATTCTCCATACCATTGAGACTCTTGAAGGAGAATTTGCATTATCCATTTATGACCCAGAAACCCAAAAGATATACTTTTGTAGAGATATCCTTGGTCGACGGTCGTTGGCATTTCGTCATAATAGTGAAAGTGGAGAATTTATCTTGAGTTCAGTTGCAGACGACGGTTTTAAAGAATGTGAGAGTAAAGCTGTTCATGTTTTCTCGATGAAAAACTTTAGGGTGGTATCCATTTCTCGTACTAACGACTATTTCAGCATGTTGAAACCTAACCTTGACCTTTCCATGAACAAGCAAGAAATATCGACAGTCGTCGGTCTCGAAACTGTTCTCGATAAAGCCTGCGCCAAGCGCCAAAGAACCATCCACCCACTACACGCACAAGCAGAAGAAGCCAACTTGGCAATCTTGTTCTCCGGAGGTCTCGACTGTACCGTTTTAGCGGGACTTATAGCCAAGAACCGGATTTTGACTGAGGGAAGTGGCCATATAGATTTGCTCACTGTTGGGTTTGAGAATCCAAGAACCGGTTTGGGAGCTCATGAGTCTCCCGATAGAATGTTGAGTAAGAAATCGTGGTTTCATCTAGCCAAACTCTTTGACTCTCCACTGTCTCGGTTTCGATTAGTAGAAGTCAATGTCAGCTACAAAGAGTGGTTGGCTCATCGCCAAGTTGTAAAGGACTTGATGTACCCAGCGAGAACCGAAATGGACCTATCGATTGCAATTGCTTTCTACTTTGCCAGTCGAGGGGGTCCTGCAAGAAAATGGGAGCTCAGAGACAAGCTGGTGGAATGGAGTGAATTCTGTAATAATGAGCCCAATTACGCTACGGTGCAAGAAGACTATGTTTCCAATGCCAAGGTTCTATTTTCCGGTTTGGGAGCAGATGAGACGTTTGCAGGCTATTCGAGGCACGAAGCGGTTCTTAATGGTCTCGAAGAAGACTCTAGTTTGGAAGATGTGATTGAAGCTTATACCAAGTTGAATGAGCTGCTTCTTCACGATATAAAAGTTATCGAGTCTCGAAACTTGGGGCGAGACGACAGAGTCATTTCATGCTGGGGTAAGGAGTTGCGGTATCCATACCTTGATGAGGAAGTGGTGAAGTTTGTCACCAACGAGATACCACCTCATCTCAAATTGCATTATAGCTGGGAGACCAGAAAGACAAAAAAAGGTTCCAAACGAGTCAAGGTTCCGGTCCGGAAGTACATACTCAGGCAACTAGCTGTAAAGCTTGAATTGAACTGGGTCGCTGACGAGTTGAAAAGGGCAATTCAATTTGGAGCCAAGAGCGCCAAAATGGAAATAGGACAGGGTCGAGCCAAGGGAACGGATAGCATAGAGTAGAAAGAGACTAGAAAAGAGCAGGTTTGTTCTTGACAGTTTTCGAAAGAATGTATGAAATAATTGACTTATGTCTAATGACCCTTGAGCTGGTCTACCCACTTTGGTTCAATCACCAAACACTCGCATTCACATAGCAAGTTCTCCTTGGTTTCTATGTCTTGATCCTCTAAATTGACCTTGTAAACCGTACCCTTTACCCGGCACTTTCTGCCCTGTTTGCTGATCAACTCACAACGAACAAGTACATAATTATCCACAAAACAAGGCTGTTTATAGTTTATGTTCAAGTTGGCAGTGACTCCTTTCTTGGAATGAAAGTTTTGGAATGCTAAGCGACAAGTCAACTCGTCCAAAATTGTTGCCAAGAACCCTCCATGAACGATGCCTTTATGTCCACTTAACTTGGGTCCCAAATGGAAAAATGTATACGAGTGGTTTGATTCCCCTTCCTTGATGCTCTCAATATCGTCGTAATCTTTAATGAAGTGGTCGTCGATAAGATAAATAGACTCGGATCTCAAGTTAACTTTGCCGGTTCCGGTGAGAGTATGGCCAGTGAGCTCTGGTTTTAATGCTTCTTGTTCCCACTTTCCTATATTCTGGGACAAATGATGGTCTCGCTTCTGGTAGTACCGAGCCAAAACGGGTGCTATAGCAGCCTCGTAGGAATCCAAAGTCATGTCTTCACCGTTTTGTATCATAAATTCGAATTATCAAAATTCCATCTGGGGAATCCGAATAGCCTCGGCACGTGCGGCGCGCAGGATGCAGGCTGGCTGCAAATTGCAACAGATTTAATTGGTTCTATAATTACAGGAAATCAAAATATAAATCGATTAAAGAATAAACAGCATAAGATCAGTCGTTGCACTTTTTTTGTGAGGTTCTTTTTTTGCGAGGTTTATAGTTCGTGGTCGTTTCTGAACACCACCTTTCTTCCGTTGACTTTATTCTCCACCAACAACTTCAAACCCTCATTTGCGGACTTGAGGCCCCTGGGCAACACCTCCAATGGCGCTGTCTTGATTTTTCCCAAGATCGAAGGAAGGTGCGAGTTCCAGAAATCAGAAAATGCTTCCATCATTTCTGGCGAAGCCTTGGCACCAAAATGTACTCTGCCATCGATGATATACCCATCCGTGTGAGCAAACTTGACTTTGCGTCCTTTCTTGGTTTTTATTGATTTTTCATCCAAGAACAAAAGATTATCGATGTGCGCATACTCGGCGCCTTCAGTGGCATCGTAAACCGATTGAAATGTTTGCGCAGACGAAACACAATCCAAAGCGTATTTGATTCTGTTTCCACCAGCTCTCTTCAATTGCTCAATTACGTCGGAATCGTTGTAATCGAATGTCTTGTCAGCACCCAACTGCTTCAATGCGTCGTGGTGCCTCTTGGAAGCGGTGGTAATCACTTTGATACCATAGACCAATTTGGCAACCTGGATGGCCAACATTCCCGTGGCAGTTGCACCTCCCCAAATCAAAAGATAATCGTCTTCGTTTTCTTCTTTACGGGGAGGAATTCCAAGATTATAGTGAAAACTCATTCCGGCAGTTTTGAGACCCACAGGTAAAGCAGCGGCGGCTTCAAACGAATTAATTTGTGAGCCTGGATACTTGCCGGGCTCAAGTGGAGTCTCCAGCAACAGTAACAGCGAGAGCTTAATAGCACCATTGGGGCTAACCTTAACATGGTCTGCAAAACCACCGTTTTTGTTAATACCTCCATGAAGAGATGCTGCAACTACATCGCCCTTTTTGAAATTTGTTACCTTTTTGCCAACTTCCTCCACAATTCCACTAACATCAGAACCCACAACGTTACCTCGTTGAGAAAAATATGTGCCAGTTTTACCAAAGTAGTACCCCACATTGGAACCAACATAACCAAAAAGACATTCAAGTGGGTAAATACCAAAAGCAAACTTTTTGAAAATGTTGGTTGTCAAGTGTGATACGAACAGTTCCGGAAGAATATGTTTCCAGTCGGTGGGATTGACAGCATACGCCACCGTTTTCACAATGATCATATCATCTTCTAATGTGGGGTAAGGTGTCTCTTTGATAGATACAAGATTATCCAAGTTTCTCGAGCCAGTTATCACTGCTCCTCTGTTCACTGTCATTGTAGGTTGGTGGTGAAACGAGTTCTGCTCAGTCCCTTAAATAATGCTGAATAATATACTATTCTCTGCCATTCTTTGTAATTGAATACGATTGCTACAATCGCGAATACAGATACCGTATGCACGTTGCGGATTTAAGGCATCGAATAAGTAAGCATTACGCTCAAAGGGTCGTATACGAATTCACACAGGTGAGCGGAGGTAGCAATGGTGCAGGGACAGCAATTGAACTCCGAACTATTTAAACTCTTCCAATTTAGCTAGTCAATTGATTATGACTACTAGCTCAAAATTAACACTTTCTGACGGAACTGAACTCTACTACAAAGACTGGGGTACTGGAGAACCTATAGTATTCAGCCATGGTTGGCCCTTGACTTCTGATGCTTTTGAAGACCAAATGATTTATTTGGCACTGAAGGGGTACAGAGTGGTCGCTCACGACCGTAGAGGCCATGGAAGATCGTCGCAGCCTTGGAATGGTCATAATATGAACCAGTATGCCGATGACTTGGCTGAACTTGTCAAACATTTGGACTTGAAAAATGCTGTACATGTTGGTCACTCGACGGGAGGTGGTGAAGTGGCAAGATACATTAGTCGCCATGGTACTCTGAGAGTTCTGAAGGCTGTGCTTTTGGGTGCAATTCCTCCCCTTATGCTCAAAACGGATGCAAATCCTTCTGGAACTCCCAAAGAGGTATTTGACGGTATTAGGGCAAATGTGTTGAAGGACAGATCAAAATTCTTCAAGGAGTTGGCATTATCGTTTTATGGCTTTAAGGAGCATAATTCCGACACTGGGGGCTTAATTGATAGTTTTTGGTTGCAGGGAATGCAAGGGTCCATTAAAGCGCTTCACGATTGCGTGGAGGCTTTCTCAGAAACCGACCAACATGAAGACTTGAAAAAAATGGATATTCCAACTTTGGTTGGTTATGGTGATAACGACCAAATTGTTCCTCCTGGTCCTTCCAGTGAGGCGGCTATCAAGCTTCTTCCACAGGCTACTGAAAAAGTGTATCCTGGTGCGTCCCATGGACTCTGTAGCACCCACAAGGACCAGGTCAGCAAGGACATTTACGAGTTTATCAAGCAGTAGAAGCAATGAATAGCGATGAATAGCGAAGAATAGCAATATGTTTTAACTTATTGAACGAATCTCTTATTTCACAGGTAACAGCTTTTCGTCTATCAAGTGCTGGAAGAATTCACACACTGTGGTTTTGAGTGGTCTGTAGTTGACGCCCAACTCTTTGATACTTTTTGAGTTGTCTGCCTTCCAGAGATAGTTAGCATTCGCAGTAACAAACCTTCTTGTCAAAGTTTTGTCGAAAAAAGGACCAACTAACCATACCATGAATTTGGGCAATTCTCTCGTGGGAAGAGGATAAGCTTTGTATTCTGGAGCCAACAGCTTTCCAATTTCCAAGAGAGTGGTATTGTGGCCACTAATAATGTAGCGACCTCGTGCAGAAGGAACTGAGGCAGCTTTGACATGGGCTACGGCAACATCTCTCACATCTACTATTCCCAAGCCTATCTTTGGAACTCCTGTTTTCATCAGTCCATTTCCGTACGACTTGATGTACTGGTAGCTTTCAGAAGTAGCGTTGGAGTTCAAACCTGGTCCCATGACAAGAGCTGGGTTGAGCACAACGAGCTCCCATTGGCTTTGCTTCTCGTAGATCTCCCATGCCAATTTCTCTGCCACAGTTTTGGAGTAGGCGTAGGGATTAGTTTGTAAGGTGGAAGTTGTATTCCAAACAGATTCGTCCATGGTTCCATTGGGAAGTGATGCCAAGTCCTTATTATCACCGTACATAGCAACAACGCTACTTGTCAATACAACTTTGGTCACCGCTTCTGTTTCGTTCGCTGTTTCCAATACGTTCTGGGTACCTTTCTTAGCAGGGTCAACGAGATCCTTTTGTGGGTCCTTGAAGTTGGAGGTAAAGGGAGAAGCGGTGTGAAAGACAATTTTGCAGCCTTTCATCGCTTCCGCAAAAGAGCCATTTTTCAACAAGTCGGCTTCAAAATACTTCAATTGACCATTGTATTTATCGCTCAACTCATCAAGATGGCGAAGCTTCTCTTTGTTAGAAGCATCTCGAACGGCTGCATGTACAGTAACGCCAGCTTCTAGTAATTCCTTGACTATCCATCCCGCAACATAGCCTGTAGCACCTGTGACCAAAACTGGGCCCTCTATGGTGGTCTTAGAGTTTTGTAATCCACTCATGTTGTTTTTGAGTTGGTCGTTTTGCCCTCGGGGTATTATTAAATAACGTTTGGTGCATGTGATGTCAAAATCGGTAATTCTTGCATCATCTTTTGATAAGCCTCGGTATCGGAGTTTTGACGTTACCTGGTTTGAAGGGAATGTGATACGAACATCAAGAAGGTAGAGTCATAAAAGAATAAGTGAAGCGAAAGCGGCGCATGAAAGAGATGCGAATGTAATTAGCAATTAGTAGCAAATGGTAGCAAGTAGTAATCAATAGTAGCAAGTATTAGTAGCAGTAGCATTAGCAGCAAGTGCATTAGCAGCATTAGTAACAAATGGTAACAAGTAGTAGTAGCATTAGAGCAATAAGCATTAATGGATGAAGACTTAGCACATTACGAATTGCTCAATGCTCTACAATACAGAGCGGAACACTCGCTCGAACTGGGCCTTGGCTCCGTGCTCAATAACGTTTCCGTGGCACATCACTATCTGGTCAAAGTTCCACAGATGTATTGCTTGAAGTCCCTTTTTTGCCTGTGGATCTGAGCTTTTTACGATTTTGTTGAACATGTAGCGCCCCACACTGCTCTCTGGTCGAAGATAGCGGGTCAAGAAAGATAAACCTGAGTGTGGGTTGAAGTTGCTGGAATAACCTGTTGCAGTTGAAAATTGCTCGAGATTTTTGGGTTGTAAGTTGAATAACAAGTCTGCCTCGAATAGAATTTTGGAGTTCTTCTCGTATGCTACCAATTCACGGTTCACGTGGGTGGGCAAGTAGACAAATTCAAAGTTGTCGACAAGAGGTGGGTCTGTAAGGCCCAATTCCAGGGATAGCAACGACTTGTCAAGTACCTTGTTTCCACTCTTTTCCGTCACCACATAGTCGGGTTTAATGCCGTCGCCAATGTTGACGTTTTCCATGGCCAATATTTTAATTTCTGGAAACTTTTCCTTGAATGATTTAGCAGCCATGGTGTGTTCGGCATCGGGGACTATAAGATGGGTCACGTTGAAGGAAGAAGCGTCCGAGGATTTCTGGCCCGTGAGAAGCACCAACGCCTCAAGAATATGGGATCCAAAAGGGAGTGCAGACCAAACTACAATGCTTTCACCGTAGTTAAAGAGGGCCATTCGAGCACCAAAATTGAGGGTATTTGATCTTTTAAATGGAGACGACGAGATCACAATGTTGTCTGCTAGTTTTCTGGAAACCACTTTCAAGGGAGATGGATAGGTCATTGTTACTAAAACAATTCAATACAAAAGGATTCAATTAAGTGTGACTTGAATCTGGAAATTGCTGCTTGTATTTGCGGCAAGCGGCGCGAAATGCATCTTATATGTGCACTTCTGGCCCGAGGGTCATTTGTAATACCGGTTGGTATCGGCCGTAAAGCTGCGCCAGTCGTAAATGTATACGACCGTGCACAGCCATAGAGGCTTGTATCCGAGAGATTTGAATTGTAGAGTGTTAGTTTAACGATCTCCACAATTGATTATATGGATGCTAAAATTCAAAATTTAGATTCAAAATTCAAAATTGCAAAATTGCAAAATTACGAATAAAATCAAAATTCAAAAAATTTAAATGTATCTTTTAAGCCATACATTCTAGGTAACAAGGGAGCAACACATACCTTCTACATTTGGGAAACCCTAAACCATCACCTAACCTTCACTCGTATCTCCTCCACTCTCACCCACCGCACCCGGACACCAGCACTCTGTACACGTATGAAAACCGCCGACCACGTCTCAACAACATGTCGAAAAGAAGAGCGTACCCACAGCCGCAATATGCCATTTCGCAGGACCAGGCTCCCGCCACGCCTCCTGTGGGTGCTTCGGCTGCCTATGGTGTTCCTCAAGTAGCTCAACAGTTCCAACAAATGAACATAAATCCACAGCCTGGTGCCCAACCTGGAGCCGCTGTTCCTCAAGGTTACGGCTATAACCAGTATGGTCAACAACCTCAACCGGGCCAAGCTTACGATCCTTACCAACAGCCTCCGCAAGCTAATACGGGTTTTGGAGGACAACAACAAACTCCTCTGCAACAGCCTTACCAACAGCAGGGAGGCTATTTTGGAGCTGGAGCTGGAGGTCAGGCTGCACCAGCTCTCCCACTTAATCAGCTTTATACTACTGATCTTTCGAGGGAACTTCCGCCACCAATTAGCGATTTGTCTTTACCTCCTCCTCCACTTGTAATTCCATCCAATACTGCTATTGTCCCCACTTCTGAGGACTCCAACGCCTCGCCTGATTATTTCCGCAGTACCCTCAATGTGATCCCTAACAACGGAACGCTTCTCAAAAGATCCAAGTTGCCTTTGGCATTGGTGGTGAGACCTTACACTACCCTTCGGGTCGATCAGGAAAACATTCCTGCGGCTTCAGACACCATTATAAGCAGATGCCGTAGATGTAGATGCTACATCAACCCGTTTGTCACTTTGACCGAACAGGGCCGCCGTTGGAGGTGTAATTTGTGTAACTTGCAGAATGACATTCCTGCTGCTTTTGAGTATGACGAAACCCGTGGTGTGCCCAGAAACAAATTCGATAGGGTGGAGTTGAATCATTCAGTGGTGGAGTTCGTCGCTCCAAAGGAGTACATGGCTAGAGCCCCTCAGCCAATTGTTTTTGTGTTCGTTATCGACGTCTCTGCCGATGCTGTCAACTCAGGCTTGACCAGCACCGTAACAAGAACTATTCTCGAAAGCTTGGACAGAATCCCCAACCAAAACAAAACCGCTCGGGTGGCATTTTTGGGTGTCGATTCGAACCTTCATTATTTTAGATTTGATGAGGGTCTCGAAGGTAGCGAATTGCTTATCGCCTCGGATCTCGATGAACCGTTCCTTCCTTCGCCAAGTGGACTTTTGATCAATCTCGAAGAAAACCGCCCTGCAATTGAAAAGTTGTTGATCGACTTCCCTACCTACTTTGAAAATACTGCGAATACCCAATTTGCATTGGGTCCTGCTTTGAAAGCGGGTCACAAGATGATTGCGAACATTGGTGGTAAGTTGATCACTTTTGCTGCTTCTTTGCCAAACATTGGCGAGGGTAAACTTTCCGTGAGAGACGAAGCAAGCCATTCTGGACAACCTAAGGAATCGCAAATGTTACTCGGAGCTGCCGACAAGTTCTACAAGAGTTTTGCAGTGGAATGTAACTCAGCTCAGGTAACGGTGGACTTGTTCTTAACTTCTGCTCGCTACCAAGATGTGGCCACTTTGTCTAACCTTCCTCGCTTCACTGCTGGTCAAACGCACTTTTACCCAGCTTGGTCTTGCGTCAAGCCTGAAGATGTCACCAAACTTTCGAAAGAGATCAGCGAGCATTTGTCTATGGACATTGCTTTAGAGGCAGTTTTGAGAGTCAGATCATCTACTGGTATGCGTCTGAGTGCCTTCTATGGTAACTTCTTCAACCGTTCTTCAGACTTGTGTTCTTTCCCATCTTTCCCTCGCGATCAAAGTTATGTGATCGAAATGTCCATTGAGGAGACTATAACCAAACCTGTGGTGTACTTCCAAGCGGCTTCGCTTCATTCTACTTCGTATGGTGAACGTAGAATCAGGGTCATGAATTTGGCCATTCCTACGTCATCGAAGCTCGACGATATCTATGCGTCTGCTGACCAGTTGGCAATTGCCAATTATTTCACGCACAAGGCAGTTGAAAAAGCGCTTGCTAGCTCCCTTCCCGATGCGAGAAACTACATTGTGAAATCAATTGTGGATATCTTGAACGTTTACAAAAAAGAGTTGGTAGCTGGAAATGTTTCAGGCTCGTCGCCTCTTCAAATTTCTACCAACTTGAGAATGTTGCCTTTGCTTCTCTTCTCATTGACAAAACACCTCGGTCTCCGCGGCGAGAGGGTACCTTCAGACCACAGGGCTGCAGCATTAAACCGCCTTTCGTCTTTACCAATTCCCCACTTGATCAAATATATCTACCCCACTGTTTATTCATTGCACAACATGGGTGACGAATGTGGTTTGCCCGAACAGACTGTTACAGTCAATGAAGAGACTGGTGAAGAAGAGACTACATCTGGTGGCATTCTTTTGCCTGAACCAATCAACGACACAAAGGCTTCATGGGAGAACTATGGTTTATACTTGATAGACAATTCTAGCGAGGTTTTCTTGTGGGTTTCTGGTGACGTTGTCCCTGACTTGGTTTATGACTTGTTCGGAACCGACAACTTGTATCTGATACCCACAGGAAAGACAGAACTTCCTGAGCTTCAACCGGACGAGCTGGAATTCAATTACAGAGTGCGTAACATATTAGGAAAGATCAGGGAACAGAAGGACCAGATTACATGGAAGAATTTGTACGTTGTTATTGGAGGATCTAGCAACGAACCAATCGAGATTTCGCAGCAGAGAGACTTGATGGCATTAAGAATGTGGGCTTTGAGCTGTCTAGTAGAGGACAAGACAGCAAATGAGCAAGGCTACAGAGAGTTTTTGACCTCTTTGAAGGGTAAGGTGGCGCAATGATGTACCACATTAGACATATAGTTGCAAGTACAAAAGTAAAGTTTAAACTTTTCATTAATATCATTGTTGGCGTGATACTATAAGGTCAACACCTTCATTTAATCGTTCTGCAACACTTTCATCTTCGAATGTGGTCACAATTGCCTTTTTTATTCCTTCATGGTATAGTCTTAGATTCTTTGCGATTGGTCCTCCGCGTGCCATAGTTGATGCCACTGAACGTTTGAATCCTAAAGCTAGTTGATCCCAATATAAGTCTGCCAAAGATTTCTGATTGACTGATGTGAGAAATGAACCCAAGAACTCTGGTTCAACACGAACAGCCGCAACAACTTTAGTAAGCTTTTCCAAGAAGGTTTTGGAAGTGTCAAATACTTCGTTCGCTATAGTCGTGAAGTTTCTGGGCGATTGAAGAGACCGAGTCAAAAGGCCAAGAGATATCAGTACTTGGCGACTAAAAGCACCAGACTCAACAGAACTGAATGCCTTTTTCGAATCCAATATATATAATGCCGCTATTCTGGATGTCAAACCCTTGTTTGTGTAGGTAAAAGTACTTTGGTGGTTGAAGTCCTCTGAAATTTTCAGTTGGCACTTTGAAATGAAGTTGAGTCGTGACGTCAAGAATGTAGATTGGTAGTCTCTCACCAACTTTACAGACAAGACGCTGGGCATTTCACTGTTTCCTCCATATTCTTTTTCGTTTTCGTAAAGCTGCCCGAGTTGGAGGTACAATTTAGCTAGTCGAACATCATCACGATCTCCGTCCTGGTTCAATTCGTCGAACTGTTGGATCAAAAATAAAAAGTAGCTAGTTCTTCGGAGCAAGTCTAGCGTACTATGGAGTCGTTTAAGAGCTTGCTTGGATTCTAAGGCTTCTTCGTACGGCACCAATATGCCACTTTTGATCTTGTCGAATGCACTTACCAACCTGTCCACCAGTGGTTTTAGTGTTTCGTTGGCATAGTCTTTGGTTGGGCCCACCTGGGAGCAAATTGCTACGAGCGGCTCGTAGTTGGACGATGCAATTGATGTCATTCTTTTGTCACATTCTTGAATGTCGAATTTAAGTTTCTTCATTGACGTGCCTATATCGAGTTCATCAGTGTCTGCTTCATTGGTAGCACATATGAGGTCATTGGAGAATTTGGATGCGTTGAAATCGGGGTCTAGATACGACTCGAAGTCTTCTAGGTCAGCCATGAAGATTGAGAACGGTGAAATTTAGAATCGCGAATCTCAGAGATTGAGATTAAGAAATACAAGAGAACGAAGTATGTGAATATTTCTAGTATGTGAATTTAGTAAGAAAAATTTGATCTGATATTTGTTCTTTATATCCTATTCTGTTCGGAATCGAGGCATTTGCTTTTCTTGTTTTGGCTTTTCCTCCTTCTTCTTGTGCTTTTTCCCTCCTCGCTTATGCAACTTCTTCTTGAGTAAACGGGCTTGTGCTTCTTCTTCAAGCTTTTTCTTTACGAGGTTTCTCTCTTCTCGACGTTTCCTACCCTCTATCTTTGCCTGTCGTTTCTTTTTTCCCGCCCTAGTGTGTTTTTTGGGCTTTATTTTGGCATTATACTCTGTAAGATTGATACACTTCCAAGGCTGATGATCAACTATTACTTCGTGCTTGAACAAAATTTCTGTCGTGATAGCCGCCTGCTCAAAGCGCCTTTTCTCTTCTTCTGTGTAAACTGCAAAGTAGTAAGACGTCGGCCTGTCGTTTTTTATTCTTTCTTCTGATCGCTCTCTTAACGAGACTTTCATAACAGGCTCCGTAGTTCTTCCTCTCGTTTCATCATTACTATCCTTGGGAGGTGCCGAAGCAAACAATGGGAATTCAAACTCATAATCGTCGGCTTCTTTTGCTTTTTCGTCTACATCTTCAATTTCAACTTCCTCAAATTCCATCACTGGCAAAGGCTCTGAATCCAGTACATTATCTTCTGACTCATCGTGCAATGAGGATCTGGATATTCTGGGTCAGTAAAAGGAATTCTGTTGCTATTTCGCAGGCACAACTTTACTTACATCTTATACTCCATATCTCGAGTAGTGATGCTCATCGCACGAAATCGCGAATACTGATATCTGGGGATCGTAAATTACATTAGTATACAATTAAGCTACCACAATGGATTTGCGGCAGTTTGGATGGCACGAACGGCATCTTGACGGCGCTTTAAACTAGGAGGAACGAAGACGCCTTCTGGATACTTTGGTTGGACATCATCAGCTATGACAGTTTGAAGAATACCACTGGTGACCTTCTTAAATGATTCGAGATCCACTTTGGCAACACGACGATGAGTCCATACTTCTTCATACACCTCTGGATACCTTAACTCGCACCAGGCTCTAGCCAGATCCAATTTGACAAAGTGTACAAGAAGATTCTTAAACTTTTCAGCTCCATTCTTTTCGTTTCTGTCTCCTATCAATTCACACATTATTTCCCACAAAGCTCCCTTCTCTTCCGCAGTTGCTTCCACGTGTTCAGGAAGTTCTGCTGTGATATTTGTCACCGGCTCGCCCGTAAGCAAAAACAATTGGATATCAGCAACGTAAACTACCGAATCTTTTTCCACAAGATACAAAGGAGAATAATCGCGAACTCTGTCAGAGACACTGAGATTTGTACGGAGCAGCAACAACCCCTCAGGATAATTTTCAATGATAATCTTACGGCGAAGTTTCTGTACCTCGTCTTCTAATGCTTTGGACTTCTCCAATGCTTCTTGTTCTTGCTTTCTTTTGATCTCTTTCTCTCGTTCGATTCGTTCCTTTTCCTGGCGCTTTTCAGCCTCAAGTTTGCGCTCTTCCTCCTCTCTTCTTTTCTTTTCTTTCTCTTTCTCCATCTTCAAAAACATCTCCCGCCTAGCTCGTTTCTTGGCCTCGACTTTCTCCTGCCAAATACGTGCCTCTTCTGCGCTGCGAACCCGCTGCTCCTCGCTTAGCTTGTTGACAGGCGACTGTGGCTGGTTGGGTGTTGATTCTCGAGATTCGCTTCCATGGGTTTGGGGCGCCAGCTCGTAAGAGCTTGAATGGCGAAGTGGATTGGCATCATGGTCTTGAGTCGCAGTTTCTGAAACTATGCTCTCCTTTCTAATACGACGCTTTGCCTCAGGGTTCTCTTCACCATCATTCTTCCGCTTTCTGGGCTCATCTTGGTGCTGGGATCTTGAATCATTGTGTTGAGGTTTGTCTTCAGTGTTCTTTACGGCAGCTGAAGAAATTTTTGGTTCTTTTTTATCATCAACTTTGGCTCTCTCGTTCGAAGCACTTGTGTGCTGTCTCTTAGCCATAGCCTCCTGGATGCTGCGAACCTCGACGGGATCAAAGTTTGCAGATCGCCTGGAAATTTCCAACGCATCCAAGGAATCATTACGCTTTCTGAATGGATTAGCACCTTCCGCCAATAAGAAACTCACAACGTCACGATGACCACGGCCAACAGATGCCAATAATGCTGTCAATCCACAGGAATTTTCAGTGTCAATGTCAAAGTCTGTGGCCAAACCCATTATAATGTTGATCATCTCCAAGTGTCCATTCCGAGCAGCAACAATAAAAATATCAGGTTGACTCAGCAAGTCTCCTCCTTCGAGTAGATAGTTGGCTATTAATTCCTTGTGTCCCTCAGCTGCATGCCTAAACATATAAGCGCTCTTTTTCCTGAGAAGGTCTCCAAAATAAGAATCATTAGGATCTTCGACAACACTATCCGGAGATGGAGGCATTATATCAAGCAAAGGATCTGCCGTAGTGTTTGATTCTCCTGCAATTTTGTGGTTGGCTTCCTCCAAGAGCTTGATTATTTCCTCGTAACCCTCTTCATTAGCATGGTCGTTGTAAATTTTGGTGAGGGCCGTAAAGCCATCGATATTGTACACCCTTGTGTCCGCGCCATACTTCAAGAGCAATTTTACAGTTTCCGTATGCTGGTTCTCAGAAGCATCTATCAAGGGTGTCTCTAAGTCTCCCGCTTCAAAAGCAGGTTTATTGACATCTGCTCCGTGATCCAACAATATCTTTGCAACTTCCGTGTGTCCTGCCAAAGCCGCTTCATGCAAACAGGTGAAACCACAGAAATCGGCTTCGTTGGGATCAGCTCCTCGCTCCAAAAGCTGAAGCACATCTTTGACATTACCTTTCTTACAAGCTCTTTGAAGAAGCGAGCATCCGCTCGAATCCCTTTTAAGTTTATAAGGACGCAGCGCAGTTTCCGGCAGTTTCAGCTTTGAAAAGGATTTTGGTTCTGGTTTCTCTTCATCCGAAACATCACCATCTTCTTTTATATCACTTTGCCTTACGAGCCGTCGTCCTCTGTTCATACGAGGAGGCGAGTGTGCTGCCAAGGTTTCGGCCTCAGAGTCATCGGTATACTCAGTATGTTCGTTATCTTCACCTCTAATCAAAGTTTTGTAGAAACTGTCGGGGACCGAATCTGTGACTGAAGAAAGAACAGAGGTGTCGACACTGGGGTCCGGTTTCTCAGGTGTGTTCTGGTCAGGTTGTCGCTGGGCGGTCCCAGAAGGTTTCTCAAAAGGATCTTTTAGCTGCTCACTAGCTCCATCGTCTTCATCAGCTTTTATCGGGGATTTCTCTATCTTCATATTTGTGGCCTGCTGGTTATCAACTGTCATTTTTTCGTCCTTTTTGTCCACTTCTTCCAGATTAGGTTCTTTCGGCTTGTTCCCTGCGGTCCTCTCATCTACGCTTGCTCTCCTTTGATCTCTCGCGGCTTGGGTACCTGGATAATGTGACTTTTCAAGAAAATTTCGTCTGTAACGCTCTCTCTTTGACTGAGAATGTTGACTCCTGGGGCCATTTTGCTGACCTCCTCTGGACGGATACCTGCTGAAACCGCCATGACCATCGTTATTGTGCCGATTCTTCGAGTCATAGTAGCTAGCTATCCTTGCTTCTTCGCCAAATGGTGGAGAGCCCGAAGGTCGCCTTCTATTATCGGATGTGTTTTGGACCCTAGAATCTCTGTGAGGATCCCGTGAGCTCAGAGTAGTATGATTGCTATCTCGAGCGTCTTCTCGGTCCTGAAAACGCCTCTCATATGACATGGTGACGCAGAGGCGTGGTACTACAGTTTGTGGTTTCTTCAACTTCTCAGCTCTGCTGGTAAGGGCCGATTATATAAGCGAAGACAAGTAGAATGTATAGATGATATAGAATGAATGTGACTAAGAGAATGTATTCTTATAGATGAGTAGAATGAATGTGCAGTTAGCTTAGAGAGTCTCCAAACTCCATTAGTTCAAAAATTAGTCGCATGTTGGGGCATATGAGAGAACATGCGTCTATGGTGTAAGCGGAAGGTACCGATTTATAAGATTTAGCAGCCACGAATGGAGACATGAGTCCAGATTTGCTTGGGGTTTGAGGAGCTGAGCCCAGCTTGAGGAGGTCGTATGCTTGGTTCACACTGATACCAAACTTGAACATGAAGTAGGCCACAATAACGCAGGCAGATCTTGACACTCCACACTGGCAATGAACTAGTATCTTTCTTTTCGGTTGCAGCAGAGGTTTATCGCTGTCATCAAAGTCGCTAATAGCGTTGATTATTGTGGGGAGTTCTTTCAGTATGGCCGAAGTGTGCGACCACGGCACATACATGTACCTTTTTCCTGGATGTGGGAGATGTTCCAGAGACATATCGGCACACTCTCTGGCCACATTTATCACGAGATCATAATCATTAATGTCAATTTGGCGAGGACTATTGACGGGGTCCGAATAGAGGAAAATGCAATTGTTGAGCACATTGGCAGGACCACTTGTATATGCGTCCAACAGGTTCAGTTCTTGCAATTCCTCTGGAAACTGGTGTTGGATAGAAGAGACGGTTTCTCCTGACCGGGATAGTAGGAGACGAACATCGATGTTTTGTTCTTCGCTTATGTTGACATCGTTGATTTGGGAAGAAAGGGAGTCGACTTGAGCAGAAAATGGCGAGCTCAATGCACTGGCGAGGGAGGTTTTGGTTTGTCCTACCACAATATCTGTATTGCTTCGTAGTAGTGACGGAGCGTTGTTACGTTTTGGACTCGTTTGGAGCGGCAGCGATGGAATAGAAAGGGTCAAGGTCTGTCTTCTGGCTGGAGGATTGGCTTCTGATTTTTGCAGATTCGACTTTTCAGCTCTCGGTGAAATTTGCACACCAGCAACTTCTGGTGCGAGATTCAACGACAAGTTCTTCATGTTGATCTTTCGTGACGGCGTGGACTGACTCTTGCGGTGTTTGGGCGAGTAGTTGATGGATTCTGTTGCGATGGCATCAGACAGCAGGCATGTTGCGTCGGATAATGCCGAGAATGTGGAGACATAGTAGTCATTTTGCGTCGTGGGAGAGAACGGATTGGCGGTCATGGGTCGGGAGCCTACAACCGGTTCTTGTATACTGGCTAGAACTTGACGGGTGCTATTATTAGAACCACACAGGTCGAAGGCTATGGCTTGGTTTGGTGAGGATTCGGACTAGAAGGAGCTACTAGAGCGCTGTATGATCTGTTTTGGTTTGTTGTAATCGATCTGAGCTGGGGTTGTTGGTGCTTTGGTGATTTGGAACACTTTTGGTGATGAAGTGAATGAACTAAAACTTTATGAAATCGACCCAAAAGTTGTTTTTGGGCACTTGATATGATTCAGGGGGTTGGTTATAGTATATAAACCTCGTCGCCGCGACTTCCGGCAAGGTAAGCAAGGGATTCGTTGTGGTAGGAAACGGTGGATTTGTCACTGCGGGCGAAATTCTCAGCTTGTCGCACAGTGTTTGGGACGAGAATGGGGCGCGGCTGCAAGAAAAAGAGAGGGAACTAAAAAAAGAGGATGAGAAAAAAGGATAGGGTGATAAAAGAAGAGGATAAATACTAAAAGGTTTGTAATTGTGAGTAGAATATGTATTGAGTCGATAGGTATTTTTATGATTTTATGATTTTGTCATTTTGTCATTTTTTGTCTGCCATTGTTACTCTCGCTTCGCTCGCTTGCTTATTCATTTTCTCGCTACTCGTTCGCTCGCTGCTCATTCGTTTATTCTATTTATCTGTATGGAGCGTCAGCATCAATACAGTATTGCAATTCTTGCTCCCACTTATCACCATTCTCCAACAACTTCTCCTTATTATACAACAACTCCTCTCTGGTCTCGGTCGCATACTCCACATTTGGAGACTCCACGATGGCATCCACGGGACACGATTCCTGACAGTAGCCACAGTAGATACACTTGGTCATGTCAATGTCGTACTTGTAGGTTCTTCTCAGTCCATCGGCACGTTCTTCTGCCTCGATGGTGATGGCTTGTGCTGGGCAAATAGCTTCACACAACTTACATGCAATACATCTCTCTTCACCGCTGGGGTATCTCCGCAAAGCGTGTTCTCCTCTGAATCGGGGAGAGATGGGTCCCTTTTCAAATGGGTAATAGATGGTATATGGAGCTCTGAAGAACATCTCCATACAGATGTACATTCCTCTGGCAATTTCACTCAAGAAAAAAAACTTGGTGGCCTTGGATAATGCACTCTCACCACTCTCTTCCCATGTTTTAGGCTTGGGCAATCTGAAACCTTGTGGCCAAACCGCTTGACTCAGTCCTCCAGTAGCAAAATATTCTGTAGACGAAGCAGTTGCTGGCTTATTCAAAGCAGATGCAACGGAAAAAAACCTATTCTGTATGGTCCTGGAAACAGGAGCAGCCACGATCCGGCCGTTAGGTGCTGTGAAGACGGCTTTAAACATTGCAACGACGACGGACTTGACAGTGAGTTTGAGCTGCGCGAGTAACAGAAAAGTGAGCACCGCTGATTGGCGGGGCTATATGCAGGACCGGCGATACAGATCTCTCGCTCATTAAATTGCAGCCATCACTGAGTTCTTACATCTTATTTACTTTCATGTATTTCTCTATCCCATTACCCGGAGCGCCAATTCCACACTGGCAAATGTACCCGCACTACATGGTGTGGCTCTGACCAAGCACGGACCAATTCCTCTCCAGAATCCACGAGCACCTTGAGTGGCCCACAACGTTTTTGTGGCCTTTAAAACACTTCCATTAAACTTTGAATCGGCGCCAAATTTGTCGCTTTGGATGTTGGACTTGATGACGTCGATGGGGTACGACGAGATCCAGAGAAAGTTGCCCGCAAGAGCACCGGCTCCGAGTAGTTCCAAAGTGGATATTTGGTCTCGATGAGTATATCTCCTCCACACTTGTATTTTTTGGATCAAAGTTTCGTAACTCAAAAACCAGACTCCGTACGCCTGGATCTCTCGAAGCAACGTGATTCCTGTTCCACGATAAATCCCTCGAACTAATCCATTCTGGCTGTAGATGGACTTGATGGTTGCAAGTAATGGACTTCCTGAAGACTTGCTCGATTGACTCAAAATACGAAGCTGTTCAACCGGCGCCGTGACAGGAGTGTTCACTATTCCAGCGCACGCTCCAGCAATATACGTTTGAGGCCACAAATTCAATTCGGTCTGGTTGGACCGCTTCAACAACTGACGCTTGCATTCATGGAACCCGTAAAACTGAAGAGAAACACAAACTCCCACACCTACCAAGGGAGGCAATGTGCCTTTGTAGAACGCCAAAAGCCCTTCATTCTTGATCACATCCTTAATAACTTGACTGGCACTGGTATTTCCTCCTGAAGTTTGAAGCCGAATTTTCACCAAATCAGCAGGCTGTCCAATGAGCACCTGTGTAGCCCCTCCCACGAAACCCGCGGCCACATCCTTGACTTTGCGGCCCAAAGACGAGTCGATAGAGGTATCAGTAAGCTCCAAGTCGGCCATCAAATGTTTTTCATTCCGCCGTTCCAAACCTGGGGTCGATTCCCCATCGCACGTGACCTGAGCCAAGATGAAGACGAAGACTACTAACTCAGAAGAACAGAATGTAGTGACTATTGATGCATCTATTACTATTTTTTGTTCAAGAGCCCGCCAATTGACAAACGGGTGCCTGCATCCTCGGAAATTTTCTCGTCTATAGGCTCCACTTTGGGAAATGCTGTGGTGAAATCCACGGGAATGGGTGTTTTTGTCCTCTTGGAAGTAATGGTTGGCGATTTCGGAGATTTTGGCGATTTCGGCGTAACGTGAATTGTAGACGCCTGGTAACCCTTTGGGAGATTGAGCAGCGGAAGTTTGATGGGTGGAAGCTGCGAAGGAGCAGAGCCCTGTCCTACGTGCGGCGGAGTTCGGACCATTGAATGCATGGCGGGACCTGGCACCGGTCCAGGAGGCACAGTAGCACCTCCATACATGTATGGCGCCTGCGCAGAGACCGTATAAGCAAACCCCATCGGAGGTGGTGGGCCCGGTACTGGGCCGGGTCCGTTGGGTATTCTGAGTCCAGCATAGGGATGAAATGTGTATGGAGGGTAATGTGACGGGCCGTGAGGTGGACCAAAGCCTGGTGGTGCCATATGAGAAGGGGCAGGGCCGTGGCTACCGTGACCAGGACCGAACATTGGGGGCCCATTTGCTATAGGAGGGAGAGGTCCCAATGCACCCTGAGGGGGCCGTGGCGACTGGGTTGAGCTTTTAGCGGAGCCGGGGGACTTTTTAGGGGCGATATTGGGCAGTTTTTTAGGTTTTTCAATGCGATTATTTTCCGAGGCTGTGGACAACGTCGTTTCGTTGAGATGGCGTTTTCGGCGCTTGATGGTGGTACGCTTCATTTTCACCGGTCGGTGGCTCTTGTGGAGCTTGTAATAGAGCCCACAGGCATTGCAGATGGTATTTCCAGCGTCGTCTCGGCGCCAAAGAGGAGTGATGGTGGTGCCACAATTGTAGCATGCAATGGCCATGTCCGAGTCTTCGGCGCCATTTGAGGCTCCATTGTTGCTGATAGAGTTCTGACCCGGCGACAGCGGCAGGTTTTTGGCGGTTTCGTCATCGGAATCAGACTGTTTTTCGGAGTCCTTTTTTATCACCACCCGGTTGTTGTAAGCTGGACATCCTCGGCACGCTGCCGATCCTCCGGTTCCATTACAATGACCATCGCCTCGACAGGAACCCTGCTTTGATGACACCGGAATGGTATTTGGAGGTCGTTTCAAATTGACCGGTCGATGGGAATTATTGGACCGATAATAGAGTCCGCACGCATTACAAATTAAAGTTCCATCAGGCGCCCGTCGCCATAGGGGAGTTTTCGTGGTGCCGCAGTTGGAACACTGCTGGCCAGGAAGTGCATCGACGGACATTTCATCAAGATTTTGATGGTGTGATTTGAAAGTGTGGTAGCGAAAATGACAAATTTAAGTCAGTTTAAAAATAAATTTTGAGCCGGTGGCGATGCCGATGGGTGGCGTTCGGCAAAGGTAATGAAGGGAGGTACACCTGGGTAGCACAAGTTGCAAGGAAAACAAACCAAAAAGCTAAAGCAAGGGTCAAATGGTGCGTGAAAATATGTGACAGATATTCAGTTATATGGCGCGGCGGTGTCTAATTAGGGTAAGGTTTACGATCGGGAAGTAATCAGATGCATCAGGAGCCAATCACGCACGCGCAATTTGTCAGCGCTTCGCTTACGTTTGGACGCACGGGTCCACCAGCACTGGCGCAAGCACGGTGCCACTGGCACGTGAGATACTCGCCTGGTGGGCCGATGCGAGCGCGCGGTTGACCGGTCTGAAATTTACGCTCGGAGTAAATCTCATACCTGCTTAGGTCGGTCATTTAGGGCCACTTCAAAATTATCATTTTTTGGCATTGAGCCCTGAGACTCGGCCAGCGGCTATATATGTGAACAAGGTACCACCCAGTCAATTTCGGCTACATTGAGACATTTCTGACAGTCCTATGACATTCCATTTATCGCTCAAAGCACGTGCCGCTCATCACGTGAACGAATACGCGTTGTTTACTTTCGCGTCGCGTTTGTTATGGTCAAGGAGGAGAATGACCGCCAGGTTACGAGTCGTCACCATCCAGCCAAACTAGTCTTTGCGGTACAACATCACCAGTATACTGTGTTACTTTCATCCTTTACGCTTCTGCATACTGCCTATTGTTTCCAAAACACATATTCTCAAAGGTGGTACTTCAGTTTACCAGTCATAAATGAGGCCACCTCTCACCGCCAGCAGTGGTTCTGGAAGCTCTCGCTCGTCGGGATCAACATCAGCTACGCGAGATTCGTTCGAAACGCCTTCCAAACAGCCCATTAGTGACGCATACTTCTACAATACTTTCTCCCGTTCGTTCAACACGTTGATATTAGACGATGACAGTCAAACCCACAAGAAGAAAAAGATCAGTAAGTCGCCTCCATTCAACTTGAAACACGATACTGGCGCCAGCGGGTACGACGATGATACTATTCAGCCGGTACGTTTGTTTAACCAGCGGAACCCGACCCAACAAACTTCCTTGAACGACCCTTCACCTGAAAAATACAGTGGACAAGAATCCCGCATACACTCAGGAACCAGCAACAACTCCAGTCTGCTTCAGACGCTTCAGCCGCCTAACATCCTGAACCAAATGTCGCTGGATAGTGATGACGAAAGGACATCCTCGATCAAACGGTCTTCCAAATACCTCAATCTCTCAATTGAGCTGTCGGCGTTAAAACCGCGCCCTGAAGTGGATTTGATCCCCAACCTCAACGAGATCGAAACCCCGGTGTTCAAGAGCGGCGAGCATACACCCAACCAATTCAAAAGACCCCATCAGCTCGTGAGCCAGTCCCCATCACCATCTTCGGTGGGGCTCGGCGCAAAGTCCTCGTCTCATCTACTTCTCTCGGGCTTGGGAAGCTCAGGACTACATTCTCCTGCCAAAATGGGCAAGACCCCCACTCGTTCTAATCCCATCAACATGTCTACGCCTTTTTCGAGGGTGTCCAACAAGTTGCGAAAAACTTCCGATAGTCCATTCAGAACTGAAAACTTGAAAAATGATGAGAAATCAATCACTGCATTTAATAATCAACTTGGCAAACCAAACAAGTCTCAGATGCTTGCCGACCAGGCTTCGAGCCCGTCCATGAGTTACCAATCCTCCCCTTTAAAGGGCCATGTTACAGATTTCATGGATATGTCAGAAAGTCCGTCAAGATATAAAAAACCAGCCCAGCCCACCGTGACAATCTACGAAGACACTACCGCTGATATCAGACGAAATCGAACTCACCACGCTGAGCTGTATGTTGATACCCCAATTGACGATGATAAAGAAAATATTCACGAACCCAAGTCCATACTCGACGAATCAAAATCGTATCGGTTTGTAAAACCGTTACAAACTGCATTCCGGTCTACCGGGTTGCTTAAAAAGAATAGTATTGCTAGCATTGGACGAAAACGACCTCCAGAGACCCCCGTCAAGCCTCATCCAGTTATGTTCCTAAAAGAATCGAAAGAGCCCTTAAAGCTGACGCTTGGACCAGATAACTCTGACGTTTCTATCGAAATTGGTCGAAATGCAGCTGCTCTTGGTTCTGTGACCGACTTGGGCTCAAACGATAGCTTCTTCAAGATACCTTCACCTGCTAAGACCTCAAGTCGAAGCAACAAAGTCAGTGTCTTGGGTGACTTCGATATCGATTTCGATTCAGATGATAGCATGAATCCGGAAACTCCCACCAAAGCAGTCAAAAAATCACACTCTACACCTGCCAACTTTAGTCCCCTGTCCTACAAGCACCTCCACCTCAAGCTTCCAAAAAATCAACCGCAAACTTTGGTGTCAAGAATGAAATCCAAGATGGAACCATCCACACCCACAGCTCTATATCACGAGTTAGGAGGAGAGGGAATGTTCAGTTCATCTCAAGTCACGATTAAAGAACCCAAGATAGACGATCATTTGGTTAAAAAATTTGGCATTAAAAATATCAAGTACCTTGGAAGCGGTGAGTTTTCTCTTGCTTTCGAATGCTCATTTCAAGGACAGCGATACGCCATCAAAAGAACAAAACGACCAGTGCTTGGTAAACTTGAATTGAAAACTATTCGAAGAGAGATTGAAGCTTTGCGTGTTCTCACTTCGGTGAAAGATAACGAAAAGGCAAACTTGCAAGAACAAGAAGAAGGTAAGGATTTTCTTGTTTACTTCATCGAGGCTTGGGATTTCAATGATTACTACTATATTATGACTGAGTTCTGTGAAGGAGGAACTTTGTTTCAATTCTTGGAAGAGAACAAAAACTACAAAATCGATGAATTCCGAGTATGGAAAATATTGATTGAAATCCTAAGTGGATTACGGTTTATTCACATGAAAAATTACCTCCATCTTGACTTGAAACCAGCCAATATCTTTGTTACATTCGAAGGTTTTTTGAAAATTGGTGATTTTGGACTTGCAACCAAATTGCCCATCCTTGAAAAAGACTTTGATCTTGAAGGAGATCGCAATTACATTGCACCGGAACTAATCAACGATAAAATCTACACTCCTTTCGCAGACATCTTTAGCGTGGGGTTGATGATCTTGGAAATTGCAACCAACGTTATTCTCCCAGACAATGGAACACCTTGGCGTAAGTTGAGATCTGGAGACCTCAGTGATGCTGGCAAACTATCGAGTGACAACATTAGCGATTTTTTGCTGCATAGAAACTTCTCGTCCTTGACATCCTACAACTCCATGGCGAACTCTTCTACATCGTCATTATACCCAAGTACAACCATTCAACTCCAGCAGCCAAATACCACGATTAGAGAGGTGGATCTAAGGGACGTGATACCGAGTGGTGCACCCGATTTCTTGGTTGCATGCGGCTCGAATAACCTCGACCAATTGGTGCATAAAATGCTCAGGCCAGATCCATTTGAGAGGCCCACGGCGAAGGCCATTTTGGAGATGCCTGAATGCATAACGATAGAAGAACGACGCAAAGCCGGGGCAATTATCTTTGAAGGAGAGTTTGGTCCCACGGACGACGACGACGAGGATGATGAAGATACTCGTTAGAAACACAACATTTACGACAGTTACGAATACGTAGATAGCGTTTATCATTGTAATGCTAGTTAGAAAATAACTAAAATATGAGCTCATAGAGCTAAAATTACTGGATTTGGGAGTAGCCAGTGAATGGGTTAGCATTCTTGGATTTTAAGTACTCGTCGGAGGCCTCTTGCCAATCTCTGTTCAAGGTTTCCGGTTGAGGAGCAGCGAAGATTCTGGTCAAACTGAACAAACCAACACCAGCCACAAGACCGGCAACGGTTCCCCAGAATACCTTAGCGGCATCACCAGGCGCGTGCAAAGGCTTTCTAGGACCCCATTCACCGAAAGAGATGTAGTAAGCGGCTTTCTTTTCGGCGGTAGTCAACTCTTGCCATGGCAATTCCATTCTAGCTTTTAATTCTTCTGTGATGCGGGTTTGGTCTTCCTTTGGTAAGGTTTCCCATCTAGTTTCCAAGCTTCCTACGTAAGCGTTTGACAACGCTCTTGGAGCGGTCTTCGTGACAGTAGACTGGCTACGCACAGCGATCCTTTGAATTGACGAACGTAACATTTCCGGCTGTTTGTTAGTACTTGACTGATGAAAAATTTAGAGAGCACATGTTGTATGCAGTCGCTTCAAAATCACGTCATCTGATTGGATGGCTGAGCGGGTGAAAAAGGCAGGATAGGAAAGGAGGACATGGCAGCTTTCTGTTTGTACTGTCATACATGGCACAATTGCCATGACTTTCGGTTGATTTTTGGCGTGAAAAATTCAATTTAAAGTTTCGACGACGAAGTTCAGGGAAACATTGCCGACACAAATCGACCTCAAGAAACTCCCAGAGTTGTTTTGTATGTTTGGTACGGTCTCTAGATCATACAACGAACGTCAAGCTCTTGAAATATGACAGATAACGCCAGATAAGGGCAATATAACAATGATAGAAATTCGAATCCTGAACAGGAAAAACTTGCTCAATCGCCAGATCCCAACAAAGCCTATTTTATGAAAATAATGCTCATTGCTATGAGCGCAAACACTGCTAAATTACCCCTGAAGACTTACCTTTCTGATTATTGATGCCAATGGCTGTATTAAACACAAGAAGGAAAACTCTCGCAAACGATTGGTACATGCGATGTCGCACGACGACATATTTATGGGCCGATACAGCGGGCACTGGACTGCCTGCAGTACTCGCAACTATGTTAAATTATTGAGCTAATATATCTATGATAACTCGTTTCAATTGCGACTCTCCGACTTCTTTTCGCAGCAACTCGATGTTCTGTGGTCTCCGGGTTTCCAAGTAGTTTACAAACTCAGTCACTGAGCCTCCAACCCCAAAATAGATCGATTTTGCAGCAACCACGGCTCGGCTGCAAATTGAACCGGTAGGCGCCATTAATTCTAAAATTAGCTCGGCGACTAGCGGGAGCGACTGGGGGGAGTATATGGTTTCCGAGGTGATCAATGTTTTTACGCCGAATGACATTGCAATGTTTAGGAAGGAACGATTCCAGCCACCAGAGACAAGAGAGATGGAAATATTCTTGGTAGCAAAGTCAGCAAGAATTGCCGAAATGAATCTTTGAGTGATAATTATCTCGTCGTTTTGAAGTGGAGGACCATCTTCGCCGCTACACAACATCTGTAGCTGCTGCGGTGGAATTGTAGATGCCCAATGAATAACCAAGTTGGGTACTGTAACTAGACGTAGCACATCGTAGTTAAAGTCTGTCAATACAAAGCAGCTTGGCTTGAATGTGGTATCGTTTTTCGAGCTTATTTGCTCCAAATATTTGCGAAGAATGAAACAGGTTGGTAAGGCAGTTCCACAGCCCAATTCGAGAATGCTCTGAGGAACCAGTAGATCCATGGTAACAGAAACATGGTCCACTGTGTCATATGAACATTCCCAGCTCTTGAAACCTCCCTCATATACATTTTGTTTAAGATCAACGTCTTTTTCGTCTCCCAATAAAATGCTCCCCATGGAGCTCGCAGCATCTTCACTCATAACCTGGTGTTTCACATCGAAAAGCTCTCTCCTATAGACAATGTTACCTTTGGGGGTCCTATAGTTGTCGAACGTGATCCTGATGTCCTTTAAAGACGTTAAAATGTCCTCAAAGCTGACAATTTCAGGAACATGAAATCCATCGACGGCATCTAGAGGATTCGTTTCGACCTGTTTTGGCACACTAGGAGTATCTATATCGTCGTTGTCAAACCCAAATGCAAAGGACATGACCCAGAACGCTCAATAATGGCAATTAGTGAAGCAAAACAACGTTCTGTGTGGTTTAACAAAATCTACTGTTTGCAACAATTCGATCTCATCGCGAAACTTTTACATGAGACTGAGATACATAGATGAAGTAGAGTAAAAGATTGTTGTTATGTAGCACTGTAAAACAATACCCGCTTTTATAGACTCAATCTATAATTCATGCGAGTTATAACCTCGGTATATCTCGGACATAAGGCATGAAGTCCATCTACGAGTACAGACAAATGCCAATCAACGATCAGTATCATTTTACGATCAGTATCATTTTACGGCCAGTATAATTGAGCTGATTCGGTCTGATTTTACTTTGACGTAACAAACTACCAGTACACATCCCAACCATTTTACGCTACTTTTCATCTATAACCTCTTCCTTCCCTACACTATGTTCCGGTCGTGCCATGGTGAAATGCCCCAAAATTTTTTGTGTTCAGATCAGACGCAGCTCTTTTGTTCAAACGTTGGCAAGTAATTTCCACTACGTTTTATTCTGCAAGAAGCGATTTTCAACCTTTGTGTTTCTGGTGTCTGGAAATAGAGTGCCTGATACACGTTACTCTCAAGTAGATAGCTTTCAAAGACTTTCTTTCTTTGAAACGAGGTGGTCGTTTTTTTTGCCAGGGTCCTTCGTTTTGCTGATCTTTTCTGTTGACACTTGCAATCTGACAGTGGATCCGTTGATGAACTAAACTTGCATATACCTTCGTTGTTCAGTGTTATTCTTGCTTTTTTTGTTGCCTACCTTTCACTTCATCGTTTACACATTCTAAGAAGATTGTCAAAGGGCGTCGCCTGTTTTTGTACACAAATTTCCGTCTCGAGTCCATACCATGTCATACTACGATCCCTTCCAGAACCAGCAGTATATGGGTCAGCCATACTATCCCTATTATCCTCAAGATGGCCAACAGGCTACCAATGGTAATCAGCCGCCAATCATGCAACAGCCTCAGTGGAACTATGATCAACAATACTCCGAGGGTTATCCTCAGGGAGCCATGGGAAGTGATTACTATGTGGACGAGTCGAGTTTCAATCCCGTTCCTATGCAGCTGAACATGCCATATGAGGCATCTCCGTTCCCTTCAGCTCCACAAAATCCGATGGCCCAACCGTCCGATGTATACGGAAATCCTCAGGGTGATAACAGTTCACCCGCAGCGCCTTCTCGTACCGTTTACCTCGGTAACATTCCCTCTGACATCGAGCCAAACGAACTTTTGGACTACGTGCGGTCGGGTATTCTCGAATCGGTCAAGATTCTTCCCGCAAAGAACTGCGCCTTCATTTCGTTCATTGACCATCAGTCAGCTCTCTTGTTTCATTCCGACTGCATTTTGAAGAAATTGAGTATAAAGGGCCATGATATTAGGATAGGATGGGGCAAAAACACACCCATGCTTCCCGCCGTGGTCGACGCCATACATCGTGATGGAGCCACCAGAAACGTCTACCTTGGCAATTTGAATCATCCGATCACCGGAGAGACTTTGACTGAGCAAGAGTTGAGAGAGGATTTGTCAACTTACGGTGTTATCGATAGCATTAAGATTATTCCTGAAAAGGGAATTGCATTTATTCACTTTTTATCAATTTTGAGTGCCATCAGATGTGTGCAAAACTTGCCTTTGAAGGAGAAGTATTTGGACAAAAAATGTTTTTATGGAAAAGATCGTTGTGCATTCATCACCAAGACCCAGCAACACAATGCGGCCCAATATTTGGGTTTGGCCCCAGGTATGGAACATATTGTCACTGCAGCTGACCGAGAGTTTATCTCATCAGCATTGGTACAGCAATCGGCCGCAGCTGCTCAAATTGCAACTCAAGCTGGTGGAGCCAATAACCTTGGCAATAGAACCGTCTATTTGGGTAACTTGCATCAAGATTCTTCTGTGGAAGAAATTTGTAACGTTGTGAGAGGGGGGCTTTTGCAGAGCATTCGATTCTTAAAAGAGCGTCATGTTTGCTTTATTACGTTTATTGATCCCATTGCAGCGGCTCAATTTTATGCCATGTGCCAACTCCACGGATTGACCATTCATAATAGGAGAATCAAGGTTGGTTGGGGTAAGCATTCGGGCCCTTTATCCAATGGATTATCCTTGGCTGTCTCCAATGGAGCCTCGAGAAACATCTACGTGGGCAATCTCGGAGACTTCAACTATTATAACCCAACAAAATTAAGAGAAGACTTTTCTCAATTTGGAGATATTGAGCAAATCAATTATCTCGAAGAAAAAAATTGTGCATTCATTAACTTTGTCAACATTGCTAATGCAATCAAGGCAATTGATGGCATCAAGTCGCTTGACGATTACAAAAATTTAAAAATCAACTTCGGAAAGGATCGGTGTGGTAACTTACCCAGGCAATTTCAAAATCATTCATCGGCACCTCAAAGTGCGTCGGAGCCAAGATCCAGCAATACATTATCAGATAATGAGCTAATGACAGATGACAGTCAGCTACCAACCCAATCCAGCGGATAAGTAGCTATCGGTCAATAGGTGAAACCTATGCTGAGTGTGTAGGATCATAATTTAGGAAATATTTTAACAATGATAACCATTCCAAAGAAAACAGCGTACACCACCAAGGTTAGCTTGAGAAGAAACCAAAAGGAGATTTTTCCGCCAGTTTTGTTTGTAACATAATTGTTGAGATTGTTCCCTACTTGGCGCATCATTGTCTCGTTCTTGTACATCGCATCACTGGTTTTATCCAACGCTTTGTTATCGTCTGCAAGTTTCGCAGAGAACGAAATAGCAGACTCGCGAAGCGACGAAGCTAGTCCCGTCAATTCACTCATTATATCCTCTTGGATGGACTCATGGTACTCGTTAGCTTTATTGATATTTGGTGCCTCATCATCGAAAGAAGTATGTGTACCTCCAGCTAGTAAACGCTGTCTCAACAAGGACAAATCATCGTTAGCATCGTGAGAAAGTTTGGTGGGATCGTGTTCGTCTCCTGATTGAGGTTCCTCTGATAATCGAGGCGTGGGAACTGCTCTTGCAGCGTCGAACTTATTCATGAGTTGTTCATTAACGAACAAATATTCGTCCACGGTGTTTTGTATGTGGCATACTGCGTCGGTAAGCTCGTTATATTTGCGGTGTTTTGTGTATTTTTGGAGGTTTTTGCGGATAATAGGCAAATCGTTGGCAATCGATAGCAATTCTAGATGGGTGACGTATGGTATTTTTTTGGATTCAAGGGGTTCTGAAGGCGAAGTAAGAAGGTCAGGAAGCCGTAGGGACAGAAGGAGGTCTTGGTGCTTCGTCAATATGCACTCAATGGACCTAGTTGAAGACATGCTATAAGAAGGTGATTTAAATGATGCGAAGTCAAGTCGCGAGAAATGAGATTTGGCAGGCCAAAAATGGCCGACAGAAATTAGTGGAAAACGAAAAATCACCAGACAAAGTTAAGGTTACGAAATAATGTCTTATGTGCTAAAAGTTCTGGTTAGCAAGCTTAGCAAGCTTAGCAAGTTTGCCAACTTGTAAATTAATTGCTTGTAAACCAATTAAGCAGAATCCTACTGTTTACATGTTTGCCCTACTACTATCAAACAACGACCTACAGGAACCGCAGTTCTGGTCGTGGTTAGCGAAAAAGGCTCAAGTCACTCTCCCGACCCATATGAGCGGCATAGAATTCCAGTCTATGCCAATTCAGTGTTGCGCCGGTAACTTGCGAAAGACAAACGAAAACGAAAATGGAGATGCGGTCGTGCGCGGGTGGTAGTGTTTGCGACAAGAGCGGTGCGGATACAGTATTCTCCATAATAACTCAAATCCTGCATTGAAAATCCGATACCCTATACATGCCAAGCAGCGGGCTGCAACTTCAATTTTCATACAGAAACGTACCATACCTTATAGAGCAAAATATCGTTTGAAGAACGGATGCGAGATACTTCAAGCAAATGAAAGATCAAATGATGCCAAAATTTTCGCATTGAACTAAACAGTCATATCATATACTGAATCTATTTCTCTATTTCATTTCTCTGTCACTTCTCTGTTTCAACAATTTGCTTGACGCTATCAACCACTGATTGCTCCAACCCAATGTACTTGAAACCAAGAATCTTTTCAGTTTTGGAGAAATTCAACTTTGCGCTGTTTGCAAGCTGCTCTTTACTGGAGCCCGGTTTTCCAACAGGCAAATTCTTCGATAATTGTGGAAAATGCTTGTGAATGATATCCAAAAAGTCTTGATACGTAAACCGCCCATCAGCCATAACCAACCGTTGATTCTTAGCTTCGTCTTTTTCAAAAGCTACCAAATGGGCTGCAGCAACGTCTCTAACATCAATATAAGGCCCAGTAACTGGAGGTACCTCGTCATTAGGGCCCATCTTCAAAGCTGAGTTAATGAGCTCAGAAGAAGTATTAAGCTTGTCCTTGATGCCCGATTGGAAGGCTTGCGGGCCATAAACGTAAGTCGGATTGACTACTGTCAAATCGAATTTAGGTTTAGCTTCTTTCACAAAGTCCCAAGCCACTTTCTCAGCCAATTTCTTGGATACGACGTATCCTAACCAAGCGTTTTTGAGACCATCCTCTTTCGACAAAGGGTTCCAATCCTCTTCGGTGTATGTCAATGTTGGATCACTTTCTCTATCAAGATTTATTAATGCTGCGAAAGAGGAGGTGACCACCACCCGGGTAATCAGTTGTCCATACTGCTCAATGGCTTTCAAAGCATTAGTAGTTCCTTCAACAGCAGGAATGTACAACTCCTTTTCAATGTCCGTTGCCTCAAAGTGAAATGGTGAAGCAGTGTGGAGAAAAACAGTTACTTCCGGATGCTTCTTCAACGATTCGTCAAACGCCCCGCTCTTGGCTATGTCTTCAACAATTTCATACTCAAATGAGCTTCCAAACTGCGATACAAGAAGCTCACCCTTGGCTTTACTTCTCACAGAACCCACGACATGGTACCCTTTTTCGATCAATTGTTGCACCACATGTTGTGCGATAAATCCACTGGCACCTGAAACATAGACAGAAGTTGTCATTTTGTTGGCATTTTCAAGAGGTTGGTGGGTATTTATATGCCAAGCAGAGAACCCATAGACCAGCAGCACTAGGTATTTGATTGGCTGAGTGAATCGAGAATTTCACTCTATTCTGTTCGCGCGGCTCATGTCCGCGGACTCCGTGGACATTTCGGAGAAACCTCAACTTGCCATAATCAAGTGAGACCGTAGTCTTGTAAATGACCGAAATCACCGCGGATCCGTCATTATCACGATACAATCCCCCGTTACGATAGATTTGAAACCCCGCCTTGAAAAAATTGTTTAGAAGTAAAATGTCCGTGCCCAATTCAATCTTCACAAGCTAGGTGCTTGTTTATCGGTCTTATTGTCGATGTATGACAATTGGAAGTAAGGAGTACTCCGATTGGGTACTTGACGATGAGGAAAGGTCATGCTTATTTTGAAGAAATGTTATGACAACGGTCTTTTGATAGCCGATGTCTCCAACGGCCAATTGAAAGAAACAGATCATGGTATGAATATCTTCTATTGAAGGATCATTGGGATCGGACTTGGGTAAAGAACATATACAATTCGGCATCATTATCAGTTTTATCCTCATCGACCAAAATCCCGTTTCCGGAATGTCGAATTGATCTTCACTTGCTACAAGATGTGAGTATGAAACATGTCCTAGTTGGTTGATGGAAGACTTCACTTTATACCTCAAATTTCCCTCAACACTAGGCCATGGGTTTTCATCTAAAATAGCATTGAGGCGAAATCACTAAGAAGGTTGCTGGATCGCAAATATTGTTAAATGATTTTTTTCGCAGCTACGTGCATCAAGCACAACATTGTCACGAAAAATAAAATCGCAGAATCCACGCAGGAACCCCAAGACAATAGCCGGGGGTGCATTCATCAGCTCCGATGTAGAGTTTCTATGTGTAGGTTGTAATTGAGTCAGGGTTGTCTACGATTAACATAACTGAATACTGGGCATAAATGTGGGCATATAACTGTTGCTTTCTTGCTTTGGCGATCCGTTCGCGACCCTGTTTCACCTCCGTCGCGACGCATTGTTGCGAGCCCAGTATACGAATTACAGCTTCTACATGAGGAACGATTGTCAATTATTTGGATTCCATTTGATGTCCATTTAATGTCCATTAAATGTCCACTTGAAGTTTATTTGCGTAGTATGTTCAAAATCGTACCACATATCCAGAACTGGCCAACCCCTCTTACGCAGATCTCCTCTTATCTCCTGTTAGTAAATATTGAGATATTTTTCACTGCGCGCTTCTAAATATACCCTCAAGAGACCGGAATGTTGATGGCATATATAAAATTAGTCAACTGATCACCCTCGGATCTTCCTTCCTTCCCCAAAACCACTCCTCTCGTTTCGTCTTCTGCATATTTTTCTATATATTATCGACCCTGAAGCCTCCAGACATTGCTTCATAATACTTCGCTCCGCCGCATTTTGCAGTTTCCTGAACTAATTGGGAAATCAGTGCGAAAAGAAATTCCTCGCCTAAACTAGCCGCTGATCCCCTCACGAATTCGCACCCATATCATATAATATAAACACATTCCTCATCAATCACGTAGCCTTACCAAAACAAACCGGTTTTGCCAAGTTCTTGTTGCTATTCCCTCCCAAACATTCCAGCCGGCTTGGCTACTTCTGAAGAATTCCGGGTGTGCATATAACCCGCATGCCCGTGCTCGTACAGGATAATTGCCTTGTTTATTGTCGATTCCCTGCATTTTTTTCTTGATACCCTTCCACAAAAGCTGTTTACAACGGCATTTTTGAGTCCCAGCTTTCCTTCTTGCTTTTGCTGTGAGTTGATTTGGTCTCCAGCTTAACACTATCCTTCAAGCACCACATTAGGTCTTTCGTTCAGTAATTGCTACATCGTTACGACCAAGGTTTTCCATAGCCGATTACCCTTTTAAGCCCATTGGTGATATTTGGAGTTGTTGATCCGGTGGTATTTTCGTAACAGAAGCTTTCCCGGTAAACACGTATCCGTTTCAGGCAGTTTATTTCTCTCGTTCGTCGCTTTTCGGCACAATTTTTTTTTTTTATTTCAATTGATACCCATACAGAATGAAAAGTCGAGGACATATCTTATTGCTTTGCTTAGCTACAGCTGTCAGTGCTAGCTGGACTAAAGGCGGCTGCTACAAATCATCGATAAAAAGCAGCTTGTCGTTTTCCGACGACAACACATACCAATCATCCGGTCATTGTCAGGGTCAATGCAGTGATCTGGCCTATGCAGTTGTTACTGATGGTCAATACTGTTACTGCGGATCGACCGAACTCGACCTGAGTGACGAAACTGACAGCTCAAACTGTAACACTCCATGTCAGGGGTACCCCTATGAGATGTGTGGAGGTGATGGTTATTTTTTGGTATATTCCAATGATGACGTACAACCGCAAGCAGCATCTTCTTCTTCTTCATCCACTAGCACGAAGTCATCTACAAGCACCAGCCGTACGAAAACATCAACGAGCTCGACGAGTCCCAGTTCTTCTTCACAAGCACCTTCAACTACGGCTTCGTCTACCAAATCTGATACCTCGTCTACTGATGCATCAACCACGGAGTCATCAGACAACTCCCCCTCTGCATCTCCAACTACAGTAGTATCCACTGTAACAGGTTCCGATCTGCACCTGGTGGTTGAGATCACAAAGACGATAGCACCATCAACGACCGCGGACAAGCAATCTAGCAAGACAGCATCGCCAACAACTTCGTCATCTTCATCTGCATCTTCAACAGGTGATTCGTCTAAGAATGGCTCATCGAAATCGCTTTCTGGTGGAGGGATCGCAGGTGTGGTTGTTGGTTCATTGGCAGGAGTTTGCTTGATTGCTGGTTTGCTATTCTTCTTGTGGTACAAAAAACGTCACTCGGAAGACGATCATGACGATGAGTTCACACTTTCTGGTCCCAATGAGAAAGATCAATACTCAATTGGCCCCAATCCATTCATGAGCAGTGCAGCAGCTGGTGCAGGTGCTGGTGCGGCAGGTGCAGCAGGTGCAAGTGCTGTCAAGGGCCATGGATACCACTCGAGTAGTGGTGATCTGCATTCATTTGATCTGACGCATAACGATGAGTTTCTATTTGAACGATACCCACCTATGCCTCAGGAGGCACCCAACCAAACCGCCAACTTTGGCAGAAGGAGATTGAGTAACGGGTCGTTGCCGGATATGATCACCAGAAACCCCAACTCATTGAAGGTTGTTAATAATTAGTAGGTAATGAAGAAGAATAATTGATACTATGCACAAAACTTGTATGAAGACGTCCTTACTACTTTTCTGTAGTGCAGTTGGTTCCCAATGGTTGCAGCATCCGTTCCTGCACATTCTTCAAAGCTCATTACCTAGGGCTCCAGCCCTCCATTATGTAATCTCTTACGGCCCCTCCGCACTGTGAAAAATTTTTGAAGACTATACAAACTTCTATACCACCAAACTACTAATTCACTATGTCTGGTTCAGGTGCTTCCGGTAACAAATTCCGTATGTCGTTGGCTTTGCCAACTGGTGCAGTCATGAACTGTTGCGACAACTCTGGTGCTAGAAACTTGTACGTTTTGGCCGTTAAGGGATTCGGTGCTAGATTGAACAGATTGCCAGCTGCTTCCGCTGGTGACATGGTCATGGCTACCGTCAAGAAGGGTAAGCCAGAGTTGAGAAAGAAAGTCATGCCAGCTATTGTTGTTAGACAAGCTAGACCATGGAGAAGAAAGGATGGTGTGTACTTGTACTTTGAAGATAATGCTGGTGTCATCGTCAACCCTAAGGGTGAAATGAAGGGATCTGCTATCACTGGTCCAGTTGCCAAGGAGTGTGCTGATTTGTGGCCACGTATTGCATCAAACTCTGGTGTGGTTGTTTAGTGTACTAATAATACAGTATTGACGGTGTAAGGTGTAGGACTGTAGGAAAGGGAAGGAAGGTGAAGAACGGTAAGAAACTAGAACAACTATCGGTCTTTCATCGAAAAGTCTAATCACTGTGAATGGAGTTCGTTTAATTGCAGTACTTCAGGATTGTCTCACCTACAACTTTACCCAATTGAGTCTGTCTACTTGACTTAATAACTAATACAACATTCAAACATGCTAGTATACAATGCTAGAGTGACCCCGGCACGATTTTCATGTAAGGGACACATTTTTTACGCCATCTTGTAATTCCTCTGTCTTTTTAGTCTCCAACGTTTCAACGTCATCTCCCTCGTTTTCGTTTCCTGAAGGCTGGATGGTGGTGTCGTTCATTTCTTCCTCTTGCTCATCCTTTTCTGCGTTTGCACCTTTCTCAGGCTCTTGAGGTGGGAAGGCTGAAACCTGTGACTCTAACTCAGAGTTATCATTCTGGTGTGGGTAAGGAAGTTGGCCTCCCCAAGTAGTACCATCACTATACGTTTGCTGAGGATAATGAGGGAATTGTCCTTGGGGGAAACCCATAGGAGAATGCATTCCTTGGGTCTGAGGAACAGGAATAAATTGTTGTTGGACACTCAATTGAGGTGACGTGGGAAAGTATTGTGGTTGTGGCTGAGATGGTGGTTGACCTTGGGCCGAGTTGGGTTGGGCTGGAGTAATGGTGTAGTACTGCTGCTGGACAGGATCGTAGAACTGATGTGGAGCCGCTCCTGGTGATGCGATGATATAGCCACCTTGGAACCCAGGTTGGACATATTGTTGTTGAGGATGAAGACTAGAGTCATCACCGTGCTTTTGTTGCTGTCTAACTCTCTCATCCTGATAGGTCTCAACTGGAGTGATGATGGTTCCATCCGAGTTAATCATGTTGGGCAAACGAGGCGAGTTGGCATTCTTCAGCGAGAACGTCGAAGAGAGGCGGTTGTTTATACCTGATGTTGCCTGTGATGCTGCCGGTGATGCTGCTTTTGACCTTGTAGAGGCCGCTTTCGATCTTTCGGTAGCTGCTCTAGATTGGTTTGTCGTCACCGTCTTGATCGACTTCGTGTTAGTGCCATTGGAGACTAAGCTCGCGGTTCTCGATAATTTGTTCTTGTCCAGAAGCTTTAACCGCTTGGCAATATAGCGTGCACGAGATGCTGGTGTGGGAAGACTTGTCAAAGCTTTAATATCGTTGTACCAATCAATCATCTCCTTGTAGGTGTTCGTTCTGAAGACTAGATTGTGGCTACGATGGAATGGACCACTGGTCAGCTTGGATGTAAGAACAAACTTGTAAAAACCATCACTCTTACCATCATCTCTGGAGTGGTCGGTCACTTGACAAGTGTCTAACAGCAATGACAAAACTGGTTGCATGTCCTTTTTCCGATCAGGTGTCTTGAATTCATGGATAAAGCTGCATGTCAAAACGTACCAGCTGCTTGAGTATGACTTCAAGTACTTTGAACGACGCTCGAGCTTTCCCTCGCGCACGGCAACGTTAAGAGCAGACTCGGCATGGGGAATTGCGATGTCGTGAAACTTTCTCGCAGGGAAGGTGAGATCAATAAAAGTTCCAGAAATGGCTCCACTGGGATTGTTGCCAACGGCAGAAACAGACGCAGAGTTGGAAGGAAGGTTTCTGTTGATGAATGAGTCCCATTCAAAAGTGGACTCTTTGGAAAGAAATCCGTCTCGGATGCCAGGAAACAAGATTTTGTCCAACGTTGAGTGTTCCACATCAATGAGTCCCAAGAACGACAGAAGGTAGTTTTGGATCTCGAGAACCACAATTGACTCGAGTTTTCCGCCTGCACCCTGTAAGTTGGAGTAAGCCTCGTACAAGTAGTTTTCCTCCACGAGTTGTCTCTTCAACTGGCGGTCGAGTTTCATTTTCGCCAAGTATGGGTCCAATTTTCCATGCTCGCCCTCGTGCTGTATTGGGGCTGCTGGGTGCGAGCCATGTTCAAGCTTATTGGAGAGTTCGATGTTCTGGATATACTGAGCATAAAGGTGCTTCGTTTCCGCGAGTTCCTTGCCCAAATTGGTCTTAAAGTCGTTGTGCAAGTTCTTGATTTCCTTGATCTTCACCAAGAGGTCCCGACGCAATTCGTCGAGTTTGGGAATAATAACCTGGTTGAGTTCTTTGAGGGTCTTGGAAGAGTTTGCAACATTTTGCAGGTGGTATTTCGTCAATACTCCAGGTATATCTTGAACCGAGCCGTTACCGAGAGGAAGAAAGAATGTATTCATCAGATCCTGGCCGCCATGGGTTGAATTTGTGTGGTTTTTCTCGTGACCAGAACCGGTGGACAAGCCGACCGACTGGCCGACAGCCTGTTGTAACCGCATCTGCTGCCTGACAATTTCTTCTTGCACATTAGCATATTCCCGGAGATAAGTCACGATATCCTTGAGCACCACTCTCCAAGCCAGGAAACGTGCCGCTAACACCTCTGTTGGATATTCATTTCCATTGGTGAAATTGTATGGTAGAACCACAGCAAGTGGATTGTTATGGTCGGGTTTCATGCGTACGCAGATGTCACCAGTACAAAGAAGACTCTTTTGGACGTGTCAATACCTTGTAAACCGATGTAGGTGGAGTTTGTAGATTTATATCTGGCGCAACAAACACCCACAGTTCTCGGGGAGGGACACCAGCGCCGTCGTGCGCGTACCGAGCATTTCAGCAGGTCACATGACGATAATATGGGCTCATGTTACGGCTGGCACGGCGGGGGAGTTGATGGCGGCCTAAGAATCAGGCAATGAAATACTATGGGGCAATTGATGCTATATTGATGATATGGCGGTTTTGTGTTGAAATTTGTGCGTAAAAGCTCAAGGTGAAAGAGTTTGCTTTTCGCACCTTCAACCGGACCTGCCTTATCTGTTCCGGTTAGGTGCGGCAACTGTAAGACCGAGCAAGGATGAACGGGGACTGGAAAATAAAACACTTTTTTAAAAAAAAACCTCACATACTAGACTATTGTAAAAACCAATTAGCTCTCTCTTCTGCGCCTTGTTCCCAATTGCCATTATAGCCGCTTTTCATCCAATTCCAAACCCTCCCTTCCTCGGCCGCCCTGCATGTCACGTGCGCACGAGGCTTCGGCTTCGATGCGTCCTCGCATTCGTCGCCAGAGGTCCCTGATTCTGTTCCTGCACACCCGCCAGATTCATCGCACTCGTCGTCTGCAGTCTTTTTGATTCTGTTGCCTTCACTTCATTTTGCATCCACAAAAAACACGCCTTTCGCTGGTTTTTTTCTCTCCGCTGGCTGTTAAATTCATGCCTTCGCCCACTCCGGAGTACGTGATAACCCTAGACTCGTCCGATGAAGATTCCGGCGACGTTGAAGTTGTCGACTTCCAGCGTGAAACCCAAGACCTCCTAAATAATCCTCAACAAGAATCAAAAACAAAAGCGTTGCACAACCTAGAGTGCCCTATATGCTTTGATACAATCACCACCGCAACAGCTACCCCCTGTGGTCACGTTTTTTGTCTTGAATGCTTACAACAGAGTGTTTCGAGTTCCACTGCCCGCGGTCAAACTGCAAGACACGGAGTGGGATTGTGTCCACTATGCCGTATGAAAGTCAATTTCAAGGACACCATGGTGCTTCGGATGAAACCTGCCCATGCGCTGGTGCTTCCGCCGGATCCAGAAGAGCTAGAACCGGACCACGAGGCAACTGACAACCGCCTCATTTCCGAAAATAGTTGAAGAGAAAACCCTTTCAAAGACGATCCTAAAGACGATCCTAGAAAGGCTCCGCTTTGTTTATTCCTGACACCTCCGTATCCAGGCCTCTGCTTACCCTTATACTCTATCAGTTTTTTGCTTAGGGAAAGTGGTACGTGTTTGTGTACACCAGTACACCAGTAGCACCCCATAAATTTGGCATGACACTCCGTTACCTTCAGCATGTCTTACCAACCAGTTTCCGGATCCGAGCCCACAGGCGCTCCTCCCGTGTATGAGCAAGAATCTGTGCCCAGAACGGAGGGCGACAACGTTCCTGATGACTTCAAGTACTCGGTAGATGTTGCATCTTGCGAATTACCAGTTCGTCAAATGTTCATCAGAAAAGTCTACTCTTTATTGACACTTCAAATTATCGCCACTGTGATCGTTGGCTTGATTATTCGTTCCAATGAAAAAATCACCCAATGGTGTCTCAGCAATATGTGGTTGTTCTTCATTTCCATGGTCGGTTCAATTGGGTTTTTAATTGCCACGCATTTCAAGGCTAGGTCATACCCAATTAATCTTGTTTTGTTATCTGGCTTCACGTTACTTGAGGCTTACACTTTGGGTGTTGTCTGCTCGTTGGTCGAGACAGATGTGCTCATCCAGGCGCTCTTCTTGACGATGATTGTGTTTATTGGATTAACTCTCTTTGCGTTCCAGACCAAATACGATTTCATTAGTTGGCAAGGTTTTGCCTCTATGGGCGTATGGCTCTTGATCGGTTGGGGGTTTATGTTCATGTTCTTCCCATCTCAGTCGAAGGGTATGGAAATGATCTACGGCATCTTCGGAGTGGCAGTTTTCAGCTTATACATCGTCATCGATACTCAACAGATCATGAAGACAGCTCACTTGGACGATGAGATCATCGCCACCATCACGTTATACTTGGATATCGTAAATGTGTTCTTGTACATCCTTCGTATTTTGGAATCCAGACGCGATTAGTTAGTAAATGATAATGTTTAATTTGGAAGTATCGCTATACTCTCTACAAATACAACCCTTCAAGGTTCTCCTCCACCTTGTTCTTCAATACTCTTTCCTTCGCAGCTTTAAAGTCATCGGCTTTGACTTGCATTCTTCTTTCTCTCAAAGCCAACAATCCGGCCTCTGTGCACATTGCCTTGATATCAGCGCCTGATAAATCATCCTTCGAAGTGACCAACTCTTCAAGGTTTACATCATCAGCCAAGCTCATTTTTGATGTGTGGATCGTCAAGATCTTTCTTTTGGTATTTGAATCAGGATTCTCGAATAAGATTTTTCTGTCGATTCTTCCAGGACGAATCAAGGCGGGATCCAATGATTCGATCTTATTGGTTGCCATGATTACCTTGATATCTCCACGGTCGTCGAAACCATCCAATTGATTCAAAAGTTCCAACATGGTTCTTTGAATTTCACGTTCACCACCTGAAGACGATTCATAACGTTTACTACCGATGGCATCAATCTCGTCGATAAACACGATAGAGGGAGCATGTTCTGCTGCGATTTGGAAAATTTGTCGACATAACCTTGGACCGTCACCCAAGTATTTCTGAATCAATTCTGATCCCACAATACGCAAGAATGTGGCACTCGTTTGGTTCGCTACAGCCTTCGCCAATAACGTCTTACCGGTACCGGGAGCACCGTAAAGAATCACACCCTTTGGTGGTTTAATTCCCATTTCTTCATATAATTCGGGATGCGTCAACGGCAACTCGACCGATTCCTTGATCTCTTGGATTTGTGCTTCGAGTCCACCAATGTCGGCGTATGACTCGGTCGGAGACTTGTCGAGTTTCATGACAGATACCATAGGATCAGCATCGTCTTGAAGGACACCTACAATCGACACCGTCTTGTGGTGTAATAACACTGAACAACTGGGCTCTAACAAGCCTTTATCCACAAATGACATGATGCTCACATAGTACTCCGAACCTGCAGTGCTGGACACAATGGCATGATCGTCATCTATAATCTCCTCCAAAGTACCGATAGACATTGGATAGCCACGAAGATCGTCCACCTTCTCTCTTTCTTCAACTTGTTTCGCCTCTGTGGGTTGGAACGCTTCTTGGTTGGTAACATACTCTTCTTCCAACAATAAATGATCCTTGATTCGTTCAAGTTTCAACAACTTCAACTTACAGCGAGTATTGGGGTAAACGCTTGGAAGTTTCACCGCTGTGTCCGGACCCTTTCTTCTTTTCTTTCCGAATTTGGACTCGACAGGTGGTTCATATTTAGGTTTCTCCTTCTTCTTGTCGTCTTTCTTTTTACCGAAGCCTTCGCCTCCAGGCATGCCGGATGGACCTTGACCCTGGGTTAGTAATCTGGTGCAGTTAGCGTCTGTGAAAAATAATACATACCATGATAAATTGATCGAGTGAAGTACTAGTAGTCGACTACTCGCGATCGCCACCTTTGGTTTGTGAGACGGACTGGTGTATGGGTGCATATATATCAAGGCTGCAATAGAGCTGAAACTGTTGAGCAAGTGGGAGCAAAGAGTTCTACGAATTGGATTTTTGAGCTTGTTCTGCTTTAATTCCAGTTCTATATACATATATCATTCACTTTATCGACTCAAGCAATCCTAGGTTTTGCATCCAGTGAGGCTTGAGGTTTTCGTTGAATGATTTCATCTACCTTATCGACTTCAAATCAACATTGGCATGTTCTTGGATCATTTCAAGAAGCTTATGTGGATCTGCGCCCACGATCTTCCCGACATTCTCGCCATCTTTGAAAATCAAACATGTGGGCATAGCCGAAATCGCATACTCAGTAGCAATGTCCTGGGCTTCGTCTACGTCTACTCTTCCGAATTGTACTTCAGGAATTCTCTCCGCAAACATGTTGTAAATAGGCTCCAATGCCTTACATGGACCGCACCAAGTAGCGTAGAAGTCAACAACAGACACATTTTCTTTTTTGATAAAGTCGAAGAAACCCGCAAGCTCGGTCAATTCTTTGACAGATCCTGAATGTGCTGCTGAATAGAACCGCATAGGAGTGAATTTCACGGGAGAAGCCCAGACATTTGTGTTCCTAAATACTGGTCTGGATGTTCTGATTGCTTTTAATGAAAACATCGTTAAAGGTATGTGATTATAAACTCGGGCTTTAGTCCAGTGGTTTTGTAAGCTGCTGTTACCTGCAGGAACTCTTTCTGTGCCCTCCGCACTATTATGTCATCGCCGTAGCCTGAAAATTTCGGGCCATCTACCTCATCGCGCACCAAACCGCTAGATCGCTACAACAGTTGTAATGGGGTCCAAGGCACAAACGGCAAAAAGGGCGTCCGAGAGTCACTCCAACGGCAAAAGCAAGAAGGCTAAAACTGCTGAAAAGCCCGTGGAGCCAGAAAGTGAGGAGGAATCGAGTGTACTGGAAGAAAGCAGCTCCGAAGACGATCCTGATGATGTCGAAAGTGAAGAAGAGTCCGATGAATTAGACAATTCTGATGACCAGGATGATTCTGAGGATAAGGCTGATAATAGCAATGATGATCTGGACGAGGAAGACAGGCAAAATGGCGACAATGACGAAGATGAAGAAAGCAGCGAGGTCGACCCTAATAAGAAGTCATCAAAGGAACAACACGCAGAACAGCGTAAATTGCTTGCAGAGCGTAAAATGCAAAGAAAGTCTGGTGCCGAGGTCCAACAGATCAAAAGCTTGTGGGAAAAATTGAGAGTTAAGAAACCAGCACCTCCCAAAGAAGTTCGTGAAAAGTTGACCAATGAAATTTGGAACTTGGCTCAAGATATAGTTCTCGACTTGGTTATGAAGCACGACGCTTCAAGAGTGGTTCAGACCTTGGTCAAGTATGCTTCCAAGGAAAGGAGAGACGTCATTGTGAAGTCTCTTGAAGGAAACTACTATCAATTGGCAACTTCGTCATACGGTAAGTACTTGTTGGTCAAACTTCTCCACTACGGCAGCAAAGAATCTCGCGCTCTCATTGTCAATGAATTGCACGGAAAGCTTCGTAAACTCATGAGACACAAAGAAGGAGCCTACGTTGTGGAAGATTTGTACGTCTTGTACTCTACCAACGAGCAGAAACAACAAATGATCAGAGAGTTCTGGGGCTCTGAATACGCTGTGTTCAGGGACTCAGGAAAGGGTAAGACTATACTCGACGTGGTGAATGAGCTGGCCGAAAAAAGACAGTTAATCATGACAAACTTGATCGGAACAATCACCGCAGCCGTAGACAAAGGATCTACTGGTTTTCAAATCTTGCACGCCGCAATGAAGGATTACATTAGCGTGTTAGTGTCTGATGTGGAAAAATACGACTCGGATATCAGAACTTTCATTGACTTGCTTGCGGAACAATTTGCTGAATTGGTTCACACCCAAGAAGGTTGTGAGGTTGCTGCATCATTAATTGCTCTTGCAAATGCAAAAGAGAGGAAAGTTATAATCAAGTCGTTGAAGGCTCATGGAAAGGAATTGGTGAAAAATGAATATGGTAACATAGTTCTCATCACACTCTTCATGTCTGTCGACGATACGGTTCTTTTGCATAAAGCGTTCACGGCTGAACTCATTAACGAGGAAGACATAGCTTCTTTGTTGGGTGACAAATTTGCCAGACGTCCTTTTCTCTACTTGTTGAAGGGCCTTGATGGAAGATATTTTTCACCGCTCGTTCAAAAAGATTTAAAAAAGTATGAAGCTCTTGCATATGAAAAGACTTCGAAAAAGCCACAAGAACAAAGAAGGATGGAGCTTTCTGAGAAGGCGTTGCCATTGTTATATTCTACAATTCTTGCCACCGTTGACTCGGGAAGTTTTGATTCCATATTATCCTCCAACATGGCCGCACAAACTATGACAGAAATTATTCTTACAACCTCAGAGAACGATGAAATCAACACAAATTTGCGTCCCAAGCTCATAGATGCTATATTTGCAGCCTGTGTCGAGGGTGATATTTTGGAAGACTACCACTTGATCAATAAGGTGCCTTTCATCTCAAGATCCTTGAAGGCATTGATTCAAGGCAATGAGTTCAAATGGGACAATGAAAAGAAGAAATTGACCACTAACAAGGATTGTGTCAAGATATCGGGCGTGGGTCCTGAACTTGCTACAAGAATTGTTGAACATGTGTTGGCTAATGACGCTCTTGTTGATTGGTCTCGTGGTCAAGGCTCGTTTGTTCTTGTATCGAGTTATGAAGTCTTGCAACAACTGAAGGACAGTAAGTTTAAGGACCTCAAGGCAAGCTTGAAGAAGGTGAGAAAGCAGTTGGTGGAAGATAGAGACAACAAAGGTGCGCAATTGTTAGTGAAGCTTATCAATTAGAATAGCATTGTACATTATATAAATTAATTTGTCGCCTAGAGTTCGAACGCCTCGTCAGCTCCGAAGTCTTCTCCTTCACTGCATTGAGACAGGTCTTCATCTTCGCTGGAATCATCAGAAGCTTCTGGTGAGCTTTCGTTAATAGCGCTCAACTTTTCTGACATGTCTGGTTCCTCTTCTTCGTACATAACCATAATCGCATCTTCATCAACATCACCAGCCTTGGATCCGTATTCTTCGAACCAAGTCAACTTGAGACCGCATCTAAGACACCCTTCTTCGTCTCCATCATTATTTTCGATCGCATTGAACTTGGTAGCAATGCAAATGTAGCAGTAAATATGTCCACAGTTGGTAACATGAGGGTTCGTGATGGGGAAACTCGAAAGTGAGGATGGGGTCTTTCCGAGTGATCTTGCTCTCTTTTCACTATTATTGTGACAGATGGCACACTGTGATATTGGAAGGTTACTGTAAGCAGAGGAGAAGGTCTCTTCATCTTGACTCTTTTTTGCCTTCTTTCTGTATGGAAGTAGCATCTTGGATGACATGCGCCGTAACTTCTTCAACTGTAAGAGAGGCAAGATGAACACCAAGAATTCGGTCATGGTATTCCACACCAATTGACGATTTTGAAACTCGAAATTAACATTACTTCCGTTGAACTTTAAAAGATCACTCACAACAGGAGTAAGTGAAATACCCAACACACGGTGTATCAAAGTCGAATACCGACCACTGATCAAGAACAAGGTGAAATTGACAAGATTGAGAACACGCAAAGACGAACTGACGGACGTCAAGATCTTCGTTCTGTTTGTCAAAATGAGTCTTTTGACAGTTCCGAATAATGCAAATGAAGACTTTTCAGCATCGGCAACGTCAGCTTCATCCACTGAATACAAATAGGACTGAAACTTTGTGAATAAGTAATCGCCAATGATGACTGCTAAAAGAGCTGTTCTCTTGGAATACCCTATAATTTTCCCATTTTTGAAATTAGAAAGTTGCAAGTTTTGCAAACCCAAACCATAAGAAGTCCCCTTTTTCCACACAGTTAGTCGGAAGACCACCAAATTGAGCAACAAACTCCAAAGTTCTGGTTGCAGTTCATAGGTCCACCACCCGCGATGAAGATGAGATATAGAGCTGAGTTGCTGTTTCAATAGTGATACTAACTCGGAATCCAAGATATCTGCATCAAGTTGAGACACTCTGGGGCTCGGATACGAGAAGGAAATCATGCCAAAGAATACCTGAGCTCACCTCGGTATTGTGGGGAAATTGGCATTTGGTGCAGGGATGTGATAATGAAGAGTGCCGTAGAGTTCAATGAGAGATATACTACTTGATATGTGGATTGATTGTGTACTTTTTGTGTATAGATCTCTAAAAGTGTCCATATTTAGTATATAGATGTCTAAGCGTGTCCATATATGAACATTGTTCTTATAAGCCGTATTTTTCTTTGTCAAAGTGCTCGAGACTAAGCAACACTTCTCCATAGTTACGGATGATATCGTGGTGTTTACCATCCATTACCTCAATGGCTTTCTTGTCTGGGATCCAAATAACAGTTGCCCCTGATGCAATTGCTGATTGCACACCTGGGAGCCCGTCTTCGAATATGAGGCACTCTTCTGGAGCGATTGGTGGAAGACCCTTTTCTTGCCTTTCAGTATTGAGACTACCGAGACATGTGTACCAGATATGAGGGTGTGGTTTACCTTTACCAGGAGGTATCCTCGTATCGTCACCCAAAACCACATGTTCTCCGAATATCTCAAACCCAGGCGACAAATGACTCACCTTGCGATGGTAATTGATTTTGTTAGAGCTGGTCCCCAAAGCTATGGGAATATCTTTCTCTTTCAAATATTGCAATAGCTCTAATGCCCCTGGAAGAAATCTGGCTCTTGGCCACTTGGTAGCCTGAATCTTAAGTGACTTTTCTATGTAATCTTCGAGTGAAATGGGCAACTCATAATGCTCTATAACCAAGCGATTTGCCTCTGGACCGGGTCGTCCTTGCAATTTGATCTTGACATCCCAGGTCAATGGACCTTTTCCGTACTCAGCAAGGATCTCTGATGCACACTCAGTGTAAAGATCTTCCGTGTTAAGGAGGGTGCCGTCCATGTCTTTGTTAATATAGGAGCCATTGTTGAGAATTAGAAGGTTACCTACCGAAAAGACATGCCTTTATTTGTGGACTGAGTTAGTTACTGGCCTTTAAAGTATTCAATACAAACTGTTTTAACTTACCTCATAGCTATAAGTTTCGATTAAAGATTGAGAGCGCGCTTCAATATTCGGTTTCATAGCGGGTGCGTAGATGTAGAAGATACTTGTACCTGGATCATATATTTATCCTATTGATGGTCTTTGCTTCTGATCAGCTTTTCCCACCTTCATTTCAGCTCGCGGAATAACAACTTAGTTGTTTTGGACAGGTTCACTCTCTACAATTTGATCGACTTCTGCTACCTGTGGAGCAGCTTGAGCATCATCCTCCTTCTTGGTCTCATCAATGTCGACGGCTTGTGGGGGAGCAACGCCTTCTTCTTGCTCTGCTTGAACTGGCTCGTTCTTCTTGCTAGTCTCAGACTCGTGAGCCTCTGATTGTGCCCTTGACTTAATGATGTGTACTGTCTCCTTTGCTTCTTTTACTTCAAGGTTGTCCATTGGTTTTGCAACGTTCAGCGATGTAAGTGATTTTTCCGCGGCTGAAGAGTAGTCTGCCAATGAGTCGTGGAATCTGTAACATTCGTAGTCCCATGAGCTCAACGCCTTAGACGATTCACAGGCAGCTCTAGTCCATGGAGAGCCATAAATCAATGAGGAGTAGTGAACGTAGAACAAAACGCTAATTGACACAAATATAGCCACAACAAGATATCCAATTTTACGAGTGGTCTTGTTGAATGCAATAATGTAATTCACGAAAATGTCCAAAAACTGTCCCAATGCCAATATGGCAAAGTAATACGCTGGAAGGTAATGGTGCAAGAATAATTGACGTCCCATGATGAAGAATGGGAAGTAATGGAGGAACCAGCCGATGGAGTATAAGAATACCTGTGAGTTGTAATTGAACACGTTCTTGTTTGTTGCAACTCTGGCTCCAACTTGCCACCTAACAAGGGAGACAACGGCATGTACACCAAATACAACCAAAGCCAAGGTGGAAACCCACCATGTTACGGCATTACCTAAAAGGTAAACTTGCTTGTTATCTTTGACCCAGTAATTGATGCCTCTGAGCAACAATGGCCACAGAGAAGGGTTGGATTGCCATGCGTGAACTTCAGTGAGTCCTTGGTTGATCTTCCACATCACTTTGTGAGACTCAACAAATTTGTCCCAGTAAGACAATACTGGGTAGTTAATGATCTCTGGATCCACAAGACGAGGATTAATGTTTGTCTCGATATACCAATGGGTCAAGGGACGAGCACCTTGCGAAGCAGTGGTAACTTCTTGTTGTTCAAACCCCCATTCTGGGAGTTTCACTTCACTAGAGAAGAGATATTGTCCAGTCATGGCATGTCTCAATCTGAAAACTGTTTCGATCGCACGCACATCTTCTTGAGCTTTGCCGGGAGCAGACTTGTGAGGCACAATTTCAACGGTGAAATCATCGTTGGCATCACCTCCAAATCCCTCGTATCCATAACAAGAAGCTTCCTTTTGCCAGTCTCTTTCACTGACTGGAGCCTTCTCGTCATGAGAGTGTAATCTTCTGCCTGTATTAGCATGTTTCAATCTGATTTTCATACCGTTAGTGAGAGGCACAAAATGATCAGGAATAGTGTCATTATATGGTTCGATTATCCAGTCGTTGTTGGAGTCCAAGTGAGGATATAATGTGATTTGTTGCTGTTTACTTCCCGTTGGGTAGAAGTGGGCGTGAGAGTGAAGGTATCCACCTTGTGTGTTCAAGTGACGAATTGACACAATGGAACCCAAACCAACTGGTGCCGGGATGTCACGAGGTATAGTGTTGCCGTTCAAAGTCGAGCGGAACGCGCTAGACATGAAAGCAGAGCCATCACCATCGTTAGTTAAAACCTGAAAGTGAACAACGAAAAACGTGTAGTACAATACAGCAGGGACACCTAATAAGATGGCTCCACGGAGTGTAATGTGCCAGAATACTTTTTTTGCACTTACAGTCAAATCACCAATGACAAACCAAAGCTGGAACACACAGCTAATTCCAACCCAGGCAATAGTGAATAATCCTACCCACTTTGAACTCACAGCCAATCCAAGGGCTATACCGCAAGCGATCAAGCTCTTGAACCAGCCAATGGAGAATGGCAGCTGAGTCTCAAATTTCTTCAAAGCGTAGATGCTAGCGGCGATGAAGAACATAAGTGGGGAGTCGAGAAGAATATACCGGGAAATAGTGACGTTTGCGTTCTCAATTGCCAACACTGAAGCGGTAGCAAGACACACCAATGGCCTACAACCGGAGTGGCGAAGTGTCAAGTAACACAACAATACAGTGAAGACACCCAAGATAGCTGGGAACAACCGCATGTAGTAGTATGGAGTATTACCTTCGAAAGTATCACCAATGGTTTTGAATAAAAATTCCCCATCATAACCTGCCATGGACGACACAGCAGCGAGAAGCATCTTTGCAAGAGGTGGATGTACATCCATGAAGTACAGACCAAGAACGTACTTTCTGGAGAAACCACCAAAATGAACTTCATCAAACACAACTGAATTTGGCAGTGCGAGATCTTTACAACGAACAAAGGTGGTGATTAACAAAAGAGCCCCGAGTGCCAAGATCTCTTTGGACGACAACTTCTTTGCCTTGGTAGCAATTGGTGAAGGAGCAGTCACCAAGAACTCTCTGGAATAACCTTTGGCGAACTTGAGTTCAGGAACTGGATCTACGTCGAGTTCCGCACAGATACCATCGCTTTGTGGCACTGGCTTCGCTTGTCCTTTCTTTGACATTTTTGCAAGCGAAAAATTACTAGGAACTTGTTAGCAGAACAGGTGAGCGAAGTTGAACGCGCTTATGACACGAGTGTCTACGTAGCGATTTTTCGCTCCTGCGTGTGGGTGAGAGAGCTGGGCGTGTGCCTACAGACAGCTGGAAAAGTGGAAGCGCGAAGGAAGTAGGCAGCTGTGCAGATGTAGGGAACTAGATTTTCCGGGCCAATATACAGGTGTGGTATATTGGTAAAAGAATTCCGCTGGGTCTCTATGGGTCTGGAGACTCTGTGTAGGTCAGACTGTTCTCACGTGAGTGTTGTTGTTGGTGGCAGCTGAGATTAACCTGGAATGGCTGCCAATTATTCCAGTAACTCGTTCTTCAATCGTATATATTTCTTAGCTAGCGATATATTTGTTCAAACCGTTGTCATTACCGCCGGTGGCATCTCCTTTTGTAGGTTCCCCAGTAATCTAGTTTAACAGCAGATTGGATGACTCGGAGTATAGCATTACGTAGTTTTGGGCTACCTAGCTTGTTGAATAGCGACAACCATGATGTGCTACCATGTATGACTTCTTGAGGATCAATTGCTGACTCCTTTTTTATAGAAAGCTATCGACATGAAGTGAACGGTCTCAAGAAACGTACCCCTACTTGCACGAAACTCATGAAAGATACCTAAAGGACCGGTAGCTCCTCTATATGTTTCATGTTCATCTTCTCCTTTACAAGTTCCGGTATTCATTGACCAAACTTCAACTTCACATGTGTTACACAAATCGCCATATTTAACACAATCATGTCTCACTTTACATTTTATAGAAGGAGGACATGCCTGCGATCGTTTTTCTCTAGGTAACTCGTCTTCGACAGTTTCAAGTTGGTTAGAATGTCGGTGATATTTGTCATACTGCTCAATCACTCGTCTTTCCTCCAAGTTTGCACTCGTGTGAGTTTTAGACTTCATAATGCACAAGTAAGAACAGTAGTCAAATTCAGATACGTATGTCATGTCGTCACCAAGTTCGTTAAGTCCTGACATACTATTGACCAATACATCAACATCATTGCCAACAACAGTGACTAATGGTTCCAGCGTGTTTGCTGTGTAGATATTAAGTGCTTTTCTGATGGTTCCATCGTTGGTGGTTATATAATGGTGGTGGATGATATCAGACTCACGGTGTAGCCGGGAGTGTAATAGCAAGTAACAGACTTTATTCGAATGTGTACTATGGCTCAAACATAGTGTGGGCGAGGTAAGGAGTAATAAGACCAATATTAAGCTGATAAAGTTTCGTGACAATATCGTAGGAATGACATTCAATCCGTTTTCCAAATTATGTGAGACCGGATAACCCCGTCTTTTGGTAAAAAGAGAGAAGACTGAACTTGACACCTTCATGGCACAATTACGTGATATAATGATTAAGTTTTCCAGCTTGCGTTAACGTAGGTAATGGTGACTTAAGATATAATCTGATCAGATACTAGGTTTTTACAACTTATTCAAGAATTCAATGTGGAACGCAGTTCGTATTTGTACTTCTTAGGAACGATATGAGTATCAAATGCTGACACGAGTTAGTGTTATTTCAACTAGGGTATCCCCTTCCAACAGCCTACATTTATAGGTGGTTGTGAAGCGTGGAAATGAGCAGTATTACTGTATTACACATACCTTTTACGCACTCGAGCGGTGCTAGGTTATTTTTTCTAGTTATGGTAGATGGTGTATCACGACACTGGCAGGCGTTTTAGCAGCCACAAACACTGCATATAGCAGTAGTTCATGATAGTCCTGCATATGGTGTAGGTAGTGCCCACAGACAAGCTGGAAAAGTGGAAGCACAAAGGAAATACGAAGCTTTCCAAATTATGTGACTCGGAGTATACCATTATGTAGCTCTGGGCTACCTGCTGAATACCGAAAACCATGATGCGCTACTATGTATGATTTCTTGAGATTCAATTGTTGATTATTCCCTAAATAGAAAGCTATCGACATTGGATGAAAGTCCAAAGGACTTGTGCTTTTTTGTAGTATCTATACAAAAGATGCATAGAGCACAAGTCATCCCTCTAGACACTTCACCTCCTTCCAGTCCTTCACTGTTCCGTCATTCATTGACCAAAGTTCAACTTCACATTTGTTACACAACTCGCCATATCTAACAAATACGTCTCCGTTTGAAAAACCTACGATTGCTGTTCTCTAGAAATTTCAGTTTTGGCTGTTTCAAAGTTCGTTAGAATGTCGATGGTATTTGTCATACTGCTCAATCACTCGTCTTTCCTCCAAGTTTGCACTCTTGTGAGTTTTATACCTCATAATGCGCAAGTACGAACAGTAGTCCATATCAGGAACGTATGTCCTATTCTCACCACGTTCGTTCAATCCTGACATACTATTGACCAATACATCAACATCATAGTCAACAACAGTGACAAATGGTTCCAGTGTGTCTGCTTTGTAAACGTTAAGTGCTCTTCTGATGGTTCCATCATTGGTGGTTATGTAATGGTGGTGGACCTCATCAGATTCGCGGTATAGCCGGGATTGTAATAGCAAAAAACAGACTTTATTCGAATGCTGAGTGTGGTTAAAACATAGTGTAGACATGATAGTGAGTAAAGAGGCTAATCTTAAGCTGATAAAGGATTATGGCATTCAATATGTTTTCCAAATCATGTGAGAACGTAGTCCTTATGTGTACTCCCAGAGACAATAGAAGTATCAAACTCTGACACAAGTAATATACTTTCCCCTAAGGTATACGCTTCCAATAGCCTATATTTATACTTGATTGTAAAGCGGGGTAGTGAGCCTTACCGTATTTAATTTCTATTTCATGCATTGTGAACGCGGCTAGGTCATTCATCTCCCCTTAATATGCTAGATGATGCATCACTGGATACTGTTAGGCAACTTTTGCAGTCCCCGTCATTGCATATAGAGTCGGCTTATGTCAGCGCTGCAAAATTGGAGCGCGAAGTGATTTACGAAGTTGTCAGATTATGTGACTCAGAGCATACCATTATGTAGCTCTGAAGCAACCTAGCCTGTTGAAATCGAAGCCAAGATGTGCTATTATATTGAGTATCAATTGTTGATTAACCTTTGCTAAAAAGGTATCTACATTAAATGAAACTCCAAACACCTTACACCAAATGACTATAAGAAAGATACGAGCACAAGTCGTTCCTCTAGATACGTCACCCCCCTCAAGTCTTTTACAGGTTTCGGTATTCATTAAACAAACTTCAACTTCACGTTTGTTACACGAGTCGCCATACCTAGTACAATTCGTATCCGTTGTACAAGACAGACTAAGTTTTTCTTTACCTTCTTCGGTTTCGACTGTTTCAAGTTGGTTAGAACGTCGGTGATATTTGTCATACTGCTCAATCACTCGTCTTTCCTCCAAGTTTGCACTCTTGTGAGTTTTGGACTTCATAATGCGCAAGTAAGAACAGTAGTCCATATCAGGAACGTATGTCCTATTCTCACCACGTTCGTCAAGTCCTGATATACTATCGATTAATGCATCAACATCATAGTCAACAACAGTGACGAATGGTTCCAGTGTGTCTGCTTTGTAAATATTAAGTGCTCTTCTGATGGTTCCATCATTGGTGGTTATGTAACGGTGGTGGACCTCATCAGATTCGCGGTATCGCCGCGAGTATAATAGCAAAAAACAGACTTTATTCGAATGCTGAGTGTGGTTAAAACATAGTGTAGGCGTGATAATAAGTAATAAGCTTAATATTAGGCTGATAAGGTTTCGTGACATTATCGTGGGAATTAAATTCAATCTATTTCCCAATTATGTGAGAACTTATTCGTATCTCAATTTTAAAGCAACAGTATAGGTTTCAAACTCTGAACAAGTTGATATTATTTAGGTATCCGCTTCAACAGCCTATATTTATATTTGGTTGCGAAGCGGGGTAATGAACCACCTTACAGCAAATCAAAAACATTTCATGCAACCGAGCGCGGCTAGGTCATTCATCTCAGTTATATGTTAGATGATGTACACTGACACTTGCAGGGAACTTTAGCAGTCTCTGTGACGTATATAGTATCCTGCATAGTGGCTGAAAATCTGAAAAGTGATGCGCCAAGGGTGCGGGCGAGTGCGGCGCATTGTCCTGTGTGTGTTTCTGGCGGAGTGCGTGGGGCTTTGGGCGATAAGGCGATGCCTGCAGATCAGATCGGCTGCCAAAGGGGCATTAACCACACGCGAATACCTTGAAAAAATCTTCACTTGAAAAACATTTTGTTTGCTTTGATGGTGTACAGTTTTGATTTGAAATGGTATGTATATCGCTTGAGTGTGGACTTGCGCGATGCTGTCTTTCACTTCGATTTGGAAATTGGTGGTCATTCAGGGATTTCATGGCTGCGGTGTTCGATTCGGAGTACTTTTCTTTATACCTTGCAGGGCAGTTTTCGACTTTCTTCGAGCCCTGTTGGGTTTATCACTCTAGAATGGACACGTGTGGAAATTCCGAGACCAATGTGCAACCCAGAACTAGTGGAATAATCACTAACAACAGGCCCCTGGGCGGTCCGCAAACTGTGGAAGTCACCGGAAACTTTGATGATTGGTCGAGAAGTTTGAAAGCACTGAAACTCGATTCTGGTCAGTTCACGGCAACTGTGAAGGTTCCCAAACGACAAAAACTAGTGTTCAAGTTCGTTATTGATGACGCCGATTGGGAAGTGAGCGGAGACTACAAAATCGAGCGCGATGAAAACGGAATTGAAAATAACTACCTCGATGCTAGTGAGCTAGTTGAGGACACAGAGTCAGTGACTTCGTCTTCAAGCAAGACAACCCCTGTGTCCAAATCTGGTATTGATGATACCGAGAAACTCACTCAAACTTCAAGTAAGACGACGCCTTTGTCCAAATCTGGCACTGATGGTGCCGAGGGACTTACTCAAACCTCAACAACAGAGTCCTCTTTTGCTGCCGTGTCTTCATCTGCTACGGTACCTGAATCCTACGAGGAAGTCCAGAGCCAGGAATCCCCAGCATTGGTCGAGCACGACGACATGGGAGTAAGTATGGATACTCCTACAAATTCGTTAGATAATTCTGCGTTGCTTCAGAATACTACTACGAATAGCAAGAACTCAGCTACGAAAGTTCAAGATCATGGAAAGTTCCCAATTCCAGGTGATTCCCAAGTATTAGATTCGGAATATCATTCCGTTGACCAATTCCGTGTTCCCGGTTCATTTCCTTCAACTCCACCTAGAGGCGGGTCAACTCGCAGTCAGGAGAGTTCGTCAGTGAAAAAGGAGGGATTCATGTCCAAGCTCAAAAGTATGTTCAGGTAACTGATATGAGGCGCCTTTTTATTCTGGCTATCAATCAATGTTTTGTTCATGTTCTTCTCGGGGCTCTAATTTTTCACCTTCCGCCTCGTTGACTTGCTACAGATCTCAGACCGAGTTCGGTTGTATTAAGTCGATTTTAATATATGTTTACACTACTTCTTTCCCTTCTTTTTCTTCTTCTTGTTCTTGCTTTTAGAAGTGGGGGCTTCCTGTTGACTGGCTTCAGGTGTGGGCGATGCCTTTGCGGCCTCTGACGTTGTGGGTGCTTGAACTTCTTCCTCCTTGTATGGGACATTACTCATCAAGCTCGATAATCCTGGTACTTGTTGGGGCATTTCTACTTTGTGACGCTTGATATTGTCGTCTGTATCGTCGGATTCTCTTGAACGCTTTCGGGTTACACTCACACCACGAGGTCCTACGAAAGCTAGTAACCTTGATAACTCTTTAGCCTTATATGTTTTGTATTTGATGCACTGTCCGCTTCTTGGTTCAAAGCATTTGAATGTGATTACAGCAGTATTTTTCAGTCCGAAGGGTTCTTTGTCTTCTGAACTCGAATTCTTTTTAGCTCGTTTTTTCAAGATCTTTTTCGACTCATTGGAGTATGTGGTGGATAATGTTACCAGAGGATTGCTTGCAATTAATTTGGAAGCATACTCAATAAACTTGTCGACACTTTTTTCAGTAGGCATCCTTAGGTTCCGTCGATGTCGAAAATCTCACAGGTAGCTGCCACCGACAAGACCTGCATGTTACATGAAAACGATTGCAAAAAAGTAGAAATGCATTTGGAGATAAAATTGACTCAAAGCTAACGAGGTTCCAAACGTTCAGCAATAGCAATAATTAATTAGTTCTAAATAAGTAGCATACATAAATTACAGATCCATTCAGCGAGGTGTCGATGAACTCACTGGCACTTTTTCGTACAAAAACTGGAGCTGATCATGAACCGCAGTTGTAAAGCCTTCGCCAACGTATATATCAAAATGACCCAATGGGTACCGTTTTATCACACCCTTCTGCGCCTTTGAGGCATATTCATACGTTTTGTTTGCTGGCGCTACGGTATCATTGTCGCAGATACAGAAGAGCACAGGGCACTTAATTTTCGGTACGCTCTTCCCAGGTGCGCTACGCATAATCTGGAATACGAACCTTGCGGCAACTTTGTTTTGGAACCTATCCTTTGCGTCCCCGTCTGGAATTAATTTGAAGTACCCATCTTCGCAGTCTGGGCCAGTCATTAAGGCAGCTTCAGATGGTTTTCCTGCAGACTTAACATAGACTGGATTTCTACCTATCTTGGATCCTACCAAGTCCCAGGCAGCTAGCGTTCCCAACTTCATCGATGACATCAAATTCAATTTCATGCTGGATGATATACCGTCAGTGAATGGACATTGAGCAACGACAGCCAGAATCTTTTCATCCATTGCGGCCAATCGTAATACATGGCCACCAGAAAATGATGAGCCCCATATTATGATCTTCTCGTTATCGACTTCCTCAATGCTTCTAGCGTAAGCAATTGCAGCTTTCCAGTCATTAATCTCAGACTCAATATCCAAGAGTTGTCTGGGCTCTCCCTCAGAAGCTCCAAAATATCTGTAGTCAAAAAGTAGGCATGCGTAACCGGCAATACTAAATGCCTCTGCGAAAGCATCTAGCCGCATCTCCTTGATACATCCGAGTCCATGAGCCATTACTATGACTGGCCTCTTGTCATCTGCCCGAGGAAGATATAGGGTTCCAGCGCACTTTAAGCCCTGTGATTCAAAATGAATATCTCTTTTTGTCATTGAAGCCGTTATTTTTATCCTACAAAATATTTTATGACGTATCTTTAGGCATTATCTATGAATCTCTACCCCACATTGCATGTGCGAACCGCGCGCAAAAAGGTTAAAAGTATATGTGCGATCTCAAAGTGGAGTGTCATAACCTAACACCAAATTACCTATGAGGTAAAGGTTCAAGCATGTGACAAACCCCCAAATGAGGATGGCAGTAAATGACATGAGTGGCCCATTACTCATATCTTTGTATCCAACAACCCGGTGAATATCCATTGAGTTGTTTCTTGGACGAGCATTGGATGCGGTATACTCGATTGGATTAGTTGGAACATCTGGTCCCGCGGCAGCTCTATCGGCTGCTTGTACAAGTCTTTGGTGTTCTTCAGACAGCATTTCGTCGTCGTCATCCCAGCCAGCGCATGGATGTGAATTTCGCAAATCTTGTAGCTTGATTGCAGGTTCGGTACTCTTGAAGCGTTTGTTTTTTTGTGTAGTGGAATAAGGACTCTCAACCAAAGTAGATGCTCTCGATGTCAGATTGAAGATTTCATCTGTTTCCACAGGAATATCAGAGTCTTCCTCACCGTCACGTAAGAAAATCGGAACTCTCATGATTTCCTTCGAGCAAGTGAAAATAATCAAAGGAGCAGTTACTGCTGGCAACAATACGGAAAGAACAACCTGACTCACGTTGAGAACGTTTGATAATCCCTCACGTCCAGCCATTGTGACCACAACGAGACATGGCACGATTGCCAATCCTCTGGTAATTAACCGACGAGTAACGGGAGGTAACGACCACAGTAAGAAGCCTTCCAGCACCATTTGACCTGCCAAAGTACAAACCACTCCGGCACTTTGGCCCGAGCAAAGCAAAGCAAGCGCGAAGACAAACCCTGCTGTAGGTGATAAATGGGTAGAAAGGAGATGGTAGATTGTGAACAAGTCAGCGTTCTGATATTTTTTATGGTCATCGTCATCGTCAGTGTCTGAATCATCATCATGGTCATCTCTCTTATTCTGAGGATTGAGCGTGGAACCTGCCACTATGAGAATAGCTGCATTGACGAACAACGCAACGGTGAACAACGATACAACCAACTCCATTATTGTGTAAGACATGGTGTCATCAATCGCATGGATTGATGGTCTGTAGTCGTCATCTTCCTCTTCATCATTCTTGTGTACTGAAGCATTAAGCGAGTCACTCTGTTCTTGCTCGGGGGTCTCTTCGTGCAGCTCATTGGGAATGTAATAACCATGCTTAATGTCAAAATCCTTTAGTCTGGCTTGTACAAGACCAGAACCCAAGTATAAGGAGTGAGGCATAACTGTTGCACCAAGAATGGCCAAACTAAGAAACAATCCGTTTCCACCGTCCCGCTCCTTCATGTCGACTACTTTTTCGTTTGGAAGGAACCCCAAAAACACCTCCTTCAAAGAGAAGTTGATACCGCTGTCGTGTGACACTGCGTAAAGCTCGATTGCGAAGCATACCACGGTTGCCCCAACAAGGACAGAAACAAATGACTCGAAGATGCGAATGAAAAGTAGGGGGCCCTTAGGTCGGTAAGCCATCAACACAATGAGAACATCAACAACCGTGACAATAACGCCAAAGAAAAGTGGTAGACCGAAAATGATATTCAAAGCGATGGCCGTACCAACCACTTCGGCCAAGTCGGTAGCTATGATGGCAATTTCCGCCAATATGTACACAATAATATTGATCTTGAATGGTAAATTTGCTCGACAGTTGGCAGCAAGGTCAAGACCCGTCACTGCGCCAAGTTTAGCTGAAAGGATCTGTAGGAAAATAGCCAAGCAATTCAGGAGAAAAATCAGGAATAAAAGATTGTATTTGTAGGCCGCTCCTGCTGCTACAGCCGTCGAATAATTTCCAGGATCCATGTATGCCACCGAAACCATAAGCCCGGGGCCGATAAACTTCATGTACTTTTTTAGCACTGAGGTGACCTCATGCCATCCAAACAGTCGCATTACTGTGTAGGAGTGTAACGTATACGTTTTATAGTGATATGAGTAAAATTTGTCAAAGCTCGATGGGCTTCAATGTAGGCTATGGCAACCTCAAAATGGAATGGGTAGATGTGATGCAACCAAGAAAACGCGGTATATAAGTAGCTTATCAAGTACCGGAGAGTCAACTATGTTTGTATTTGAAGCGAACGAGCTGGGCGTAAGGATAATATGGGTAATAGTTAAAATGAAACTTTTGTTTAATAGTGACAGCCGCAAAGAAATCGCATCTGTGAGCCCGGCGTTTCTCTCCGATCTGCCGAGTCGTGCGACCCTCGTGTGGCCCTGTGTCTTTCCTACATATGGTGCATGAGTTATATGGTGCGTAAAGAGGAAGCAATAGCGAAGCAAACAGTTTTGAGTTTTCAGCTTTCGGCTGGTGAAATCGATGTATATCGAGAGCCCTTGATGATAAGATACCTGTGGTCAAGACAATCAATTTGAAAATTGTGTGTCCATTCGTTATACGAAGGATATCTTATTCTTACCTCGCAGGTATGTGAAGTCTACTAGGGTGCCACCGGCAATCATATCGAAGATTTCGAGTTACACTAGAAACTATATACCACCCCTACGGTGGAATCTTGTCTTTGGAATGCCTAGATCTTGGCTACAGTACTTCCGTTAATGTTCATAAAGTGAGTGTCCTTTCTGCATCACAAGGAGTAACAATTAATCATGAGATTGGTGATTTGAACAACGATCTGTCATACCAATCAAGAATTATTCCTGGCTTGTTGACGAGAGCATTTATAAACGTAGATTTTCCCCCACAACCATAAAAGTGAATTTCACACCTTTCTTGGCGTCCTTTCTATAGTTGATCATAGGAGAGTGGGTCATGGATGGCGAGTCAAAAGTGTACAGATGATCCATATTGATTTTAATTTTCAACTCGCTGACTTTAAGAGGGGGCAAGGTTGCGTTTTGCAATTGTCATTCTTGGTAAATTTTGACGTGCGGCGTAGTGTTGATGCATATTGGACTCGTTTGGATTCTTCCCGAGTGGTAAAAACCACAAACGAAAATAGAGATTGAGTATGGCGGTAAAGTTAATGCACAGTCGATAACCAAAGACAAAAGAATAAAATCGCTCGAAGCGCTACGTGCTCGTAGATGGGTTCATCTCAATATTGCCGTCAAGACAACAATCAAGCCTTTTTTTGAATCAACTGAAACCAATGCTGCAATACTCTTGAACCCTTTCCAGATACATATCGCCTCATATGTCAAAGCATTGAATACTTGAGGTTTTGTATGTCAATTGGGGGCCATCCAGCATATTTTTCGACATTTACACTGCAATCGCCAGCGAATGAGTAAGATTTCACCCGTTCAAGTTCGATGCTAGCTTTTGAGCCACAATGTTCCCAGCAGTGTCATTGAATTTCAGGTCCTCGTCGATAGTGCTATTAACAATAGAGCCTTGGGTAAAGGAATGCGTAATAATCAATAAATATTTAAATGGTTGAATTGCCCTTAGCCAACTATTTGTGTATTATCATTCAAGGTAGTTCAGCATTTGCAGCTGATAAGTGGGAAAGCATTTTGCAACCCATATGAGCGTGTGACTCATGTCACGTGTATCTACCGGGGTTGAACATTCCGATCGGTGATATTTATCCGCGTAGAAAGGTTTCCTAGTGAATAACATGTACAAAGTAGTCGCCAATCCCATACGCATAGGCGCTTCCCTGTCGCTCATGCGTGGTGCCACTCGTCGATTCCGCATCTCGGCATGCTTAAATGCGGCGTCTCTGTTTAAGATGCCTGCAATGTCTCCAACTATGACTGAAGGAGGAATCGTATCATGGAAAGTGAAAGCAGGCGACAAATTTTCAGCCGGTGACGTTTTGCTCGAAGTCGAGACAGACAAGGCTACTATTGATGTGGAGGCTCTGGACGATGGGATAATGTGGGAGGTGTTAGAACAAGAAGGTGCTTCGGGTATACCTGTTGGTAAGACCATTGCCTATTTGGCTGAGCCAGGAGACGACCTAGCTACTTTAGAGAAGCCCAAGGAAGAGCAAAGTTCGAACAAGGAACAGACCAAAGAAGAGAAGTCCGAAAAGAAAAGTTCCACCGCTGCACAATCATCTCAAGCAAAGGACACTAAAACTCAGAGTGAGCCTTCATCCTCCAAATCAGAAAAGAACAAGAATTCAGGTATTTTCAAAAGCGCTAACCCCCATCAAAAGCTCTTTCCCTCGGTGGAATTACTTCTACATGAAAACGAAATTTCAGTTGAAGATGCATTAGAGAAGATCCCTGCTTCTGGCCCCAAGGGCAGATTATTGAAAGGTGACGTATTGGCCTATTTAGGTCGCATTTCGAGTGAGTCTGTTGAAAATGTTGCTAAATTCATCTCGCTGAGAGAACATTTGGACTTGTCAAACATTCAAATCGCACAACCTGAAGCTCCAAAGCAAGAACCAAAGAAGGAGGAAGTTGCAGATTTGAAACCTTCGAATGTTGTGTCGTTCAATGCAGTATACGAATTAAATGATGAACTTACAACTTCAGACTTCATGCTTGATTTCGAGAGAGCTCTTCAAGACGCAAAGCAGCTTGCATATGCTGAGAGATTCCCCGAATTTGCGACCACTCCTTCTCCATCATTGTTGGGGCCCTCTTCTGACCTTTTTGATGACATCGTTTCTCCACCTGTCACAAGACCCCGCTTTCAGGTGCAAAATTTGAGTTTCGACTTCAAGAAAACTTCATTATCAAACATAACTCCTTCTGGTGACCTTTTTGATGAAATTATTGGTACTCCCTCGAGCGTCATCAAAGACGTGCCTGAAGGATCAGAGTCCCGCAACGTCAGCGTCAAGTTTGATGTAAAGTTTGATGAGGGACTTGTAGATTCAGCCCTTTTTGTGAACAACTTTGAGGATAACTTACTCACGATTATTCCCCCCAAAGAGTTAGTAGTGGCATAATTATAATAGTAATAGACGAACGAATCTGTGTGGGCGTACTTGTAATGATACTCTGTTGGAAATCTTGCAGCCGCTTTCTCGTTTACCCATCCATCCACCTTCGCCCATTATTTTTTTTAAATTATTTTTTTTTTGAACTTATTTTTTTTTTTGGTTTTCATCTACTAGTTGCAAATATACTAGATCATTATAGAAGCTAAACGCATAAGAACAGCCATAGAAGTTGTGTACTTCTTATAGGTTGCAACAGCTCTGAAGTTTGAGCTCACGTATTCTTCCTTCGCTTATGTATCTTCCGTCCCCTGGCTACAACGATCAGATAGATCGAAATGGAGCGCAAGTTCCCAACCACGGAGGGCAAGGTGAAACATCTAATACTACTATCCCGACTGCAAACATCCTACATTCAAGAGTTGGTTATGCTGGTAACGGTATGAACCCACTTGGTATCCCTCCGTCAATGTCGATGCAACAGTATCAACAACTTCAACAAATGCAACAAGCACAACAAATGCAACAGATGCAGCAGCTTCAGCAGATGCAACAGATTCAGCATATGCAGCAACTCTCAGGTCTGAGCACTCAAATGCTGTCCCAAATTCAACCCCCTATGCAACAAATCCCTCCTCAATATCAGCCACAAATGCAAGCTGCACAATCCCAAATTCACAATCCTGCTCCTCCTCGGTTACAACAGCCAGCTCAACCTCAGATATCGCAGTATCAACAACAACTTCAGTACCCTCAGCATTTCCAGCAGCAAATGCAAATACCCTATCATCATACCCCAGCTCAACGCCATGATGAATTAATGAAGGACAGTCAGAGTCCGCCACAGACCATTCCCAATGTCTCTCAAGAAAAGTTTCAAGAGAGAACTATGCTTGTGAAGAAGAAAAGAGGTAGGCCAAAAAAGCTTATTTTGGATCCTTCGACTAAGCTGTATATCGATTCCTCGCATCCTCGGTTTAAGCAACTCAACAAAATATTGAAGGAATCGTCTAATCCCTCAACACCCAACTCATCTCTTGGTCATATGAATGGTCAGGAAGGTTCTCGACAGCTCACACAGGTGACGCATTTGCGTGACATGGATGATGAGGCAGTCAAAGAATTGCTCAAGCGTAAGGATCGTAGAGGAAGACCCAGAAAGTTCCCCATTGAAGAGACTGGTCTAACTATCAAGGGTATCAGAGTGAATGGAGTTGCCAAGAATCGAAAGGCGAAGAGCGATATGTATGTGAGTCCGACAAGTGGCCCCAGGCTTGAACATTTCGGTTTGAACACCAATGGGCCGACCACCAATTTGAATCGGGATCACATGAGCGAGACAAAATTACCTCAGTCATCCTTAAACGCCATTGATAATCATATACCGAATCAAACTGTGAAGTACAAAGATCACATGGGCGAAGAATATTCCTAATCTCATAGAAGCGTAAAAATATACAATTTCGCAAAAATCCCAAATAATGCTATGCATTAATTTCAGCAGCGGATAGCTTTGATTATACCTCTGATTGCAACTACGACCTATTCAATTATTTCTTGTTTCGCCCGCTCTTCTTGGACTTCGCTTTCGACTTTTTCTTCTTTTTAGCACTTTTTTTCACAGAAGGCGAAGAACTGGAAGAGGATCGTTCTGGATTACTAGGTATGACCGGCAGATCGCTGGCATTTTGCAGTTCCCCACTATTCTTAGCAGCCCCCAGTGGTGTTTCCTCTCTCTGAGTCGTAGCTTGTTCGTAGTCGCGCTCTCTTTCATCCATAACGTCTTCTGGATCGTAAGTAACTCTTGGGGAGCTTCCTTCGAGTGAAGCCTTGGGTTCTCCATTATCACTAGCCTCATCCACCTTATCATCTTTCTCCGAAGGTACCGAAACTTCAAGATAGCGCGAGGATGTTCCCTCTCGAATAAGCTCACGAGATGAACGACCGAAGAAATCCAACTCCCCCTCAGGATACTCTGGCGGTAACTCCTCTCCCTTCTCTAAAACTTTGTCCTTATTATCCTTGTTGATGTTGTTGTAATCAGGAAGGGTTGCTAATCCTCTGTCCCCACCTATCTTCTTAAAATCGTGTGTCGGCACGAAGCCATACTTACGCACATTGGCCTCAACCCACACAAATCCAAGCTGCCCCACATTGACCAGAAACTTTGCATTAGTCGAGAAGCATCCTATAGCTGGATATAGGTCAACATAGCAACCCTGCATGATGTCCATCATTTTTCGGCCATTTCTGGTTATGAATATCGTTCCCGATAAGACAGAGTAACCAAACCCGACTATGTCAGATTGCTCTAGAGGCGGCAAAACCTGTGCATTATATGTGCTCTGTTCACCTTGATGCTGCTGAAGTGGGGTTGGAAATGGTTTGTTGATTTTCAAATTGCCAGTAGATTCGTATGCAATCGAAAAAGAGTTATACCCCGGAAGTCTGAAATGAGATGGGTAAGGCTTTGTCACGAGCCCAATTGCGAAATGGCCATTTGGGTTAGCAGGCCCACTTAGGTATTCGTATATCTTGACCTCGAAATAGACGGTATCCGAAAATGTTCTATTCTTGACTGGAAGTGAGTAGTTCAAGACAGAGGTAGCGGTTGAATATGGAGTATCATTATTATGGAAGTTAATCTCGGTTCTGTCGGCGACCAAATAACGCGCTGAAAGAAGATCATGCTCTTGCTCGAATTCGAATGCAGCGATGCCCCGATCCTTTATTAAAAATTCGTCTTCTGGTGTAAAAGATTTTCCTCTCGTGTGGTGAAAGTTTGGAGGATGCGTTTTAGTATACTCTTCCGCTTTCAAGTATGCAGTTTGCTCCTCTGGCGAGAGTTGAACAAAATCAAACTGAGTAGCCAATTGCTTCATAGATTTCCTCATCATTAAGAAAGTCTCGAGGGATATCATGAGTAGGTATATCATCATTCGGAAGTAGAGAATAGTCGGAACCACTGCCGTCAAGCAATAATGACTTCAAGGCAAGCAAGATAACCAAGAGTATCAAGACTCCGAAAGTTATCAAAAATGCTAAGAGCCAGGTATCCATTACTGTTATGTTATCCTGGATCCCTGACCTAAGTTGAAAATGCGCGCGGCTCGATACAGTAGTTGATGAATATATTAAACGTCACTAAGTCTTGTCATGAAGCTTACTGTTTTTGAACAACGATCTAGCTCCATCTCGTACCATAGGACTGTAATGCTTATCTAAAAGAACATTTTCCCACAACGTCGCGGCTTCGCTTTTACTTCTGTCCAAGTCAACTATCATGCCATTTCTTTCAATGCCAAGGTTGTAAACACCGTTACCATCAATACGCTCTTCCGTGTTCCACAAACCCTTGATACTCTCATCATAACGGGAGACTAGCTTCCCTACGAATTTTAGCAACGCCAATGAAGACTTTTCTGGAGTCTGCAAAATAGTGATGTACAATCTTTTGGTGAATGCGGATGCACGAGACGCTGTTCCATTTTTGGATCCAAAAAATATTGAATCAAGGCAACGCAACAACAATTCCGTTCTTGTTGAGACATTAACCGAAGGCTTGAACGGGCGATCACCGGCAAGTGGATCAGCTAAGCGCAATGATTTCAGGGAAAGTTCTAAGTCACAATCAAGACTGATTTCCGATATAATTGTGTATAGTGAGGTAACAAACTTAGAAAGATCCAATGAAATTGGAAGTTTGCCCACTGATGCATTGTTAGTAACCAAAGAAAAAGAAGTCACAACACATAACAAGACAACTTTCATGCGATTTGAGTCGTCATTGTTATCATCGATCCCGCCTTCTCCTGCGGAATTCAACTCTTCAATGGAGGTGTCAAGAATCTCTCTCAAAACCTCTAAAAAGTCTCCTAAAAGATCAAAATTAGCCATGCGACCATATCTAGAGAGACCCTCAAGAACAGGGGCAATCAACTTGGTAGCAGTCCCATTGTCGCTTCCTAAAGCTCCTGCCTTCAAAATATTCAAGTACAACGTTAACAATTCTTTCAAAGCTTGAGCTTGGAACTTTTCTCGCTCGGCAGCGGTGACCACTTGTTCTGCTCTGTTCATTTCTGCCTCTATCTCTATCCTTTCCTTTCTAGCTTTTCTCTCCTTTTTTGACAAATGGACTCTATCCTTTTTCTTCAACTTCGGCTTATCATCAGCTTCTTTATTTCCATTAGGGTCATAGTCATTGAGAAGCGACAAACTCAAGAAAATGTTTATAACGGATTCATCAACTCGAAACTTCTTTTCTCGCAACGTCTTGCACAACAATCTCGTCACTTCCAAAGAAATCTCACCTGATTCTTCGTCTTCTTTTAAAAGGGTTTCAAGCGTTCTCAAGCACCTGTTAAAAACCTCGAGGTCATCGGGATCCAGCGGTCTTCTATTGAGACGCCTGATAATTAGTTTGAATAACTCATTTCGATGATTAAAGAAACGCAAGGATGAAGTACTTAATTCACATGCAACTTTACACGCTAAAGATCCTCGCTTGATCATCTGAGATGTTATGCTTTTGTTGTTTCTCGAGTTCAGAACCGAAATCTTGGCCAAAGTTGCCAAGTGATCTACAAATTGACAGTAGTTCATTGCCAATGATTGCTCGAATTGACGGAGACGAGCAACTTCCTTACTTACCTTCTCACGCTTTTCGGCATCGGTAAGCGGTCTTATGCAATATGATGGAGCAAGAGCCTTGAAGACAGGTATTAAGGCTGAAGTTGCCAACTGACTAGTCGCAAAATTCTTCGATTCAGACATTTTTCTCAACCTTGTTAAATTCTTGAAATTACTTTCCGGGTCCTCAAGTAAAGACGAAGATAGTTCAGCTATTTCTTCCTTTAATAGCGTGAGCCTCTCAGCAGGCGGTAAATGTGCATATGGATCTTTTTCCTCTTCGTTTGCCTCTTGTGTTATCTCAACTTCAGTTGCAGTTTCGAGGTCAGCTTCGTCTTCACTTTTGTGAGTTTCAAGCTCAACCTTTCGCAAGTTACGTGTAATCTTTCCGTCTGCATTCTTGGTGGGCAAACCCTCGACAATTTTTGAATCATCGTAAGATGCTCTTGGGACCATCTCGTAATCTTGCTCGACGTCTTCCCATTTTTGTTCTGATGTATGAGACAGTGCTTTATCGAATAAACCTTGCTCTAGCAAAGCATCCTGCTCATTTTTGAGTCGCTTTCGATTGAGTTCATTCTTATTACCTTGCAATTTCCTTTTCCCCATAAATGCTGTTGCAACCAATGCAGTGCGGCATCCCAAAAAAAATTCTCGTCTGCGCGACATTTTAAAATGTCGTGACTATTTTATACGATCGTATACTCTCGGATAAGTTTTTTTGTGGCCTTATAATTGTTTTTCTTATTCTCACCCTTTCTTTTACCACCATTCACGCGGTACCTTCGGATTTAGTGTTACGTCAATATGGATGTTAACAGTACCAATCAAGTTACCGATATGTATAGTACGCCAATTGGCGGAACTGTCGGAAGTTACGTAAACGATGTCTTCACGAACTTAACTTGGGTGCAGATTTTTTGTACGACAGTTGTCTTGATATTTACCTATGACCAGGTGATGTACCAGTTGCGTAAGGGTTCCATAGCTGGTCCAAGAGTCAAAATGTGGCCGATAATTGGCCCATTCCTTGAATCTTTAGACCCAAAGTTCGAGGAATATATGGCCAAGTGGAACTCTGGTCCTTTATCGTGTGTTTCCATTTTTCATAAGTTCGTCGTAATTGCCTCGGACAGAGATTTGACCAGAAAGATTTTGGCTTCTCCTAAATATGTTAAACCTTGTGTTGTTGATGTTGCCGTTAAGATTTTGCGACCATCGAATTGGGTATTTTTAGATGGAAAGGCACATTCCGATTACAGAAGATCCTTAAATGGCTTGTTTAGACTGAAAGCTCTTGAGATCTATATCCCAGTTCAAGAGAAGTATATGGACAAGTATTTGGAAAAGTTCACGAACTTCGATGGTCCTCGCAAGTTCTTCCCCGAATTTAGAGAATTATTGTGTGCTCTTTCCTTGAGAACGTTTTGTGGGGACTACATTACTGAGGAACAGATTAAGTTGATTGCTGACAACTACTATCGTATTACTGCTGCCTTGGAGTTAGTTAACTTCCCCATCATTATTCCATACACTAAGACTTGGTATGGTAAAATGATAGCCGATGACACCATGAAGATTTTTGAATCTTGTGCTGCAATGGCTAAAAAACATATTAATGAGGAGAATGGCACTCCTACTTGTATTATGGATGAATGGATTTCTTTGATGAAAGATGCAAGAGAAAAACATTCAGAAGATGCCGCTTCAAAATTATTGATTCGTGAATTTTCCAACAGGGAGATATCGGAGGCAATATTTACATTTCTTTTTGCGTCGCAAGATGCATCATCATCCTTGGCTTGCTGGTTGTTTCAGATTGTAGCCGACCGCCCAGATGTCGTCAAAAAAATTCGTGAAGAACAGCTTAAAGTGCGTGACAATGACCCATCTAAGCCCTTGTCTTACGACTTAATTAATGAGATGACCTACACCAACTTCGTCGTTAGAGAATCGCTTCGTTACAGGCCACCTGTTCTCATGGTTCCCTACGTTGTTAAGCAAAAATTCCCCGTCACTGAGACTTATTCTGCCCCTAAAGGATCTATGCTTATTCCGACTTTGTATCCAGCTTTACATGATCCGGAAGTGTATGATGACCCAGATTCGTTTATTCCTGAGAGATGGTATGATGCATCTAAGGAAATGACAAATAGAAACTGGTTGGTGTTTGGAACGGGTCCACATGTCTGTTTGGGTCAAAATTATGTCCTCATGTTATTCACTGGCATGTTGGGTAAGTATATGATGAATGCTGACTTGATTCACCATAAAACACCATTGTCAGAGGAGATCAAGGTATTTGCAACTATATTTCCCAAAGATGACTTAATCATGGAATGGCATTCTAGGGACCCTTCTAAATTATAACCACGCACAACTAATCTTGTGCTCAATAGAGATAATAATTACTATGTGTTTTTTTATAATGAATACTGTTTAGACTTTATTGCAAAGCAAATTACACATGAAAACCTTAAGCATCATAGGTAGATGCGGAAACATTTCCACCTTTTCCAGTCCAGTTGACGTGAATCCAGTCTCCTTTGACAAAATCGTTTTCCTGGCCTGGCAAGACCTTGAAGGTATGAGCACCGAAATAATCTCTTTGAGCTTGCAACAAGTTAGCTGGCAACTTTTCAGATCTGTAACCATCGTAGAAAGAGAGAGCAGTACTGAAAGCAGGCACGGGAATTCCTGCTTCAACAGCCTTGCTGATTGTGGATCTCCAACCCTTTTGCGCCTTGGTGATAGCCTCATTGAAGAAAGGATGGAACAACAAGTTCTCCAAGTCAGGCTTTTCACGGTAAGCGGAGGTAATTTCTCCTAAGAACACAGATCTGATGATGCATCCTCCTCTCCACATCAAGGCGATAGCTGGGTTGTTCAACTTCCAGCCGTACTCCTTGGCAGCTTCTCTGATCAACATGAAACCTTGAGCGTAAGAAATGATCTTCGATGCATACAAGGCTTGCTCCAAGTCATCTACAAACTTCTTCTTGTCAGTGACTGGAGAGTCATCAGTGGATGGACCGGTCAAAAGAGAGGAAGCTCTCACTCTCTCAGACTTCAAGGCAGACAAACAACGAGCAAAGACGGCCTCACCGATCAAAGTAACAGGCATACCTAAGTCCAAAGCATTGATAGCAGTCCATTTTCCAGTACCCTTTTGACCTGCAGAGTCCAAAATCTTCTCCAATAATGGCTTACCATCAGTTGGATCATTGAAGTACATAATGTCCCTAGTGATTTCAATCAAGAAAGAGTCCAATACTCCCTTGTTCCATTGAGTGAACACATCTCCAATTTCCTTGTGAGAAAACTTACCGACACGCTTCATCAAATCGTAAGCCTCACAGATCAATTGCATGTCACCGTATTCAATACCATTGTGCACCATCTTCACGTAATGACCAGCACCTCCATCACCGACCCAGTCACAGCATGGCTCACCATCAGACTTTGCTGCAATACTCTGGAAAATTTCCTTGATGTGGGGCCAAGCATCTGGGTGGCCACCAGGCATCAAGGATGGTCCATAACGGGCACCTTCCTCACCACCTGACACACCAGAGCCAACAAACAAAAATGCCCTTCTTCTCCAAGTCAGTACAACGACGGTTTGAGTCGGGGAAATGCGAGTTACCACCATCGATAATGATATCACCTTTTTCCAAGTGAGGCAATAAACTGTCAATGAAATCATCGACAGGCTTTCCAGCCTTCACGAGCAAGATGATTCTTCTTGGTCTCTTCAAGTTGGCACACAATTCCTCAATGGAGTGAGCACCGATGATCGACTTGCCCTTTGCCTCGTTGTCCAAAAAGTGGTCAACTTTCGAAACAGTTCTGTTGTAAGCAACAACAGTATAACCATTATCAGCAGCGTTCAAGATCAAATTCTGACCCATAACGGCCAAACCGATCAAACCAATATCACCACTATTCTTGTTAGTACTCATTACACTGGATTTCAGTGAGCAGTCATTGGACTCCAAATGTTGTTGGACCATGGTTAGTCTACTGAGCGTGTGTTCTTTTTCCTCCGTCATCGTCGCACGTTCACTCCTCCTATCAATGAGCTATAGATTGCCGAAGCTAACTGGGAGGGGCAGAAGTATAGAAATTCTTTGCGCACGAGCGGATAATCACGGATGCTCTAGACAACCTCGGTCCAATATAACACACGAAAAATAAGCGAACTTACGTTGGGGCACCCATTTTATGTTTAATCTTTATAATGTCTTAGTGCAATTATTCACACTTGCGCAATTGCGAGGTATATGAGGTATTTATAAGAACTTTAACGCGAGAAGCTTGCGGCGTGCAATTCGCTCAAAATTCGCCGATTACGGGTTTGTGAGAGCCGAGATTAATGGCGATTATTAATCACGCTGAAAAAAAATTGGGTGAGCCTTGAGTCTACCAAGAAGATGTCTTCTTCAGTTTCTCCATAGCACGCTCTACCCATGTTATTTTTTTTTACCTTGAAGCCCAACAATTTGGTCGAATCGATAGTCCTAGGTGAGAGCTTACGTAACACTATATGAATCATGTGTTGATCACCCCCACGAACGTGGGGGTTTTTGGTGGGGAAGTGAAGAGCTACTTCAAAAGCACTACGCTTCAACATACACCAGCAGCAGTAAACACTGGATTGCCTGTTGACGCATTGTTTGGGATATTACGAACTTTTCACTCATTGTCTACAATATTAACAACTAAAATTTTAAAACTTGTAAGCTGCTCATGTAGATAGCTACGATCTCATATTACAAGAGATGTCCAGATTAATGAGGTCTCCACAATTGATGGTGTACAAGGAGTATATCGGCAAAAAGGTAGCTTACTATGGTGGAGGGAAAAAGTAGTTGTTGCACTTGATCACGTGGTATTGTCTGATCTATGGCTATATTAGATGAATTTTTATTCTGTGATTAACCAACTCGAAAATGCCTATTCCCAGTCCCCATGGAGAAGTCTTGCAAGATCTAGTTACCAGAGATAGACCACAGCGTGAGAACCTTTTAGCAGAAGCTACTGGTCTCAAGAAACTAGAATTGACTGCAAGACAACTTTGCGATTTAGAGCTTATTTTGAACGGTGGCTTTTCTCCATTGACCGGATTTTTGAATGAAGAGGATTATAACAGTGTCGTTAATGACATGAGATTGAGCTCTGTCAAGAATGACCAAGGGAAGGGTTTATTATGGCCTATGCCAATCACTTATGATGTCTCGGAGGAAGTTGCAAAAGAACTCACTGTGGGCCAAAAGATCGTCTTGACAGATTTGAGGGACGAGACCCCTCTTGCCATTTTGACGATCGAATCTATTTATAAGCCGGACAAAGCCATTGAGGCCAAGAAGGTATTCCGTGGAGACCCTGAACACCCAGCAGTCAAATATTTATATGAAACTGCCGGCGATTACTACGTTGGTGGATCGATCCAAGGTTTGGACTACCCTAAACATTATGATTATGTTGAATTCCGTAAAACTCCCACCGAACTCCGCAGTGAATTTGGCAAATTAGGATGGGACCAGCACAATATTGTTGCATTCCAAACAAGAAATCCTATGCACCGGGCCCACCGTGAATTGACCGTTCGCGCCGCTAACGACCTTGGAAAGGACGGTCATATTTTGATCCATCCTGTCGTTGGTCTTACTAAACCCGGCGATATTGACCATCACACCAGAGTGAAAGTGTACCATCAAATTTTGAAGAAGTATCCTGAGGGTCTCGCTACGTTGTCTCTTTTGCCCTTGGCGATGAGAATGGGTGGTGACCGTGAAGCATTATGGCATTCTTTGATCAGAATGAACTACGGGGTAGATCATTTCATTGTTGGAAGAGACCATGCTGGCCCTGGTAAAAATTCGAAGGGCATTGATTTTTACGGACCGTACGATGCACAGGAACTTTTGGCCACATTGAAAGATGAATTACTGCCTAAAATTAAAGTTGTTCCTTTCAGAATGGTGACTTATTTGCCTGATGAAGATAGGTATGCTCCTATTGATACAATTGATACCTCAAAGGTTAAGACAGCGAATATCTCTGGTACCGAACTTAGACAGCGTTTAAGAGATGGAACTGAAATTCCCGACTGGTTTTCTTATCCTGAGGTTGTTAGTATCCTCCGTGACACCAATCCACCTAGATTCAAGCAAGGTTTTGCAATCATCATCAAAACTGACGAGGCCAAAACAGGAGAATATCTTGCTCTTGCGTTACAATCTACCCTCAACCAATTTACTGGTGGTCGTCGTATTACGAACTTGAGCGGAGATATCGATGCCTTCATCATCAACGAGTTGGTCAAATCAGGAGCAGGCGTGATTTTCACTACTGAGAAAAATATTGACAGTCTTATCGACTTGGTTGGACAAGGAAATGTTTTAGTTGTTAAATCTAAAGGAGATAAGGGAGAGTTTTCCGTGGTCGACGAAAAGAACTTGACAACAACAATTGAACCTATCGTGGCTCATTTAAAAGAGCAAGGGTTTTACAAGAATTAGAAGATTTATAGCAACACATATTATTGAGGACTCGCCACGTAAAGCAAACACACATTTCAGGCACTGAAGATTCCAGAGTCCCACGAACGAAGAAGCTCGAGCAAATCAGGCTGCAATACGAGTTTGGCTTGTGATCGAGGCTGGATGCGCCCTACCAGAGCATGTAAAATTGTACCAGACAGGGCAGCATCGCAAAACACATAATGCACGACAATAGGCGACTATCCAATTCGAAGGGAATGTATCAATCATCTCTATAAAGATAACAAGCACCGAAGACAATTTTAGGATCAACGTTTGATGCTGGCTGCGTAAAAGATAACCCAACAGAGGCATCGATAAGAAATCATTCCTCGTACAATCAACCCTTGAAGTATTGACACAGCTCTATACACCTCTATAATGTAATAAGTAACTAGTTATGTCTAAAAATATGAGGAGTAGAGGTGGTTATGGTGATAATATTTCAGTGTTGACTGTTCATATTTTATAGCGCGGAGTACCATAGATGTATACATCATGCTCGATATATTTGACCAAATATATTGGTAAGGAAAATAAAAGCAGCTAAGAACATGTGGAGAACTATCAGAATAGGATTAGTAAACTAACAGAAGTGTGATTTATGAAAGTATGGGACCATAAATAATAAGGCGGACAACCAGGCGTTCACAAGTGCTTCCGCTACTTCCACAAAAGATGGCAGTGCGATCGATGTCAACTATAGGACCCTGGACGTGATGCTATTACATTCGTGTCATACTATTTCTCATGTGAGTGGATGTTGGTGGCAGCTTAGATTACCAAGGCAGCCAAGATTAACCTAACAAAGGTTGCAAGTTTAACCGGTGGCTCTTCAATCGTATATAATTCCTAGTTCGTGGATACACGATATATATCTTCTTGGAATCGTCATCATTACCGCCGATGGTATCTCCTTTATAAATCCTTTTATGGGTTTCCTAGTAAGGGCTACGAATGCATTGAAAGAAGAGACCTGAAAAAATATGCAATTTAACATAGATGGATTAAGAGATGATGAATTCTCTGTGCTTCTTCAATTCCCATCAATGGTGAGTTATGACAACCAGTGGCGTATCTTAAGGAATATGAAAAATGTTCATCTACTAGCTACTACTTAACTTTGTAGCAGCATTCTGAGACACCATAGGAGTTAATGTGGTTGGTCAATACTATTTGATTACAAAAAGTGTCATGAATATAGTATGCAGAGGTTATTATTTAGCGTAGACATGAATAAACCGCTCGGACAGAGAGGTACCATAAACAAAATGGGCAAGTAATATATACATAATTTACGATTGAAAGGTACGAAGAATATTAGTACCATATTAACCTAGCTATAACAATTTGCTTAGCTTGACTATAGAAAAAGTTCCACCTTTCGCAGGTCACGAACATGCATAGTTGATGCCAATTAATCAATTGCATACATCATTCATAATTCGATAGAGAGAAAGGTAGTACCATTTGTTAAAAATATTGTGGATAGAATGAGCCCACTAGTCTACTATTTGTAGCAAAGCACTTTTAATAGCATCATGATAACCACGAGAAGGAGGGTAGCTGACAGGAGGATCTCAGATTATTCACAAATACATGCTTCAAGGACTAGTGAGCCTTTAGTTGATTTTACGTTAAGTAGAATTAAATTGTCAGCGTTACCCTATAATTCGGTGAGTAGTAGGTTGAGATGAGTTATTTTCTTGTTAGTATTTGCATTACAGTGTTGTAATACGCTATCAGACAACGGCGACTATCTATCGCTTGGAAAATACTTTCATAATGAACACAGTAGCTGAGACATTGCATATGCTATTGTCAAATGCAAAAACAGCAGGTTAGGGCTCTTTGGTTTCCTATGGTATGAAAGCCAAGTGTGCCGAATTCGTCGGCCTGAAATGGAAAAAGATATCATGCAATTGGAAGAGTATTATTCACCAGTACCGACAAGCTGATTCTGTGAATAGAACATGAAATTTTTTGTTCGCTGATTAAGTACTTGAGTTTTAGCTTTGATATGTTTGACAGATACTTCATCATTATTAGTTTTCCCATTGCTTGCTGTTCCAAGAAGTGACCTGCATTTCTAAAGATTTACATTGTATTTCTTTTGGATATTCTACATTAGTAGTGTGAGGTACTGAATGTATGAAGATCTTATCGTATGGAAAAAAAAAATACTTTGGTATAGGGCAATTTATCTAATAAATCCTTGGGCGCTTCATCTATCAGAAGCCTTCCAAGCAAGTTCTCTAAAGATTGGGTGGCAATTCATTTTGTTGAGTTCAATCTTGAATAGCCCCGTCATCATACTGAAAGAAATATTCAACGCTGGGTATTTTATAAGGTAGCGCATAAAGCTTTTTTGATATTCGTGTAAGTAGGCTCATGATAAACTAGCTGTGGCGGATAGATGATGTTGAAAGTATTAGTAGCGTAATAATGAAGGTGTCTTTATCCGTCGAAATTGATTGATACCTTGCAACCCTTTCAAATGGTGGATCATCATGTATTGCTTCTGAGATGTTAACGATTATGATACTATAACATATGGGGAAATAGATTTTATCTATATAAGAACAGCCCTTTCTTACTGTGGCTCCGTTTGCGTATCGTTTGTGGCTCTCATACTCTGCTATGGTGATTCAGTTTTCCATGTCCCCTTTTCTAAGTTCATGAACGTATTGCGCTTTGATACGTATGTATGATTTGGTCACTACATTGCTAGTGTTTAGATTGGACGTTTCTGTTTACTTATATTCTAACCAAAATAGTCATCTCGTATTGCTACTTCTTTTGTCGGAATCGCCGGACGACTCTCAATACACGGCATTTGAGTAAAGTAGTTTTCTAAGCTGCTGAATTCACTTGTGCTCAGTAGCGTTGGACACGTACTAAATTTCATGGTATGTTTGTAGGATTCCAAGTTTGCTCTGGATGGTTGCAAATCTGTCCCTTCATCTCCTTTTGTGATTGAAGATCGAAAATTGTTGTTATTGACATGTGCTTGGTAGTAACTCACATTATTATATGCCACATAGTAAGAATTCTCTTGGTACTCGAGATTACGCAAGAAACTCTTCGATCTTTGCTCTGACTCGTATTTGTGGCGAGCGTGATCTGTGTTTGAGCCTCTTGTAGAACTGCTTCCTTCGTATTTGGAGTAATCTCCCTTGCTGGTAATTAAATGCTTCAATGCATAATGCTGAAGAAAGTTCTTGTTAGTTTTTCCTCTTTTATTTGAATCGGAACTTGAGTGAGTCGATTCTAATGCGGGTCGAGAAGCAGACGAGGGTACTAGTGTTTCCGTGTCGCAGGTATCCAAGTACTTCACATGTTCATTACCGTCAGATTTCCCACCTGTAGAACCTATAAGGTCGGCCTTCAGTCCCTTTGGATAGGGCTTTCGAGATTTGAAAGGGCTATAATCGAATTCGTTACTGGAAATGGACGGAAAGTATCGTGCATTGGAGTTCATGTTGAATTGAAAGAGGTCCAGCATCGACTGATACTTTCGAGGAACGTAGGATTCGTTGAACCAGTTGTCATTTTGCTCCGGGTTGTATTCGAATGCTGGACTTGGTATCTTGTTTTCCAAAAGTGACCTATTGGAAACAAAGATAGGGCGATCAAAATAGCGATCATTGTACCAATGTATATAGCTCCTTCTTTTCCTTATATCCTGCGCTTGATATTCGTTATGAAGATAAAAGTCATTTTGTAGTTCCCATAACTTAGGTTGCGTTGGATCATATACGTAATTTCCCAAGAACAAATTAATCGCTTCTTGTCTTATCAGGTCCATAAAAGAGTTTGAATATATGCGCTTGACGCTATTCAACATATCTCGCGTATGCGATGACCACTGATTTATTCTTCGATAAGAATCCATAGTATTCACTAGATTGGATCCTCCGTACTGAACCGCTATTGTATCCCCATGATCGTGGAACATTTCCGTCAATATATTGATTAAGTCGGAGTCGTAGTCAAGACTCGTAGATTTGGGTATGAGACCAAGACTGGCTAGTTGAAGCGAAAGTGCCTCCTTGCAAATAATGAATTGTGCTGCATTGGTTCTGTCCAAGCAGTCGATGCAGTTAGTTCTGATCACTCCTTCTTGAAGCTTGGTTTCCTCTGATGTCGCACCGTTATGGAAATAGCCGGTTTCCTTTAATGCATCAGCAGCAATGTTCTGCAAAGGACCGATAACATCAAGGTTTTTCTTTGAATGTTTTGACATGTCAAATGAGTGATAACGGAGCTTATTCTTTTCAGGTAGAAATTGGTTGAGATAGCGAATACAAGAATTGAAATGCTGATTCAATTTCAGCTCTCTCGGGTGTTTCTCTTTCGTTTTGATTAGATTCAAAATAATTATGGGCAGTCCATATCGTCGAAACAAATTGTCAAAGTGGATAGCCGAGCTTTGGTAAAAAGGGTCCGAGAGGTTTATTTCTATTGGTGGCTTAGGAAGCTTGTTCAAATCCTGGGACCAGTACAAAGGAATCGAGCCCCTATGTTGAACAAAGCTTGTGTATCGGGGATTGTTGTAATAGCCATGCTTTGGATCGTGAAAAGACGTAGTCATCATATCGGAAACTATTTGCTCCGTTTCCACCTCGTTGGCAACATTTCCCTTATCGTTTACACCTCTTTTCAAAAACCTGGCACCAGCAAAGTGATGCGAGCGTCTTGCGATTATTGTGATATATATCTTTTTTCCGTAGATTGATATGTTTGCTTGATCAACAAAACCATGAATTATAGGCTGAAACCACTCATAAATTGTTATATCTTGACTCTCAAGAGGCTTCAAAAGCACTTTGTTCCAAACAAATCGGTCGTTGTGTTTGATCACGTCCGTAGCTCGTTGTTTCGTTTCATTATCTGAGGCATTCTCGGTGTTTCTCATCGCATTTCCAGCATCTTTATATCTCATGAAATTAGTCTGCAAGGAATTGGTAATATCGTAAGAGTAGCTAAAATAAAATGTCTTCCCCAAGTCAAGGTACTTGAATATCGACAAAAGCCTCTCTTCATCGCTATACTTTATAGGACGCGCGTAATGAATATCAAGGGGAATTAATTTGGTTTCATCAATATGATAAACAAAATGACCGCCAAGTATAGCAACTTGGCTACACTTTGTGATAATGCTCAAGTAATAGCCTCTCGTAAAACGAATTAGTCCGATGATGCCGTAACCTCTGGTCACTTTATGAATTCCACCTTCAACAGTCTCATTAAGGTCATTGATCAATTCTACCATATCTTTTCTCGTGTAGAAAAAGTTCTTATCCTCGATGGCTGTGATTTTCTTTTCATCTTTTGAGTCTTTGTTAATCTCCAAAACACGGAACAAGCTTTCCTTTGCATTACTTCCCACAATATACATGGTAGTGAGGGAATTGTAAATTGTAAAACGCTGTAATATTATCCGCTTATTGCTTGCGTCAGGAGTACTATGTTCACTCTCATCAGAAGAAACGTTGTCCGAATCATCGACTTCTTGGCTTTCGGTTTCGTTATTGTTCTTGTCGTTTTCTTCGTTTTCTTGAATATCACTTGTAGTATCTGATTTGCTGCGACCATTATTAACATCACGGGGAGGTTCATATTTTATACCATGGCCTGACTCGGCGTTACTGTTGTTGTTCGCTTCGGAATCTTGATCCTTCACGTTGGGGCTCATGTGGTAACAACTACATTCAGAAATTCAACCTAATGCATGATATGCAGGAGATTACTGATTAAGATACAGCTGCAAAAACCGATAATGCGGCGTATCTTAGAAATGTCTATAACTTATTATTGATTGCCGTACACGCCTTCTTTATTACTATGTGATAGAGCGGTGTTTCTAGGGAGGTCATTACGCATTGACAGCCATCAAGGCTGTGATGATCATTATCGTTAAAGCTCACCTAAGATAGGTATTTTCCACTTAATACCTTCCAGGTCATATGAGTAGGGCTGAATATTTTTATGTTCCTGATGAGTGCCATCTTTGTGAGTACCATTAGCATTTTCTTCCCAATCTAATTCGAAGTCTCCATAGCGATTTATGAACTGTCGCCTTTGATAAACAGTGTTGAACTTGAAATAGCGCCGTTTCAAATTATTATTGAAGAAAAAGTTGCCATATTGCATTAACCTATCTTCACAACACTGCAACCAACGGGTGTCATTTTCAAATGCCATGATACTTTTGGTTCTTGTTGGAACTACCTCTTCATCTGTACAGTGGCCACACTTCGCATTGTGCGTATTTAGATACTCCTGGTTATATTCTGACCAGATATCCATTGGCTCACCACTTCCATACTCGACGGACCCTGAAGGACACAAAGGTGCCATTTCATTTCCACCATTTTGCACGTAGTTCAAGGCTCTGTATAAATTCTTCATCGGTATGTTAATGAAATATTTGTAGTCAGTTTCCATAAGGCTATAGTATAGCAAATCGTAATCATTGAAGAGCATGGAAGGCTGGGATAAATCGATGAAAAATATTCTGAAACCTGATTTCAAGTATAATCCAATTTCTTCCATGGTGAACTTTACTTTGAAGAGTTTATTCTCAGAAGGTTTCTTCTTCTGTGGGATTGAGAACTCTCCAATTTTCAAGAAACAAAATTGCTTCTTCGGAAGTATATCATTTATGTTTGAAGGCGGATAAAACGTCTGTGCCACTGTCTTACCGTCTTCAGACTCGTACTCAATCTCAAATTTTGTTGTTCCCAATCCATTTCCATGTTTAATTACCAATCCAATATTAAGATTATAGTCGCCAGCGGCCAACCATACTGTTTTAGTGTAGGAAAGAAGATAGGTTCGGTTGACTTCGACAAAGTGGTGGTACACATAATTAGTGGGTCTGTCTATCTTGTAATCTGAGTATTCAGCAAAAAGACGCTTGTTTTTGAGCACCGAATAAACATACTTCCATGAATCTTTTATGAATTGACAATGCAAAGGATTCTCCCAAGAAATCCCTAAATAATCGACTCCAGTATCGGTCAAGTCAAGGCGGTTGGATATTATTTGACGGCTTTTTGATCTAAATACTTCAAGGGTTTTGATATATGTCTTGAGCCAAGGAAGTATTTTTATTAGTACAGGAACTATACTTTTGCCAAATGACTCAATGATCTTGTCGTAGTATAGATCATTGTAAAGTATGTAAAAATAGGAATTAGTCATTTTTAGGGAGCTACTGGGTTCCATCTTTAGCAAACGGACCTGTATCTCCACAGGAAGTCTCGAGATCATGGCAGTTTTGTCTCGAGCAAAGCGATAAAGTGCTGAAATGACTGGTACTGTACATAACTGATAGGGAGATTGCGGAAATTAAGTATAGGGTGCAAAAACAGTTTGTTGTCCATCACTTTGAGCACACATTTAAGTATCTTTTTCTTTTAGTATACTCTATGCGCTGGTGCACAAGCCTCAAGGACACATGTCAAAGCGGTACTTCCTAACCTCAAAGCCATTAATCAGATTGGTGTACTAACCGTAGGGTGAAGTACAGCTACTAGGTGTATACATAATGATCTAGGTGCCTCAATTCGTCCACATTGTTATATAATAAGACCTTTCATTAGTATCTGACCTACTAACGTGAAGAAGATATCTTTTAGGTGGTGCGTCGCACGTAGAATGTTCGAGAAAATTACCTTGTTGGAAGAGTGCGACTTGCTACTTAAATACAGTAATTAGACCACGGGCAAATTATTATCATGGTCAAGACTGTTCATCCAACTGTATTGTGGGCGCAACGCTCTTCTGCTGACGAGGAGTCAAAGAATGTGATCTACTTAACCATTGAAGTGACCGACCCTGTTAACACTAAGTTGGACTTGACATCTACTAGTTTAAAGTTGACAGCTGACTCGCTGGACAAAGAGACTCATTATGATTTGTCAATTGAGTTCTTTGATGAGATTGATACAGAGAAGTCACGTAAGAACCTTGATAGCGGGTCTCATATCTTCCTTGTGTTGAAGAAAAAAGAATCTAAGGACGAATACTGGCCAAGATTGACCAAGGACAAGTTAAAGTATCACTATATCAAGACCGATTTTGACAAGTGGGTCGACGAAGACGAACAAGATGAAGAGGAAGAAAAAGATGACGACATGGCCAACATGATGGGTATGGGTGGCCCTGGTGGACCCGGCGGACCCGGTGGAATGGGAGGTATGGGAGGTATGCCAGGTATGGGAGGAATGCCAGGTATGGGAGGAATGCCAGGTATGGAAGGCATGGATCTCTCTCAATTGATGCAAGGAATGGGCGGTGGCGCTGGAGGTGAAAACTTCGATATCAGTGCTCTCGCAAGTCAATTGGGTCAAGCTGGCGCAGCTGGTGCAGCTGGTGAAGGTTTAGATGACGAGGCCGAAGAAGAGGGTGAGCAGGCCGCTGGATCTGAGAAGGAGGCTTGAAAAATTTTTGAGTGCTTTCTTCCATCTCAATCAAGGTCTCAAAAATTTCTCTAAGGATGTGATATCTTCAGATCATAGAAAGGTGACAGTAATTGTTTCCCTACGGACATAAAGTTTTGTATTACTACGACATAGTTGCCGTTTCTTCCAAGGCCCATCGCCCTGTAGATAGTTCTCTCTTTTCCTTAGGGAATGAAAAAATGGAATACTTAGTCTACATTCAAAAAACGAAACATTTGGAGGTTCAGATTCAAGCTGTATTTTCCACTAATAACCTATGGCTAATATCAATGTTTTTCTTTTGTTTCACAACCTTATAACTTCATGTCTCAACCTGTGAATATATTGCAGCAATATCTCTGTGACGTAGAAATCTAATCAGACACACTCAAATATATTAGATTTTAACACATGCTCGATTAGTTATCTTTAGAACTTCACTTGTGGTATGGCGTTTATGTAAATATTACCTTCAATGTGAATGAGGAAGATCGTTGTCTGAAATGGATCGGCCCCAGTTCGTTAGATCAAATGTGCAGCGAAACAGATACTCTCTGCTAGGCACGAAAATTCATAATGAAAGCAACACCACACAGAGATGATCATGATTCAATGAAATGATGATTGGCAATATTTCTAGATTGTAATCCACCTTTCGAGAATGGTACTCATAGTCACCATTTTGCAACTCTCTGTCTCGTACTGAGGCAGGCCCCACTCTTCATCTATGGGAATTGATATCTTCCACGTATTGGGTACTCGTTTACCCTCTGTGTCAGGTTCATCGTTGCAATAGTCGTTGACAAATACTTTAAAGCCTTTGCGGCTTTCAACCAAGTATAACATATAACAAATGTCCTGCACTGTTTTGATGTTACATTGGTCGTTAGTCAAGAAGAAGAATTTCTTTTCGTCGCTTAAGACGTCTTCTTCCTCGTCTTCTTCTTTTTCGCCTACTTCATCTTTTGAATATCCCACACTTCGAGTTCTGTCGAAGTGCCCAAATAAGCCCAATAATACAATCACAGTGCTTATACGTGAGACATCATTTTCAGTGGCCATATCTTGAATTTTGCAGCATTCTGTTAATACTGAGTTGAGCTCAATTATGTTTTCGATACAGATCACTTTTACTTTGGTAGCAAACTGGTTCAATCAAACCCAAGCGGGGCACTTGAAGATTATACTTCGTATCTGATTTTATCGCTCCTGCTACTATCAAACAAACATTTTCATGAGCGCACGATCCAAGAATATATTCCTCAACCCAGCTGATAGTCAGTTCAAGACTTTTGCCATGATTTGAATATTGAACCATAATTCATTGTGATCTTTCAATTAATGGAAGGCCATACTCGATTGGTTGCAGACTGAATTTTGTGTGCGCAAACCATGAGCGAAAAAAATTCGAGAGGACGGTTCACTTTGAGCTTTGTCACAATGTACTCTACCAGCAGGATTGGCTCCATGCGGAGAACATTGCTTCCGCGGTCTACAGTCTTCCGCTGTCAGCGAGCCTCGCTTTCTGTGGTAGCTGAAGAAGAGGTACAAATAAATCAACGTGAGTTAAGGGAACGCGCTATGATGGAAGCACTCGCAAGGGAAGAAGAAGCTACTGCCAAAGCCAAAGCTTTGCGTGAGTTAAAGGACAAAACAAAAGAACAGATATTGTTGTTAAATAAAACCCCTTCCACTCTTATGGAAGAAAGACTCAGATCTTTGCAAAATGATTTGGATAACGTCGCTGATCAAGATAAAGTCAAGCAACTTGACGAGGAGTTGGAAGAATTCATGTTCGCTAGTATGAACTTGCCATCGTCTGAAGTTCAAAACAAACCATGGTATGTACCAGGAGCTACTGCCGAAGTGGATCAATCAGGACGAGACGATAGCACACTGCGCATCCAGTCAACCACATCCAATTCTTTCACAAACGTTTATCCAAACTTAAAACCCACTCCTGATTATAGACCGTACTCGTCACAGGAGTTGTACTTGAGGCAGCTCTCTCATTTGAACCAATCGGGAAATTTGGGGTCTACTTTGAGTGACGTTTACGTTCCTAGAAATGAGGTAAAGAAACCAAACACGATTAATGACGTAACCATCGCTAGCTTATTGGCTGCAGGGTGTCACTTAGGGCATGCTAAGTCCATGTGGAGACCTTCGACCCAGCCATACATATATGGTGAGTATAAGGGTATTCACTTGATTGATCTTCAAGAAACAATAAGTGCTCTTAAAAGAGCTACTTCTGTCATGAAAGGAGTCGCCAAAAAGGGTGGTATTATTCTCTATGTGGGTACTTTAAAACATTGGGAACAGCATAGAGCATTGGAAGAGGCTGCTGAAAGAAGTAATGGATATTATGTTTCCAAGAGATGGATTCCAGGTACGATTACCAACTTTACGGAAGTATCAAAGCAAGTCGGGGGCGGTCAGCGTCAAGAAATTGATATTGCAGACGAACCCACTAACAGACAAATTGGTGAAGATGAGGCCGCAAGCGTGCTAAAGCCTGATCTCGTAGTCATCTTGAATCCAGTGGAGAACAGAAACTGCATCAACGAATGTATAAAGCTGAGGATCCCAACCATTGGTTTGTGTGACACCAACATGGAGCCTTCTCTTTTGACATATCCAATTCCATGTAACGATGACTCCACGAGAGCTTCATCGTACATGACTGGTATATTATCGACTGCAGCTGAGGAAGGTCGCGAAGAAAGGATCGCCTTTGCTCAATCGCAGCAATCCCGTTAGTTAAAATTTGCTTGTATATATATCACACAGAAATAATAGCATATCATTAGTATTGAAGTGTTCCCTGATCGCTATCGTCACCGCGTGATAGTGATAACCTTTTATCTTTGATCTCCTGGCGAAATTGTTCCTCGTGTGCTTTCTTGAATTCTAAATATTTCATGGTTTCGGCGGTTTGCTCGGGACTTATTGGCACTGGCACAGCTGTGTCTGCATCTATGATTAAATCCGTTTTACTGAGCAGCAGAGAATTTATCGATACATCTAGAGGGGTAGATATTGCCAGTTGAGTTTCGTGCGTTGCGGTTTTGGTTTCAGGAACTTGCACTCTATAGTGTTCACGCCTATAGTCTTGTAGCTCCCTGCCACTAATGGTTATCTGCATACCATATGATTCCGATAGAAGTTGGGATGGTCTGAGTGAAGAAATACCTGCATACCGATTGAGATCTTCCCTCACCACGCTTCAAATCGGATCAGAAGCTATATTTTGCAGCTCACATCAAGAGAAAATATACCCACTATGAGTTGATGGCCAGTTCTCCTCTTATTGAAATTTGGGGCCAGCATGAGAGTCATTTGCACGGTACTTCCCTGTCTAAAGACGTTATCCTCTTTGAAAGACGTGAAAGATTGGTCGGAAACAAAGGTGACTAATGGGTTGATGAAAGGGACATGAATTCGTCCTCTTTATATAAAGATAAGAATTACGTGAGCTCACGCAAGGGCTGTTTGTGTTTGTGTCCGCAGTATAAAAGACCAATTGGCTCGTTTGTACTCGCTTCTTCATATCATAAAGGTATTATCATTTCAATTTCTGAAATAAAACCCAAAAAGTACCTTAAAGATTCAATGAATTCATTCAGCATTCAACTTCAATCAATCGCCAAGCAAACTGGTCTTTGGAGCGTCCTCAGGGACCTTTGGGCCCTTCAAATAGATTTAAATCTATTTGTGCGCGAGATGACAGTCTTGGCCAAAACACTTGGGCAGTTGAATCCAGGCAGTATAGGAAGTATGGGTGTTGCAGACTACATTAGCAGGACCCTTACCAACATGATACTTGCAGTGATTTCTCCTTACGTGCATATGGCTACGTCTCCTGTTCACCATCTTTTATGCAACGCAAACTCAATTGAGAAAGTTGACATTAGACTTAGAGCTCACTTTCTTAATGCCTACTATGCTCATTTGCAAATGAAGGGAGGAAGAACTATCCGTGAGCGTTCAACTTCTTCTGTGGCTGCTTGCAATCTTGTTGTTGAGAAACTTGCTGACAATGAAGGTTCAGCTAAATCTGTTGACTGTATGGCATTAGTTCCCATTGGTTTCAAGTTCAATGGAGAGGATCGTTCCGAAAATCCTGAGGAATGGCTCATTTTACAGCGTAAATTGCGTCTGAAATGTCACAAAAAGATCCTCAGGATTGTTGAAAGTTATGCTCATTGCTCACCATCAATAGCAGCAGTTGAACACAGGTTACTTCGAATTAAGGAATTACGTGGTAATGGCTGCCCTGTACTGGCTGCAACACTAAAGCGGTCTTTATATCGCAAACTCGAAAAAGTCCTGAATCGTCTAGCAAGAAATATAGAGTCTCATGAAGACATGGTCAAGGCAGATGTCTCGAGATACTAGAAGCTTTGTTTGAGCGAGGAGGATATTTTGAAATTGTGCGAGATCTTCTCGAATTACTTGCTGAGACTTTGAAGTCTTATAAGCGGGCTAACGCACCTCATCAACCACCCGCACCATCACTCAAGCCACTTAAATCTTCGGTGAGGAGATACAAGGTTGACATACCGAAAGAGAAGAAAAAGGTTAGAGTCGCTCTCCCAAACCCAGATCCCTCCATCAAGGAATATGCCATTTACGAAACAAAAAATCCTTCAATACTCAGAAGAATGGCGAGAAGAGTGAAGCTGTTCGGGAAAAAATTAGGAAGCTCCTCGAGGTGTATTGCTAAGCGAGTTAATGACGCTGTCCGAGGTATACTTGGAGCTAGCTCCAAAGATTCCGTTAACTCTGAACCAAAACCAAAGCGTCGTGAGCATATTTGGGGTAAGCTTTTCCGGAGTCATAAGATACATTGATACCCGGAGCACTGCCTGAGTTGCAACAAAGCTGGGCCTATCATACTTGAGACCGAACTCGATGCTATCACAATGTGCTTGATCACCACATTTGTGACTGCGAGGGCTTGGACCAATATGAATGGCCGGGGCTTTTATGTCATTTGTTCCTTAAGGGAAATCAGGTAAAGCCTCCGCATCTTAATATGATTAAGGTATCTTTGTAACTTTGATATTATTATTAGGATTTAGCTAAATACTAAAAAAAATAATCTTTGCAAACAGCTAGACGACTTTATGGCTGCATTTTAACTTGAAGGGGGTAAGATGTCAGGTCCTCGTATTAAACATTTGCATTAGGGGTTAACCTAGATATTAAGTATTAAAAATTAGTGTAGTGATAGTTGTAGGCTTTTTCTCAATCGGACAAGACCATCATCGATTCGCCTAAACTTGAATTCGATGAACAACGGTTGGTGTAAATAAAGTTTATTCTTCCTTTTTGGTCTTCGCTATTTCTTCCTGGCTATCACTCTCCTCGTCTTCGTCGTCACTTCTTTCATCCTTTGCCACACCAGCAGCCACATATCTGTACATGATTCTGATGATCAAGAAGAGCCAATAAATGTTCACAATCTGTAAAGCGCCAATCAATCCAAAAACAATTGGTTGAGAAATCCAACACTTGTATTGTTGAGTGTCCCAATTTAATTCCCACTCACCAACGGTTCTGAATTCAGTCAAAACGGACCACAAGATCTTCAAGTTCACATAATGTCTCAAGTATACCCAAACAGCAACGAAAACAACCATGAAGGGGCCAGTTGTAGGAGAGTCCAAATAGTTTAATGTCTTCGAAGCTGCTAAAAAGAAATCAGACACATCCATGGTAACGAAGACTTCTATTCCCATCCAAGTAAAATGAAATCTATACGAGCACCAGATCAACGCAATTGTGATAATGTGATGCAACACAAGCTCGTAAAAGTCTTTGCGAGGCTTTTCCAATTGTAAAATGAGTACGATACATTGCTGTACCCAAAATGCTGCTTGACCCAAATAGAAAACCTTGAAATAGTAGTCATGGGTCTTATGAGGGTAGTTGGTGTAAAATGGAGTAGTTTCAAAAAACCAAAGAGGTAAACCGTGCATGATCCACAAACCAAACGGACCGGAGACACCGTAATAAAACAATGCGTAGGCTTGTTCCATGAACCTCTTCTTTTTTCCTTCTTTTTTCATTCCGGCGAAAGTTGCAAGCGGACGCAAGACAACACACATCATGAACTCACGCAAAAATATGAAAAAAATGGCGTAAAAGCCCACAAAATAAAAGTCGTTTTCACCCTTTCCATATTGATCTGTTCCAGGAATATGGTAGGCTAATACAATGCATGCGTCCAAGAAATTGTGTACTCGGGTACCTGGCCCTGACAAGAAGAAAGCACTAAAAAACACCGACAAAATGATGAAAGGAACGATCCACGTGTGCCTATATGTAAGCTCAATGAAACCCACGTACATCTTTCTCAAGATAGCCAAATCCGACTTGCTTTCTCTCGACAACTCCATTATTCTGTCGCTCGACTTTGACCGTTGCGCTTTTGAACGGTACATAGTAGCAAGAGCAGGCGAAGTATCACCTAGATTAATTTTTCCAACGGAGGATCCTCTTCTTCTCTTGTAATTGGCCGACATGCTAGGGGATAACAAGTCAGGCTCCTGAGACATTGTTGAAAATGCAGACGTTTGAAAACCGGCGCGCGAAATACAGTTGGTTGGGAAAGACCCCTATTGGGCTTCGGCTAACGCATCGAGACGCGATGTATGCAGTATAGAGCGTTACTGGGGTATGGGCTGTCTGCAGGATTTGTGATACCGAAATCGAGGGGAGCATGCGCAGGAGATCTTCCGAAATTAACTATGTTCAGCAGTGCTCCGAAACAGAACACGCACTTAGATGACTTGATTAAAAAGGCTACGGATGAAACGTTAACTTCTGATAACTGGCAATACATCTTAGATGTTTGCGATAACATACTGTCAAATCCCGAAGACGCCACCAAGGACGCCATCAAATCGGTTTCTGCTAGGCTTGCCTTAAAAGATGCTAATGTGATACTTCGTACACTTTCGTTGCTACTTGCCCTTGCAGAAAATTGTGGTTCACGTATGAAGCAAGAGATTGCGTCGAAGTCATTTTTAAATGAATCTATAATCAAACGCTTGGGCGATAAGCGTCTCCACAGAACAGTTAAGGTGAGAATTGTGGAGGTTGTTAAGCAGCTCAAGGACTCGTTTGAGGATGATCCGTCATTGAGACCCATATCAGACGCCTATAAGCTGATAAAGCATGATTACCCACAATATGTTCAATCGTCCCTGAGTTCGGGGCCAGTAAAACCAGCGAAACAAGAACGTACTAAACAACAGCGGCAACTGGAAGAAGATGACCTTCAACGGGTATTGAAGCTATCGTTGCAAGAGTACGAACGTGAACAAACAATCAAGAAAGCATACCTCAATGACAAGCCGCTTCCATCTCCTAGCGAGCAACTAGGCCAGCAAAATCTGCAAGAAGTGAATGTTGCTCCAAAGAGTAATGTGCATGGTGAATCCGAATCTACTGCCACTCAGGGCCCCTCTACTATCACCAAAGTACGTGCATTATATGACTTGATCTCTTACGAAGAGGACGAGTTATCATTTCGCAAGGGCGATATAATTAATGTTATCGAATCCGTTTACCGTGATTGGTGGCGTGGCTCTCTCCTGAATGGAAAGACTGGAATCTTTCCTTTGAATTACGTCACACCAATTGTCCCCAAGACCCAAGCTCAGTTGGAAGAAGAGAGTGCCACTGAAAGATCCTTACTTACTACGGATTTGCGAAACGTGGACAGACTTTTAGCATATTTATCCTCGAGTAATAACGAGCTCGATGAAGATGAGATTACCAAACTTTACAACTCAGTCATTCCATTGCGGCCAGTTCTTGGGAAAGTGATCGACAAGTATGCGATACGAAAGGAAGAGTTGCTTGCTTTGAATAACCAGCTAAAAACCAACGTTGCCTACTACAACGAGCTTATGGACAATCTGATACAGGTCCGAGCCGCATCACAGGTTCCGTCTAATGCATATCAGCGGGCTCCATATCCTTCCCATCTGACCGGACAACCAAATAGTCCGCCACAGCTTCAAGACCCTAGGTATAGTGAACGTTTACTGCAACAGCCTACGAGCAGTGGCTTTGGAAACGCCGAATCAGACCCAAGGTTTTCTAATACTTACCAGCGACCTGCATATGATGGTAACGTATATCCCCAGGCTCAATACGTTCTGCCTCATCCTTCTGGTAATGCAAGAAGAATTTCTAGGGGTCAGCTTCTGAATATAGAGTCATTTCCCGAGGTTCACAATATATAAAAATTTTAGTTTTAGCATTTCAATAATGAATTGGACTTTCCACGTATATCTCAAATCTTAAGGCGCGCAAGAAATAGTTCCTTCGTGAAGTGGAGTCAAGAGTAGAACAATGTACTCGGCTAGAGAGCAACAAAATAACCAACGATTTGATGAACTTGCACAAACATTACATCAATTTCGTAATACGGTAGATAATGATATACATGGTTCTATTCAACAGGAAAACCTGATGATTGATATGCTTGGAGACAACTTCAGTCAATTAATGACACTGGTAAAAAGGACCAGTGGAGACTTAAGAAACGTTATGACAAGAAACGCCAGTCTCACAAGAGTGGTTATTACAATCCTCATTGCATTCGTCGTCATTTGGACCTTATACAAGTTATTATGATATAAAGCTTACTTGTTGTTAACAACATCGGAGCCCAAACGATAATTTCCAATGGCTTTACCCCAGTTAACTTTCGATCTTGTAACAGGGAGCAATCTTCTAAGTGATTTGAACTGCTTGTGGTTCAATTCATTGAAATTTTCCACAATCTGTTTAGTTTTGTCATCTTCAAACTTATCAATCGCATTCACAATTGCGCTGGCGTCAATCAGAGTCAATTTGACTTGCTTTTCATCCTTGAAGTTCAAGCGTACGTTTCCCTCCTCATAGTAATGAATATCAATTTCAACCAGTTCCGAAAGCGTGTCGTCATGAATTACATAGTGTGAGTACCATCTGCCACTGTAAAAATTGCTCAGATTTAACCTTTGACCAACAAGAATAATATGTGTTTCCTCCTCTTTCGGTATGATTGTGAAAGCATACTTCGAAGGGTAATGATCCTCGCCGTATTTCGATAACTTTTCTTGAAGGCTGTCAAAATAATCTGGGTAAGAAATTTGGGGATCAAAGTCTTCAAAGTCGATTGCCTTCGATGATGTCACGTCAATATTAAATGCTTTCTTGTTCACATAATCAACGTATTTGCTCGAATGGTCTACCTTGTTGTAGATAGAAGCTATGTATTTGTCAGAAAAGACACCTCCTTTCGAGTTGACGAAAGTTTCAAGCGAGTCAATTACGGTCAGTTTGGCATTTCCTTCTAAAATTGAGTTCAAATCATTGCTCACTTCCTTCAACTCCACCGGTGGAGCAGTTTCCACGAGTGATGAAACTATGTCTCCCAATTTCACAACCATATTTGTACGATTTACGTTAATCCGTGATAAAAACGAGTACAATTACGTATACAGGACTATGACATACTGCTCTCTGAAGGGTTTGCTAATGGTCGTATATGGGTAAATTAATACATTCTATCTATTAGTTCCGCATAAAGCGTCAACTTCTTCACATTTGCCATATTCCTTATGATAAGTGAAATTCACCAGCACCTTCGCTTACCGCTTGAAGTAATCGGCGCTTCATGAGAGCTTCTGAGGAATACTCAGGAAGCTTAAGATAATTAGCACAGGTCATGACACTCGGTAAATAGTCATCACTTGAAAAATTATCCTCAGGCATCTTGCGGACGACAGTAAATTCCGGTTTCAATGCTTTGAAACCACCGATAGGCAACTTCGGAGAGCCAGTGATGAATTGTAGGAAAGCACGTCTCTCCTCAGAACTGAATGTAGACATGATATTGAGTAGCTGTTCAATCGCATTTGAATCTTTAGTGTATCCATGGTTTGCTTTAGTAGCACCACGCAAAGTTTGAAGAGACCAATCTTCATCGGCGCTACCAAGAAGTTCAACAATTTCGTAGGGTTGAAAAACCGTCAAAGCGTCGATGGGAAACACACTCGAAAATCCCTCCATGAAAGCTTCAAGCTGATGCTGTACGCCTTCATGAAGGGTAGCCTCAATGAGTCTCGAAATATACTCTTCTAAGTTGGACTGATCCACTGCAATGTTGGCACCATTTGGTATCAAATCGTAATCAGGATAGCCTGGTAAAGAAAAAGTCAATGAAAGATCACTAATCGTACATCCATCAAACGCTATCTCCTCTTGCGAGTCTCCCTTGGAGCGTAGGTAATGTTTGAGATGGTCAACAGAACTTGCAAGTCTAGCGTCCACCATCTTGAGGTGTGCCTCGCTATACTTCATTGCTTTCCTCTCAATTTTAGCTTGAATCATTTGCCAGAAAAAAGGGTTGAAGTTGAAGTCCACGATTCTGGAATCCAATAATGCTCGGGCGACAAACTTTCCTAACATTCCAAATAGGTAGAGAACTTTGCGACCGTTTGCATTGTTTAGCTGCTCTGAGCTCATGGGCGCTGGGAACAAGCCCTCTGAATTAGTAATGTATTCATTCTCCGCATCGCTTGGCGAATCATCCCTCCACATCTTCAATTTTTTCCTTGAGAACTCGTTTGACACTGAAGCATAAAACTCAAGAGTGGGGCCCATTCCAGAACCCACCTCACCAAAGTATTCAATTTCCAATATACCAGGCGTTGCTCCATACATGTTGAGAACTTTAATGGCGCTATGCAAGATCAGCTTACGAGAAATTCGGACTTTGTGACGAGACGGATGTCCAAGTTGAAGCCGAGTGCCCGAGCTGTTGGAATTATTGTCTTCAATATTGCGCTCGATTTTTTCTTGCCAAAGATGGATTAATCGTGAGTATCCAAAGGATGTCGATTGTAGGAAGAATAACCTGGTCTCTAGAGGGAATAGAAAGGAAAATCTCTTGACTGACTGAACGCACCAGCCTGGAAGTGTTCCACTTGCAACAACTAAAGGCTCCTCAAGTTGACGGTTCACCTTTGCAGTGAGCTTCCAGTTAACGAATTCCTCCACGGGAATTGAATTGCATGTCTTTGAATCCATTGCAAGTTGATTGATATTAAAAAGCGACTTCAAGGTGCTCAATATGTTCGATGTAACACCACAATCAAAGCTGCTTTCTTTGCAATTGTCATGAATTATTTGTAGGATGGAAGATGAGTTCTCCTCAATTTCACGCTGGACAATTCGGAATTGTATGTTATGCAAAGTTGACCAAATATTACTCGAATCGATTACTTGGTCGGGAAACTTTTGAAAGGATATGTAGATAGCTCCATATATCGTCATCTCCATCGGAACGACCTCATTGTCCACAATGAACTCAATGCTACGTTTTTGTGATTGTTCTGCTTTCAGGTGCTCTTCTTCAGCATGCTCATCATCGATAGACTCCGGTTTATTCATGATGAAATGAAACCGCAGATCAAGAAAATTTGCGATCGATCGAAAGGTCGCTATCGCGTGAACAGATATGACCATGTTGTTCAAGTGGTGCAATACTTCCTCGTTAGCGATATCTCCGTCCACAGCTGATATTTTTAGTTTTATTTGACGTGACATAGCAGAGGTGAACTTATTGTCTGCCCCAAATCCTATCGTACGGTAAGTCGAGGCCACGCTAGGGGTATTCAATTCGAATGATTCCGATCTGTTCAACGAATCTTGAAGCTTCAGGACTAAGGTTCTAATAGCGGCATCTGCGCCATGAAAAATCATTAGAAATGCCTCCTGACATTTCGCAGAATATTCAGATTCGTTGTCTGTATTTAAAAGACACATAAATTCCTCTATCAAGCCGGATGACGCTAATTCGAAGCTTGAAATGGATGGTTGGTATTCGCTTCCAATACAAAGTAGTTCCACTTGCTTCCAGAGATGATGCCAATCCTCAAGCGAAGATCGTGGGGTACTTTTCAATGTTTGAATGTTTCTTTTAACGTCTGACAAAAGACCACTTTCCACTTGTTTGATTTCGCTGAAAGTGGCTCTCTTAGATCTCAAGAATGAGTCCTCGAAAGCGACTCCGGTTTGTAAAACACTCTCAAGCACCTGCTTTAAAGGACGTGGGCTGTATTCTTTCAGTAGCTCGCGATCAATAAACTTGTTTGTATAGTCGGTGGCTATCGATGGCTTGGACAATACTACAGCTTCCAGCTCAGAGGAGCTGGTCTGTTGCTTTAAGATCAGTAGTATGGACTGTGTTTCTGACATAATGCCCTCTCTTTCAAATTCTTTTAAATATCGCATATCCGCGCCATCAACTAGTCTCTTAGCTATCAAGAAAGTTGCATGCAACAATTGGTAATTTGAAGTGGTGCTCTTATTATTCGCGGTAGCACTGAAGTTAGTGGACGACTTGTGCGGAGATGAAGACGCAGACGATTCTGTATCTTGAGGCTCAATGGAATTCTTTAAGCTGAGAAGTCGATTATTCTGGTTCGTGATGGATGCCAACAAAACTGCGAGCAGCTTAGGGTTGACTGTATCTCGCATGTCATCAACGGATAAGAAACAGACAATTCTGTAAATTATGATAAGGACCTTCTTCCTTATTTCATAGTCAACTTCAGCCTGAAACGCATTCAAGACAAGCGGCCACAATTGGTTGATGAATGTTAGCACTTCATCCTTGATAACGTTCGAGTAAAGCGAGACTCTCGCGTCATTGAGTTGTTTTCTCTCATCAAAGTCCTCAGTATAGTCCGATATGAATGCTGATTCTGCAAGTGAGTATGATATGGGAGTGAGATATCCTATCAAGTCCAAGAACTCTGAGAGTAATTCTTTGGGAGCGGACATCAACATGTCAAGTGGAAGAGAGCTGTTCGTCATGTCAGCATCAGATGTCGTATCTATAGTAGGTCGTCCATTAGACGAGAATGACATTTGACGTGCTTTGGGGGCTTCGGTCAAAGACTTCACAATTACTTGACCAATAGAACAATCGCAAAGTAAAATCTTCGAAACCTCAAGTGAAACACTGGCGAGAATGATGAGCGACTTAATCAAGGTTAAACAAGTGCCGTACTTTAAGGATACTTTCGAGCTTTCATCCGTGGAAGTAGTGGACGACTTACTTGAACTTTGTTGAATTATCTGAACCATCTGTCTAAGAAGTACAGGTTGCTTCAGAAATAATGTTTCTAATGCTTCAGGTCGCAACTTGAAGCTGAGAATGATGCGTGATATTGCTAACCAGCAATGCTCAATGACTATTGCGTCAGAGTGATTCGTTATCACATTAGTCAAGATTTCAAAGCTATCTTGTATGTTGCTGAAGTTTTTGAACGAGACGTTAGTGCAGACGTTAGAAACAATAGTAAGACTCTTTCTCTGGGCATGTGTTGTGAAAAAATCCAAGTACTGAAGGCATGCTTGGATACCTCCACTAGAAACAATTTTGTTGTGAGCTATGGGATCTCGAGATATCATTTCGAGAGTTTGCAAGGCTTGTTCCGTGAGGTCAATGTAAGTAATCTCCACCAACTTTGAGCATATTACAGGAATTGCATCGTACTTCAACGCTTCGTGGACGAAATCTTGATTAACCTCCAAAAAGTTGTACAAACAACGGCATGCTACGAGCTGTAATTCTAGCTCTTCTGCAAGAAGCGGATCACTCATAATCGTTACCAAGCTCTTAGCAAGCTTACTGGCAGGTACCATACGTTCTGCTGTTAAACCATTCATCATCAAAAGTCTCTCCGAGAGTTCGTTGAGTGTTTCCAAGATGACATAAGTGTCGTCACGCTGATTAAGATTTTCTATGAGTCCTAAGAACTCATTACTCTCTCTTCCCATACCACCAAATGCAATACCACCGCCCATGAGTCTCAGTACAACTTCTGCAAAGTCATGCAGTTCATCCTCTTCTTCCTCTCCTTCTTCATGTTCGCCTTCGTCGACATCACGTTCAGTGTTGGTGCCTGTGGCCGTATTTCCTGTACGACGTCTACCAGGACCTGTGAATGCTTCCATCGCCCGAAAAAAATCAAGGCGGGGGTTTTCGCTGCTGTCATCTCCAGTTCGACCTCTAAATCGAGCTTGAAGAAGGTTGCGAAGGAAATCGTTGGCAACAAAATTGTCGTCACCCTCTCCTTCCATTTCATGGTCATCAAAGTCATCATCATCTCTATCGATAGTCTCAACATCTTCATCTTCTTCCTGGTCTTCTTCTACATCATTTGATTCGTCTTCTTCCTCGATCTCGACTTCGCTTCCATCCGTATTGGAGTTTTCAGTATAATGATCGCCATGTGCAAAATATTGTCTTCTCCTGGCCTGCTCAGAGAGTCTTATGAGCGAGTCATCTTCTTCAATACTTTCATCCCCAAGATGCAGATCCGCCGATTCGTAAGAATCTGTCAAATTGTCTCGAATATCATCAATATCTGGTTCATCTTGGCTGCTGGACTTTTCACTCTTGGACTGTGCGCGAGTCAAATGTGCCATAATCACAGTTACAAACTTGTAAGTACGAAATGCGGTTTAAAGAACTATAATATGTATAAGCGTTATCAACCAAGATTGCCACAGACTCGCACCACTATGGCTCTCCTGCATGTACCATGGAACGTATGCAGAAGTCTTGGTCAAAATTTCTGGATTTCTGTGTGCGCGTATGCAGGTAAAAAGATCGATTCTGATTTATATGCAGTTTCGGTGCCGGTCAATTGCATTTCACATCTGGGGTCTTATCTGGAGCCTGTCATTATCCTGGTGGAGTCACGAGTTTTAGTCTAGATTTAAAGTGCGAACGACTAACTGCGAGAGATGGTTTGAAGGTGAAAATGCGATTAAAATTGTGAGCCACTGAAAGAGCAATTTAGGTACCAATGATGAATTCAGAGACTTTTGCAACTAATTGAAATTTTGCAAACAACTTCAAAAGCTAGACATAACAAGTACACAACACGCTCTCAACTATCACTCGAATTTATTAGAAAAGCAATATTATGTTGGGATGAACTATAGGAACTCCGATCGACGGACGCCAAACTTTTTATTCAATATACATGCAGACGTGGGGGATCAATTTCATTACTACCCTTTCGTGCAGCGTTTCTGTGCAGTAATTTGACTTGCTCGGGGCGCCCCCCGCAGAAATACACGCGAATGCCCCGCAGCTTGGCACTTTAAGAGTGGGGGAGTGCGGCTTGACGTGCGGCGTTTACGCTACATTCCAGGGTTTGCCGTATTTTATTGTAATGGTAGCCCCCACGATCTGGCTCCGACAATCGGCGGACTGTTCCATGTATATAAAAACCGCATGATGCCCAATTTTGCTTCCTTTTCAATTACATCTCAGCTGGCTGAGACCTTCTTTTTGTTACATCAAAATCAAAATGAGTGCTAATTCAAAAGACAAGGCAGATAAAATTGACACCTCCTATGTGGAAGATCTTGAAGAAGAAGAAGTGAAAAGGGTTGCCACGGTTGAAAATGTGGAATTGGAGAGAAATTTGGAACTTCCAGAATCGCTCCAACATATGTCGGAGGAGGAATTTGCAGCCTTCGAAAAAAAGACAAAGAGGAAGATTGACCTTCGTCTCTTGCCTATGTTGGTTCTTATTTATATTTTGAACTACTTGGACAGAAATAACATTGCGTCGGCAAGACTTGGGTACTTGGAGGAGGATCTTGGTTTGAAAGGTGCTCAATATCAAACCTGCGTTTCCATTTTGTTCGTTGGATACATCTTGATGCAAATTCCTGCCAATATGCTTTTGAACAAGATGGCTAGACCTTCACTTTTCATTACTTGTATCATGACTATTTGGGGTATAATAAGTACTTGCACCGGTGCCGTTCAAAGCTTTGGTGGTTTGTTTGCCATAAGATTTTGCTTGGGTTTCATTGAAGCTGGTTTTTTCGGGTGTGCTCTTTACTACTTATCATGCTGGTACACCAGGAAAGAATTGTCATTGAGGAATGCAATTTTGTACTCTGGTTCTCTTTTCTCAGGAGCATTGTCAGGGTTGATAGCCACGGGTATCATCGATAGAATGAACAATGTTAGGGGATTGAAAAGCTGGAGATGGTTGTTCATAATTGAAGGTGCCATTACGGTAGCCATTGTTCCACTTGCCTACTTCGTTTTACCTGACATGCCTTCCAACACAAAGTGGTTAAGTCAGGAGGAAAAGGACTTGATAATGTGGAAGTTGAGAAGAGAAGTTGGACAAGACGATTCCGATAAGGAAACCGACGAAAGTTATCTTGGTGCATTTATTTTGGCAATCAAAGATATCAAAGTATGGGGCGTAACTGGTACTTTGTCTTTCCTTGTGGCTGCTTGTGGTGTGACCAACTTCTTTCCCTCGGTGGTTCAGACATTGAATTTCAACAGGGTGACTACCTTGGGTTTAACCGTTCCTCCTTACATGTTAGCTGTGGTTGCAACATATCTTTGGGCTAGACATGCCGATAAAACAGGCGAGAGATACTGGCATGTTGTTACTCCGTTGTTCATTGCTATGGTTTCTTTTATCATTGCTGTTTCGACGCTCAACGTTGGAGCAAGATACTTTGCCATGTGTGTCATGATTCCTTCTTTGTACTGTTCGTTCACCACGATTTTGTCATGGATGTCCAATTGTGTTCCAAGACCGCCTTTAAAGAGAGCTATTGCTCTTGCATTGATGAACTGTTTGTCGAACTCAACATCCATTTGGAATGCATACCTTTATCCATCTAGTGGAGGTCCAAGATACTTGGTAGCTTTTGTGTGCAACATTGTATTCTTATTGCTAGCTATTGCTACTGCCACCATTTTGAGAATCCGCCTTCTTGCCTTGAACAAGAGAATCGAAGCAGGAACAATGAAATGGGAGCATGAGTTGGGTCATGGCAACGACGGCAGCAAGATTGCTCCAGATTTCCGTTACTTATACTAGTGCAGTTTTTTAATCAAGTCATATAATTCTTTTTTCAACGTTGCAATGTCAGCAGTGTCGTAGTCCACTTGGTGCTTGTTGAGTCCCAATTCCACAGAATTGGCTTCCGGTTCGTCTGTAGAGTCATGGTATCTTCGAACGAATATGTGTTCCAAAGAATCGTTGACAGTCAACCGTTTCGAAGGATTGTAGGTTAAAAGTCCCTCTATCAAATCAAGGCTCTGGACATCGATCACTGCTGAGGAACCTGACATAAAAGTATCGAGGATATACGAGCTTTTGGGCAATGTCTTAATATACATTCTAGCCCGTTTTGACATTGTCAATCTTTGGTCTTGTTCACTGGGCGTACCCAAAACACTAAATATCGTTGATATTTGAGACCTATAGTCCGATCCAGGGAACAATGGAGATCTCAAGAACATCTCTGCCATGATACACCCCACTGACCACATATCCACCGCAGTGGAGTATCGCGACGCAGAGAACATAATTTCAGGTGCCCGGTACCACCTGGTAGCTACGTACTCAGTCAAGGGTGACGTCCTTTTAGGATCTTCGAAACCATCAAAAGCATTGGTGGAAAGTCCAAAATCACAAATCTTGAGATCGCAATTGCTGTTCACCAATAAGTTGGCTGGCTTGAGGTCTCTATGAATAATTCCAGCACTGTGAATGTACTTGAGTCCTCGTAATATCTGGTAGGTGAAGTACTGAATGTGGTCATAAGAGAGGCTCTGGGTACGAATCACCTTGTTTAAGTCACTTTGCATGTACTCTTCTATGATGTACACCTCATGGAACAGTCCGAAGTTGGAAGGTCTCTGGAGATCAAACATGGTCACAATATTCTCATGTCCCCTTAATCCACGAAGAATCTTGATTTCCCGCAATGCTCGAATGCAGAGAAGAGGTCTAGTGAAAGGTTCAAGTTTTTTTATCGCAACTTTGGTTCCCGACGGTGAATGCACTGCAAGGCACACGGTGCCATAAGCTCCTTCGCCCAAGACCTCGGAAATTCTGAAGTCCAGGGAAATGTTATAAACCACTGTTCTTGGGCCCTTGCGCATAAGTTGAGCTTTGCTAAGTTTCTGTGGGTTGAAATGTGATATCGTCTCGATTTATAAGAAAGTACCACATTTTTTCGCAGCCGCAGAATTGCTGCAAAATTCTGAAACGTGCAGTGCGCTTGGAAAATATGAAATGGCGAAGTGGGAGGTTAGAGGAATGAGTTAAATTGGAAGGAGCCAAGTTTCAGAACCAAGCCAGTTCTTGAAAACACATGATAGGGAGATATTGTACCAAGAATACATTAATACTTGGAAACGTAAAATTACGGAATTACACAATATACCAAAATTAGGTGATGAAATTTTTTTTTCGATTTGGCCGAGAGTTGCTACAAGATTGCTAATCGTCATAGCTGATAATAAGAGAACAAGGTAACTTCACTTTAGTGCCGGTAGTCATGGCAGAAAAATACTTAATATCTACGGAGGTGATCTCATTACGAATTTTCCTGCATATGATGCCATACTGAGTCTAGTTTTGAGACCCATTTTGAGCGAGTCTGACCCGATTTTCGCAATTTTGTGAAAGTCCAGAATTTTCGTGCCAAGTAACCAATGCATAATACCTTGCAACACCCGCACACCCGCACATAAGGTACACCAAATATATTAATCATTGAATTACCATGTAAAGAAAACGTATTTTTGTAAAAGTAGACATGGCAGAGAGGTACTTAGGACTACCACCACGATCTACTAAGCAGTTATGGCAACTTGTCCGAGTGGTTAAGGAGAAAGATTAGAAATCTTTTGGGCTTTGCCCGCGCAGGTTCGAATCCTGCAGTTGTCGTTATTTTTTTGCATCTTGTATTGGGCACCTACTACTTATATACTGACACTTGTGCTGCCCTTGAGTAGCCTCTACATTTCTCATGCTCATATATGTTCATTAATGGTAAAAATCTGGTCTCGCCGTATTGAGCCCGTACTCCGATAAAGCACTGCTCAAGTCTTCCATGGTCAACACAATCTTGCCCTGCAGGTTTCCAGCACTACTTGTAGACGGCTGCAGCGCCTGTGGCACAGAATCTCCATCCACAGAGCCGCCTGCCGCACCTGCTCCGGTCAACAGCTGCTGGTTGGCAAATTGCTGCCCTTGAAGTAATTGCTTCGCTCGAATCTGCGGGTTAGACGAATTGTACACCGACGACGAACTGCGGATCCGCAGGTATTCGTATGCATCCTGAGCGATGTCCAGGACAAATTTCTGTGTGGCGAGAGCAAGGAGTCGTTTAATTCGAATATCAGATGTTTCAAATCCATTTTTTGAAAGGTAGTACTCGGTGACAGCGTCAGGAATAATAGGAGCAAACTCACCTTCCATCATCTCAAGCACCTCCTGGAGTGTTTTGTCTTTTCTTGAGAGCTGCGGAAGCTCTTGTGGTTGTTCTTTTCGTTGTTCTTGGGCGCCATTGGAGTCTTTTCCATCACCACCTTCGCCGCCATTGCTGGCACCATATTCTGGATTCATGCTTGGCTCGGGCATATCGATATCATCGTTAAATTCGTCATCTACGTCACTCATGGTTGCTGCTTTGCGAGCTGGAGTGTCGGCTTCAGTTGTTGGTGAGAAAGATAACTTCGCTGCGAATTCGAATTCGCGAAAACCTCAAAAGAACTCTACAACAGTACAATCTTTATGAAGAAGCCCATCCAGTCACTGAGCCGTATATAGCATTCCATTGTTTCCAACTATATCACAGCTATAACCCCGGCTAATAATTGAACCATCAACAATATCTAATATGGACCCGTTTTCGTCTTTGACTTTCGGCAGATCGCTTTCAGTGCGAGTTGACGGTGCCATTGGCGCCATGACACTTTCTCCCAACGGCCGTGATGCAGTCCTTGCTGGTCGTAGGGGTCTCTTTATCATAGATCTCGAAGATCCCTTCACCACTCCTCGTTGGCTCCACCATATTACTTCATGGGAGGTCGCTGACGTTCAATGGTCTCCCCACCAGTCGAAGCCATCATGGTGTATATCGACCTCCAACCAAAAAGCCCTCCTTTGGGACCTCGCCAGACCATCCAACAATGCCATAGCTAACGTTCTACACCAGCACACTCGTGCAATCACCGATATTAACTTTCATCCTTATGATCCAGAACTGCTTGCAACATGTTCTATAGACACTTTTGTTCTACGATGGGACATGAGAACTCCTCGAAAACCCGTGGCCCAGTGGGCGGAATGGCGTGCTGGGGCAACTCAGGTCAAGTGGAACCATGAAAATCCATGGGAAGTAGCCTCGAGTCATGACAATGGTTTTTGTGTGTGGGACTCTCGAAAAGATGCTCTTCCCATAGTTAAGGTCCAAAACGCCCACGGGGGAAAGATCAATGGCCTAGACTTCACATTGGGAGTGAACAGCTTTGTCACTTGTAGCAATGACAAAAAGGTAAAGTTCTGGAATTTGAGCGGAGATCCACCATATGCCCCATCAGTGGTCATTACAGCTGATTACCCTATAGCCCGTGCTCGTCCTCTTCCATTCGGACGCGAGCGAGTGGTTGGACTCATGCCGCTCCGCGGAGGCGACAATTCTGTCCACATAGTCAACTACGATACCTCATTTCACTCGAGCATAGATACTGGTACTACTCAGTATATTCAAGCAGATCCCGCATATTCGTTTAAGGGACATACTGCGCCAATCAAGGACTTTTTATGGAGAACTAGACATGAAAACTACAATGGCTTCACATCAAGTAATCGCTGGAAGGACTATCAGCTTGTTACCTGGGGACAGGATTACGACCTCAAGTTGTGGCCTAAAGATGACGAACTTTACACAGCTGCAAATTACAACCCTACTCACCAGCGCATCATTGGAACAATTGCAGAAGAAGAAGATTCACCTCTCGACCAGAGTTCCAAAAGATCGCTGTCACCTCTGGCTTCGTCTCCTGGAGAAGAAAAGCCTAATCCGCATCAAAAGGCATTATTGTCGTACGACACATTCTGCGTGGAGCCGCCTGTATCTCTTCAAGACTTGATAAAGAAAAATAATGGTGATAAGCTTTCTGCACTTACACTTTTTGAACTATCAAAGCGCAATCTTAACAATACGTCCAAGTCTACTCTTGCAACTAACAATCTAGACTGGATATCAGGTGTCCGAATGGGCCATGCGGGCCATGGTACAAATCGTGAAAGAGACGGAAGTCCTTTGAATCTTGGAGAAGAAGTGAGTATTGTTGGACACAAGTTCCCGAAAGTGCGATTCGAAAAAATATCCGTTCT